AAAGCGAGATGAGCGCCACAACCCCAGAGTCGGCCACGACTGGACCTAATGGTCAGGGGTCCCTTTACCTTTATATTGTCCATGATATTTGCTACAATACAAGTGTTATCAAAAGCCTGCTCATGTTTTCATCTGCTTGCAGTGGTCTCCTAGATAAATTATAAATGTTCCCTATTCTTTATTGAAGTTTTAGTCTTCTTGGTTCCTGAGCTTTCCGGTCAATTTTGCCATCAGCTGAGCTTGTCATTCATCTCTGGTACAAACTTGTTATTCTTTCCATCTCTGGACCAGTAACATCTGAGCGGTTCTTGTCCCATACATTAAAAGCCTTTTCTGCTCCTTTGGGATGTCGGTACCTATAATTCCTAATAAGAAAGCTTCTGTTATTTTTTAAAAATACAGTGGTACCTCAGGTCAAGTACTTAATTCGTTCCGGAGGTCCGTTCTTAACCTGAAACTGTTCTTAACCTGAAGCAACACTTTAGCTAACGGGGCCTCCTGCTGCTGCCGCGCCGCCAGAGCACGATTTCTGTTCTCATCCTGAAGCAAAGTTCTTAACCTGAAGTACTATTTCTGGGTTGGCGGAGTCTGTAAGCTGAAGCATATGTAACCTGAGGTATCACTGTAAAGGTTATTTTAAACATTTTTTTTCTTCATTTCATTATATATCATTTCCCAGAATGTTTTTTCTCCTGATTATGGTTCTGTGCTTTTATTGCTGCAATCCACTTTGAGATACGGCACAGCGGGATTCTAATATTACTACAAATAAACAATAAACATCATTGGGCATTCTCTTTTGGGGGGGTGTATGTGTGATAAATTAAATTTACTGTAGCCAGACTGCTTTTACAAAAACAAAAAAACCTAAATCTGAATCTAAAACGAACCTCCACTGAGCTTCTCAAAGTGTTGTCATCATTTATCGGGTTTCTTGCACACCCTTCGCCCTAAAGTTCCCAAGGCAGGTTATAATACTATAAATCACCAGTTGCTGGAAGCATTAGGAGGGGTGTGGGACTAGATTGGCCATTGCCTGATCCTGCAAGCAGGGGTCCTTTTTATGTTCTTAGTGTTACACTACTGGTATAACCTTTTGGTATTCAATACAGCGCTATAGTTCACGTGCAGTCATGGGATAATCCTTGCAGCAGGCTTTGAAAGTCATCTGCCTGGATTGTTCCCATGGGTCAAGGCGAGCGAGGAGGAAAATAGGGTCCCACCTTCATCTTGGGGAAGAGAGGAGGGTTCACCTGTGACACTCCCCAGGAAAGGAAGGAGGCTGTTATACATCACTATTCATGCAACTACTTTGAAGGGGCTGGCAAGACAGTGTGCATGTATATTTTGTACAAGTAATATTCTTACAAGCCTCTTTGGAAAGCGGACAGTCTCTCTCTAGCCCTTGGGGAGGTGAAATTCTATCTCAGCCTCTCTACTACAATTAAAAGACACACTTGGGTCTGTATTAGGTAAAGTAAAGGGACCCCTGACCATTAGGTCCAGTCGCGGACGACTCTGGGGTTGCGCACTCATCTCGCTTTATTGGCCGAGGGAGCCGGCGTACAGCTTCCGGGTCATGTGGCCAGCATGACTAAGTCGCTTCTGGCGAACCAGAGCAGCGCACGGAAACACCGTTTACCTTCCTGCCGGAGCGGTACCTATTTATCTACTTGTACTTCATGCTTTCGAACTGCTAGGTTGGCAGGAGCAGGGACCCAGCAACGGGAGCTCACCCCGTCGCGGGGATTCGAACCGCCGACCTTCTGATCAGCAAGTCCTAGGCTCTGTGGTTTAACCCACAGTGCCACCTGCGTCCCTTTTGGCTCCGTATTACTAGGTAATAAAACGATTTATCATTCAAGTGGCTCATTTGCAAAATAAAGTGGGAATCTGATGCCGGAGGTTGTCTAATACTGGTCTGAGCTGTATTCTGACAGCAAGAGCTGTTTGACGGTGGAATGGACCATCTCAGAAGGTGATGCACACTCCTTAAACGGTGGTTGGGGCTGGCCATCTGTCAGAGATTATTGCAGGGCAGGGGGTTGGGCTAGATGACCCTTGGGGTCCCTTCCAACTCTAGAATTCTGTGATTCTTCATTCTGCGGTCTGTAAAAGGATTGCATTTCTCATACTTACTAGCCTTGCTTTCTTTCAAGGAAAGCGGATAGGATCCCCTCTCCTTCCTTAAATAATTAACTTAAAGGCGCACTGCCACCAGCATTGTAGAGAGGGTGGGGAAAACATACAGTACTTTTATTTTTGAAGCCCTAACCTGTCTGCATCTTTCAGAGAGTAAGGAGATAAAACTGACCACGCGTTTTCTAAGCTGGCTTTTTTTTTTAATATGCTCCTGGTTCCTGGCTCAACGCCAGGAAGAGAAAATTCCAGACAGGCTGCTATAATTCCAAGCAGCCGTCAGTCCTTCATTTCTCACCTTTGAAGAAGGTGTTTGTGGGGAAGGAGGGAAAAGGCTGAAGGTGAAACCAGTTCTGGAGGTGAAAAAAGGAGAGGGGGAGAGAGAGAGAGATGTTTGCAAAGACTAGTAACAAACACCGCTTAGCCAAGCCAGATGAGACAGAAAGACAAGCAGAAGAAAAATGTTCCATTTCTGCACAGTCATGCAGGATATAAACACAGAGACCAAAGCAACAGGGCATTGTCTGGGAGAAGCGATCTGCAACAGAGAACTCCGTTTACAGTAGGATTGATTCTAGGCAATCAGAGAATCATAGAATTGGAAGGGAGCACAAGGGTCAGCTACTAGTTTAACCTCTTGCAATGCCGGAACCTTTTTGCCCCATAATAATAATTTATAATTTATACCCCGCCCATCTGGCTGCACCTTTAACAATCTACAATTCCCTGCACCTTTAACAATCTACAGTTCCCATGATGATGATTATTTTTTTGGGGGGTGCTTTAAATGCAGATGCAGTCCCACACTCAAGCTTTGTATAGATCCAGAACGTTAAATGGATTTCTTTGGAGAAGCAACAGATTTCCCCATCTCTGCTCTATCATCTCTGCTGAAATCAACCTGATTTAACCTCCACCGCTTTCTGCTTCCAGATGCTTATGACTTACTGAATTTAGATTCTCACCTCCTTCCGCCTTGCCCCCCCCCCCCGCAAACACCACCGGAGGGCATCCCTCAAATTAACCTCTCTTTTCATTCTGACAGTGAAGTTGATGAGCAAAAGGAGCCTGGATCTTAATGTTGCATCGAGGAAGGCTGGATTTTAAGACACTGGGCCAAGAGAGATGCCGGCAAAACTGCTAAAAAGAAAAATGAGTGTTTGTTTGTTTGTTTTAATATTTAGAGACTGCAGCAGCCAAGGTATTCAGCCCCTCGCTTCAAGTAATGATGATGGGGTTGAACCAGCCATTAACAGAATCAGAATTTTATATATATATATAGGAGGGATGCGGGTGGCGCTGTGGTCTAAACCACAGAGCCTAGGACTTGCCAATCAGAAGGTTGGCGGTTCGAATCCCCGCGATGGGGTGAGCTCCCGTTGTTCGGTCCCTGCTCCTGCCAACCTAGCAGTTCGAAAGCATGAAGTACAAGTAGATAAATAGGTACTGCTGCAGCGGGAAGGTAAATGGCGTTTCCGTGTGCTGCTCTGGTTTGCCAGAAGCGGCTTAGTCCTGCTGGCCACATGACCCGGAAGCTGTACGCCGCCTCCCTCGGCCAATAAAGCGAGATGAGCGCCACAACCCCAGAGTCGGCCACGACTGGACCTAATGGTCAGGGGTCCCTTTACCTTTATATATATAAAGACTAATGAAAAGCACAGGACAATTAAAAAGGCAAGTCAGTAAGTTAAAAGCAAAAGCAAAAACCATGTTACGGAGGAAGAAGTCATTTAGGAAAAACAACCGCCATGTGGTATTTCTTGCTTTTAATTATTTCGTGTTTGTTAGAATTAAGAAAAAAGGCACACAAGGCATTGCAGACACACCCATCACAAAAGATTTTCTTTAAAATAATAAGAGTATATTTGGAAACAAGGGAAGCACCTGACTGCCCCCTGGAGGGCGACTGGGGGACCTGCACATGCAAACATCCGACAGCAAACTCAACCAATATAATATGTGACTGAGGAATTTTCTTTTTTTAGTCTTATTCCCTTTGCCAGCCACCAATAATTTTGAGGGAAGCGAAAATGGACCAAACCCAACTCCCCGCTTTCACCTTCACTCATAAGCTGCAGGAGAAAAGCCCTTCCGATTTCAAACGGTGATTTTAACAAGCATAATTCTACGACTCTAAACGGTGATTTTTGAGGCTCCGGTTTGCTGTGCCAGGACCAGTCCTCCAAATATTCAGATCCCCACGGGCAGCCGGGGGGGGAGGGGAGAAAAATAATATGAATTACGGGTATAAAATACAAAGTCAGAGCTGCTAGTGGTAGATGATTTGGAGGGGGGCACAGGGTGTGGATTTGGGGAGGGGGGGTTACTAAATAGATACTCTTCCAACACTCACAACCAATAGGTTTTATACAAAACTTTGTACAAGGTTAGCTGGTGAAAAGGCAAAAACAACACACAGAGACAGTGAAGGGGGGGAGTTAGTTTGGGACATCAGAATGGGCCGTGTGAGAACAGGAATTGGTGTTAAAACCAGGATCTTGTTAAAGGCAGGGATAGGAAGCCTCTTTGACCGCCAGATGTTGTTGGACTACAAATCCCATCAGCCACCGCCAGCAGAGGCAGGGATGATGGGAGTTGTAGTCTGACAACATCTGGAGGGGGGAAAGCAAAGGAAAATAGTTTCTGGTGGAAACAACCCACCTTCAGGGTTGTTTTACAGTAGCTGCAGACAGATGATGATTAACCCCACCTGGGCGAAAAACCAGCTGTCGTTGGGTCACCGGCTGCTGCCACGTTTTGCCGCAAGTCCAGGGAGTTTGGGTCGGCCACAAGCTGCCTATTCCTGCCACCATCCAAGGGAATTTGGGGAGAGACGCCATAGGTCCAACTCCTCTTTCCCTCTAGCAGGTGCTCCAGTTGGCGCTTGGGGGATCCTGGCTTGGCAGGCCGGAATCCGGAGACCTCGCCACCTCCCTTTTGCCACGCAGCCCGGCCAGAGACATCATGATGTTTCTTCGGGTTATGCAGATCTGCCGCCCGTAGGCCTTGAAGGACAGCAAGGGGCTCCTGGCGGGCAGCTCGGGGGCTCCCTTTGTCGCCGCGTGCCCAGGCTGCACCTCCTGTCCGGCCTGCAACGGCAGGCCGCTCTCGTGGCTCACGGACCGGCCAAAGCGACGCCCCGCCTTGCGCTTGGGAACGCTGAGCTTCGCGGCCTCCGACCCTTTGTCGGGCTGGGGCGATGCCCGCTGGAAGCTGAGGGTCAGGCGCTTGAGGCCGGTTTTGGGAGCCTCGGGGAGGTGGCGGAAGCGGTCGGCCAGAGTGCTGGGGGAGCCAGGATCCGAGGGAAGCATCCTTTGTGGCCTATTCTCTGGGCAGCTATCTGCCAGTGTGACACAAACAGTGGGGATGCCCAGTTGCCTCATGCCCGCCACTAATACTTCCATGTCAGGCTGCTCTGGCTCGGCTAGGCCGAAGCTCTGGGCATGATGCGCTCCTGGGCCGACAGAAGGGGAGAAATCCATTTCGCTGTCTTCTGCGGCAGCCCTCACTGAAAGCTCTTCGGGCCAGCTCACTGACCGCCGTAGAACATGGCGCTGTCTGGGTAGAGAATCTGGCAGTTTGGCTTCCGCTACCAAGGCGTCCATATCTGGCTCCTGATGTGCATAGCTGACAGCATCCGAACAGGGATTTCCCCCAGCCCTGTGTTTACATCTCGCCGCAGCATCTCCAACCTCTGGATTTGTGCAGCTAGGCCCGCAAGCATTTTTGCTGTATGGCTGGCTTGTAGATCCTAAAAAATAACACATCCCAAGAGAAGAGGGAGTCTTGTTTAATGCCATGCAGCTGTACAGAGTCCTGTGGCACCCGGTAAATACGAGATGAGCTTCTGCATGCTCATCTGAACATGAGTTCAAGTGCCCAAGATCTCACACCGAATGAATTTGGTTGTCTTTACCTGCGGGACTTTCATAGAATTGTTGAGTTGGAAAGGACCACCGAGATTCATCTAGTCCAGGCATAGGCAAACTCGGCCCTCCAGATGTTTTTGTGACTACAATTCCCATCATCCCGGACCACTGGTCCTGTTAGCTAGGGATGATGGGAGTTGTAGTCCCAAAACATCTGGAGGGCCGAGTTTGCCTATGCCTGATCTAGTCCAGCCCCCTGCAATGCAGGGATCTCGGCTAAAGCATCAATGGCAGATGTCCGTCCAACCTCTGCTTAGAAACCTCCAAGGAAGGAGGTTGTTTGCAATTGTTTCAAACGACAAAAAGCACTGGTTGGGCTTCAGCAACCTTGGCCAACCTGGTGCCCTCTGGGTGTTTTGGACTACAATTCTGTGCCGGGCTGGTGCTGATGGGAGTTGTAGTCCGAAAGCTGGAGGGCACCTGGTTGGCAAAGGCTGGGAGTTGTCAATGGCCCAGCAGAGGTAGCCTCACCACCACTGCCATCACCACCCAAGGCCACCTAAGGACCATATTGCCCCAACACACACACAAGGCTTATAGCTGTCTTGGTGGTTTTCTTTTGCCTATCTAGTAAGGACAGATTAGGGTTGGGGTTCCCATGGTAGAACCATCAATCCCTCTTCCCTGGAACTCTGGGAATTGTAGTTCTCTGTAGCCATCTTCAAATATCTCAAGGGCTGCCACATTGACGAGGGAACAAGCTTGTTTTCTCCTACTCTGGAGGGGTAGGACTCGAACCAATGGCTTCCAACTAAACATCAGGAAGAACTTTCTGACACTAAGAGAGGTAATAAATAAATAAATAAATAATTTATTTATACCCCACCATCTGGCTGGGTTTCCCCAGCCACTCTGGGCGGCTTCCAACAAAGTATTAAAATACAGTGGTCTGTTAAACATTAAAAACTTCCCTAAAGAGGGCTGCCTTCAGATGTCTTCTAAAAGTCTGGTAGTTGTTTTTCTCTTTGACATCTGGTGGGAGGGCGTTCCACAGGGCGGGTGCCACCACCGAGAAGGCCCTCTGCCAGGTTCCCTGTAGCTTCGCTTCTTGCAGCGAGGGAACCGCCAGAAGGCCCTCTTGTAAGGGTGACTCTGTGCCTTTCCTAGGTCGGGAGAAATGGGCATTCACCTGCGATACTTGCTGAACCTCTCCTTTGCCCCGTTAAGTATAGGAGAAGTGAGGTTACAGGGAACCAGGCAGAGGGCCTTCTCGGTAGTGGCTCCCGCCCTGTGGAACGCCCCCCCTTCAGATGTGAAGGAAATAAGCAGCTGTCTTATCTTTAAAAGACATCTGAAGGCAGCCCTGTTTAGGGAAGTTTTTAATATGTAATGCTGCATTGTTTTTAACACTCGATTGGAAGCCGCCCAGAGTGGCTTGGGAAACTCAGCCAGATGGGCAGGGTATAAATAATAAATTATTACTATTATTATTGGATGCGCGGGAAAAATCCACAGGCCAAGGATTAGCAAGACCCGACCTAGCTCACTTTCTCTGAGCTTGTGTGAATGCAGCCAGGCCCATCTCTGCTGGGATGTTGGGACTTCCAAGGTCTCGGCCTCCATCTTCTTCGTCAGAAGTCCGGTGTTTGGTTGTGCTGCTTTGGCGGAGGCAGGAAGCGGTTGCTAGGAGAGAAAACAAAAGATCCAGTCAGAGGCTTGGGTGAGGAAACTTCCCCAGGGCTACATTCCATAGCAGGAAACCTTTCGGGGGCCACATGCCAGAGGCAAGAAGGTCCAGAGGCGAAAGTGGATGAAACAACTACAGTCGTACCTAGGAAGTCTGAAATACACTCGGAGTCGAGAGTGGATTTCATGCTCCTTATTCAGCTCATAGTGGTGAGGAGGAATGAAAGCTCCCCCAAAATATCTGCTTTATATACATTATTTACACAATGGGCTGCACGTGATTGGCTAATTCCAGGATTCTCCTGTAGGCCAATCAGGTTGTGGATTCACTTCCACCTGGAGCTGGATTGGGTGGCTCCTGCGGACCAATCAGACGGCTGCATTCTGGGGCCTATTGTTCTAGGACCAATCAGACTGCTGCATTCTGGGTCCTATTGTTCTAGGACCAATCAGACTGCTGCATTCTGGGTCCTATTCAACTCAGTACATAACAAAGTCGAACAGAATCCGTTCCGAAAGTCCGTTCGACTTCCAAAACGTTCGAAAACCAAAGCGTGGCTTCTGATTGGCTGCAGGAACTTTGGAAAGAAGCTGTCCAAAATGACACTCACGTACAGTGGTACCTTGGGTTAAGTACTTAATTCCTTCCGGAGGTCCGTTCTTAACCTGAAACTGTTCTTAACCTGAAGCACCACTTTAGCTAATGGGGCCTCCTGCTGCTGCCGCGCCGCCGGAGCACGATTTCTGTTCTCATCTTGAAGCAAAGTTCTTACCCTGAGGTACTATTTCTGGGTTAGAGGAGTCTGTAACCTGAAGCGTATGTAACCTGAAGCGTATGTAACCCGAAGTACCACTGTATTTCATTTTTCTGGTGCCCTGCAGATGTTGTTGGACAACAACACCCATTGGTCCTAGCCAGCATGACCGATAACCAGATTGTTTTGCATCCCAAAACATCTGGAGAGCAGCAGGTCAGGGAAAGCTCCGCGAGAACAACCAGTTTTCACAAACAAATTGCTAGCCATTCGCTGCCACTGCTGGCTGGAACGAGAAGCACGAAAGCACAGAAACAGGAGGATAGATGGGCCCTGGAGAATGTGAGGGTCTCCAGCTCTCCGGAGGACTCACCTGATCCTTGCTGTTGCGGGAGAAGATGCGCAACGACTTGCGCCCTGTGTCCTTCCGCTCAAAAGGCGCTGGCGAGCGGCAGGGGGGAGTCAGAGCGGAATGCTTCCTGAAAGGGAAGGGGAGAGAGCGAAGCAGTCACAACGCTTTGGTCACATGTACATCGAAAGCACGTGACTTCACCCAAAGAATTGTGGGAAGTGTAGTTCTGGGAAGTGTAGCTCTGCGAGGGCATACTCTACAGTTCCCAGGATTCTTTGGGGAAAGCCATACGCTTTCAGTGCGGTCCCAGCTGCCTCTCAAAGTTGGCACGTGGCCCTCACAGATGAAGGGAAAATGTGAACAGGCAGGATTGAACTCCTCTTGCATCAGTTGATATGCTGGGAGTTCAAATCCTGCTTTCTGCAGGGGTCAGATGCGTCACCCTGTTCCCTGCAGGGAACCTGCTTGGGCACACAAACTACGCAAGATACCTGAAGGAGCGTCTCCACCCCCATTGTTCTGCCCGGACACTGAAGTCCAGCGCTGAGGGCCTTCTGGCGGTTCCCTCACTGCGAGAAGCAAAGCTACAGGGAACCAGGCAGAGGGCCTTCTCGGTGGTGGCGCCCACCCTGTGGAACGCCCTCCCACCAGATGTCAAAGAGACAAACAACTACCTGACATTTGGAAGACATCTTAAGGCAGCCCTGTTCAGGGAAGTTTTTAATGTGTGATATCTTAGTGTATTTTTGGTGTATTTGTAGTGTATTTGTGGAAGCCGCCCAGAGTGGCTGGGGAAACCCAGCCAGATGGGCGGGGTACAAATAATAAACTATTATTATTATTATTATTATTATTATTAAGCACAGGACACGCACAGGTGTAGTCTAGGGCAGGGGTCAGCAAACCTTTTCAGCAGGGGGCCGGTCCACTGTCCCTCAGACCTTGTGGGGGCCGGACTATATTTTTTTTGGGGGGAATGAACAAATTCCTGCGCCCCACAAATAACCCAGAGATTATAAAAGCACACATTCTACTCATGTAAAAACACACTGATTCCCGGACCGTCTGTGGGCTGGATCGAGAAGGCGATTGGGCCAGATCCGGCCCCCGGGCCTTAGTCTGCCTACCCATGGTCTAGGAGAAATGGCCCCCTGGGTAAAATGAGAAGGTGGTGGGGCACATTTAGCCTGTGGGTCAGGGTTCCCACGCGCCCACGAACCCTCCTATCTGAAGCTGATATTTATTGGTCCACTTCTGTACCTTGCTCTTCCAAAGAGAACCCAGGACAACTAGCAAAACATTACAAAAACACAACAGACTACAAGAATAGCAAAACACGGAGTGGGAAAATTCTCACCTCCCCCTCTCAGGGCTTTTGGGGAGGGAAGCTTCCACATCTTTGCATACGACAAAGTCTTCCTATCATCAACATCGCCCCCACCATAGCTCCTCCCTCCCGCCCTCCATGGAAAAACCCACTTGCAACCCCACCTTTGGGGGCGTTTTCTGCCGCTGCTCCTTCTCCTCTGAGTTTTCACAGCCGGGGTCCATGGGTCTCCGGGGAGGCGCCCTAGATCGGAGAACGGACTGGAAGGTCCTTTGGGAGAAACAGGAGCAGGGCTTGTAGGATCTGCGTAGGGAGAACACAAGTTTATTTCGTTCCGTTTATGGGTTGCTTCCCATGAACACTGTTCTGGGCAACTCAAGAGGCTGATTAAGCGTGTTAGGTCCCCAAAGTTGAGGGCAGCAGTCTTCGTGACCGTTTGGGCGCCATTTTGAATCAAGATGGCGGAGCAAAACATCACTTTGGGGTGACTTTGTGTGTTTTTTTGGGACGAGGTGGGTCCAAACTTATGCATAAGGTCCATATATGTGAAAGTGTCTATTCCACCTGTCTGTTCATAGAGTCCAACAATCCACACAAAAGGTTGTTGCAGTTCCACAGAATCATTTCACAGAGTCTAAGACAAGGACTTCTGGAATATTAGCCTTGTTTCGCCGTCTTGGGCTTCATCAGTAGTATAAACTCATATATGATATCACAGGACAGTGGATCTTATAGCGTAGTAGTAGCTATGGACCTTATGCATAAACTGATTAGAGAATGAACTGATACACCGGGTCTTCTGCTTTTTTCGTTGAACTTTATGAGCTACTTCTGTTGAAATCTACAATTCAATACAATGAATAGTATATATTATTTTTTCAAACGTACAGCCGGTTACGTCTTGTGTGTTTATTGAATTCCTTTGGACCACAGCAGTGTCATCTAGGCACCCCAAGACCTCAATACACACTGCCCAGTTTTGCGCCCCAGGGAAGTCACTTCAGTGTGATCCTAACACAGCAGTTTGAGTTCACCCCTGGAGGTGCACTCCATTGCCTCTCGAGACAGATGGATGACAACTTGACAAAGGAAGACAGGCGAGACAACAGAGCTTCAGCTTCTTAAAGGCAAGCCTATTGCCTTCCTTCTTAAAACAAACACTGATGTAACAATTTAATGTAAGCGCTGATTCAGGAATCTGTAGCTGATCCATCGTCGCCAGCCTTTTAAACAATTAATCCACAGATTAGGTCTGCATGCAGCCAGCTGTGGCATAGCAGTGAATTTTGAAGCTCGGAAGCTGCAACATCAGGAATCAAAAAATGCAGGCAGCTGTGACAGCATCTTAAAAAGCAGAGTCATCACCTTGCCAACAAAGGTCCGTATAGTTAAAGCCATGCTTTTCCAAGTAGTGATGTATGGAAGTGAGAGCTGGACCCTAAAGAAGGCTGATCGCCAAAGAATGGATGCTTTTGAATTCTGGTGCTCTGGAGGAGACTCTTGAGAGTCCCATGGACTGCAAGAAGATCAAACCGATCCATTCTTAAGGAAATCAGCCCTGAGTGCTCACTGGAAGGACAGATTCTGAAGCTGAGGCTCCAAGACTTTGGCCACCTCCTGAGAAGAGAAGACTCCCTGGAAAAGACCCTGATGTTGGGAAAGATGGAGGGCACAAGGAGAAGGGGACGACAGAAGACGAGATGGCTGGACAGTGTTCTCGAAGCTACCAGCATGAGTTTGACCAAACTGCAGGAGGCAGTGGAAGACAGGATTGCCTGGCGTGCTCTGGTCCATGGAGTCACGAAGAGTCGGACACGACTAAACGACTAAACAACAACGTGCTAGCTGTAGTAAAAACACACAGCACCGACTACCAGTTTACATTTGCATAGAGCCATAGAATTTCAGGTAACTGAGCCCTGCTGTGAAATGCATGCAACAAGCACCTCTTTGAGCAAGGTGTGTTTTGTGGGTCACGATATCATTACCTTGCGAGGGACCCACATCCGCTGGTCGATCAAACAGGGGCGCAGCATCCCCAAAGGGATCAGAGTTTGCTGGATCCAAGGATGACCTCCTGGCAGTGGGGAACAGGAGGAAAAGGATGGGATGAGCGATTTACCAGGTTTTCAGATTTAATTTATTTATAAACCGCTTTTCAAGAGGCAGGGGAAACTCTCCGCCTGGCAAGCAAGCGGGTGGTAGAAATGAGGAGGGAGAGGAGCAGCGGTGGGGGAAACCTGCTGGCCTTTCCATTTGACCAGCCCCCCCCGCCATACACAATACACCTGGGGCAGCTGCTCACCAGAACCTGCACAGAAACGGGCTCTGAGCTATGAAAAAGCCACTTCCGAGCTAGGGAGGAGGTGGGGTTGCAGGCTCCAGCCCCCGCGATACCAGGGAATCCTCGGACGCGTCATTCCCCAGGCCAGCCAATCAGCTGGCTCGGGGGGTGGGTGGCCTCGCCTTACTTAGGTCTGGCGCGGCCGAGGGTCTCCCTCTTTCCCGTGCCGCAGCTGACCAGGTTTTCCCTCCCCTTCCACCTGTTAGGCTAGGCTCTCTGACGTTGCTATGGACTTTGGTTGGTCGCCGGCAAGGGGCCTGGTAGGAATTTTTCCCAAATGGCAGATTGGCTCCAGCCATTTGGTTTTTGCCTACCTCGTAGCAAACCATCACAACTCTTCGGTATTGGCGGTTAGGCATTGGTAGGGGTACTGTCCTATTATTATGCAAATGAAGGGGGGAAGGAGCGCCATCACCTTCCCCCAAGCAAGGGTAGTCTGGTAAAGGATTCCGGGGGGCGTGGCCTTGTCCTAAGCCTAAGGAGGTGTGGGCCCACGGCACGCCCCCACGCGGTGACGTCAGGGGGACCTCCTAGTTGACGTGCCTCAACAGGACTCCTCCCACTGGTGGTTAACCCTTACCAGCCTTCATGCAATCAGGCTGAAGCCGGTTAGTTGTTAGGACCAATGCCTAAGCCAATACCGCTCAATTCCTGTAATCAATAAAGTTGTGGCCTAATTTGACCCATTAACTTGAATTCTTGTGTCTCGTGTCTTTATTTCTGAGGGGGGAGGCGGGAACTTGCCACGCAAAGAGGTTGCCTGATGTAACAAGAGCAGTGAGGATACACCAAGGGAGGGGGTCTTCCCAAATAAGTCCCTGCAACCTTTTGAGCTGGCCCTGGGTCCCAATCCAAATGGGCGGTGCTCCAAGGGAGGCTGGAGGGCACCCCCTACCCAGGCTAGACAAGCCCAGCTGGTTCCAGAGGTTACGGGAATCCGAATACGGGGAAAGAATTTAGCTGTGGGTGCAGATGTTTCAATCCTGGCATCTCCAGGTGATCTCCAGGTGCCTGAAACACCTGGAAAGCAGCTACCAGTCAGTGTTGACACCACTGAACTAGGTGGACCAGTGGTCCTGCTTTGCGTATGGCAGTTTCCTACGTACCTCTTCTTGGCTGAAAGTTCAGCAGCCCCGGCCACATCATCAGAGGCCTTCCTCTTGGAGCTGAAAGATGCTTTCAGAGTCCTGTGACCTGGGGAGCCTGCGGGTTAAGGGAGAATCTTTTCAAGAGGACAAGCATTTGGACAATTCGGTTTATTTCTGTTGTCCAAAATGGGGACAGGGAAGACACACACACTTGTGTGTGCGTGTGCAACTAGCCTTCTTTACAAGCCACGAAAAGTAATCTCAAGGCTACCAAATGCTCTGCAAGTCAAGCTAAGTGAGAATCAATCAACAGCCGATTCAAAATCAGTATCAATGAAGTCATTTATCCAGCGCCACAGTAGCCTCCCCAAATCTCCCATGAGACCCACTCAGATCTAACAAGAATTTAAATCAGCATTTCTCAAACTTGGGTCGCCCAGATGTTCTTAGACTACAAATCCCATCATCTCAGGCCACTGGTCCTGTTAGATAAGGACGATGGGAGTTGTGAATGAATGAATTTTATTATTTCGGTCACAGATCAGCTCCAGCCCACATATCAAGGAAGTCATAAAACACGGTAGGGATACATTTGAATTTGCAGTTAGGTATAACAGGGACAATACAGATATAGCAACAGTTAAAAAATGTATAAATTAAAACTTAGTCACTAACATACAACCTAAAATTATCATTTAAGGCCTTAATCATTATTATAGCACAGCTTGTTCCCTACGTTTTATGGCAATCACACAGAATTTGGCTACACTTAACATGATCTCAGGATCCTTGTCCTCTACCAGGGATTTTAGACATTGAAGTTCGGATTCATTTGGAGATTTTCGCATAGCAGGGGTAATAAATACCAAGCGTATATCCCCGTTGAAACGGCAGCGTAACAAGGCATGAGAGACAGTTTCTACCTCCATCAAGCCACAGGGGCAGACTCGTTCCGCATATGGTTTACCCTCAAATCTGCCCTGCAGTAAGGCAGAGATGGGAGTTGTAGTCCAACAACATCTGGGGACCCAAGCTTGAGAAAGGCTGATCTAAATCTTCCCAGGGGGTGAGAAAGCAAATGCAGCTGTTGGTTAAAAAGAAATGCTCTACTCCAGAAACAGCTGCCTTCTTCACAGTGACCCAAGAGAACTTCAAGAATAAATCTGTTGCCGGATTGACTACATGGAACTGGCGGAAATGACTGGCAGAATCCGAGACCAGGGAGAAGAGTCGGTGAAAGAAGACTGGAAGAAATTTAAAGACTATTTACAGAAATATTGTAAAATTAAGGAATCTTAGAAGAATGTTGGATAGAAACTAAGAGCTTTTTAGCTGTAATGCTTTAAGAGATATGAAAAAAGGCTTACAATTGGGCAAAAGTTTAATGGTAAGGATTTGCTGAACTAACAAACTGAACTGGAATACGAAAAAGGGAGGTATGAGGAGGTCCGGGGAAATAAGTCTAGAGAAGATAGGTTTAGAAAATTAATGTCTTTTTAACTGTTTTATTTTGTATGTTTCTTTTTATCCTTTACTTTTTTGTTGTATTTTAAAAATTTTTTACTCTTCTTTCTGCATTTTGTATTTCTTCTATTTTTTGTAACTTTAATAAATATCATTTAAAAAAAAAAATCTGTTGCCAACTGGGTGCCCACAACCAGCAGCAAACTCAAAAGCTCTCTCCCTCAGCTGAGCGCTCTGGAAAATTTATTCCTTCAATTTGGCTCTCATACCCATCTCCCTTCTCCCCAATCCTAAGCCCCCATTACAGATAGGGAATAAATTGATTCAGTTCTCATTTAAAGGCGAATTGACTTAATTTGCACTTTCTGAAGGACTGTTTTCCCTCAGGCGGGGCTGTGAACTGACCGATTACAGGCCGGATCGTCCTCCTGCCACTGAATTAGCCAATGGCGACAGGAATTTAGGGGGCTTTCCCCTGGGCATGGTGCCCAGTAGCTGTGTTTGGCATCATGCCCAGGGCAAGGATAAATGCCCGGCCTGCAGGGCCTTTCAACTTCTTGCTCACTGCGCCGGATCTGAAACACTTCGAAATTTGCACTTCTCCGAATTTTGCGCTACAGTTTCCCGTGGAGTAACGCGTACAAAAACCAGTACTAAAGCGTCTGTATAAAAATGTCCAGATGAGCAAAAACAAAACACACGTGAATGCGTTATTTCAGGGGAAATGTGTCCATTAGAAGATATCGAATCCTGATGAATTTTCACGAGGACTTCTGAAAATTGCAAACTGGTTGGGAAGGCTATTGATGGCTAGTAGCCACAATGGCTTCTTTTCTGCCTCCACAACTGAGAACAATAAATGTTTCTGAAGTTGCTGGAAACCGCAGGCGGGGAAAAGGCTATTGTGCTTGGGTTGAGTTTGCTGGCTTTCCACAAACATCTGGTTGGCCACTGTGAGAACAGCATGCTGGATTAAATGAATCTTTGGCCTGATCTGCAGCAGCCTCTTCTTGCGTTCTTAAGTTGGAAATGTGGAGAACTGCGCTCAAGATTAGAAGAAGGGGAAAACCCCAAGAAACTGAAATTCAAGAGGATGTCCACTCACCCTCGCGAATCTCCTGGGAAGGGGCAGCGCAAAGGGCTCGGCCGGTCTTGAACTTGTTCAGGGCTTCGGTGACAATGTCTGAAGAGAAGAAAGAGAGGCAGAGAAGAGTTAAGAGTTTATTTATATATACATTGGTACCTCAGGTTACATACGCTTCAGGTTACAGACTCCGCTAACCCAGAAATAGTGCTTCAGGTTAAGAACTTTGCTTCAGGATGAGAACAGAAATCTTGCTCCAGCGGCACGGCAGCAGCAGGAGGCCCCATTAGCTAAAGTGGTGCTTCAGGTTAAGAACAGTTTCAGGTTAAGAACGGACCTCCGGAATGAATTAAGTACTTAACCCGAGGTACCACTGTATACATATAATTTTTATTCATTTTTCTTTTTCATTCATTACATACATTGAATATGAGAAGTCTTTCTTATTGTCCTCTTTAAAGATATCCTTTAATTGTCTATGATGCAGCCAGCTTTGAAGATGTTCTTTCATTTCGTCATATTCTTTCAATTTTAACTTTCCCTCTAGTTCAGCAACCAGCAATTCTCTATATGTTGGCCACTCTCCCCCCCCCAATGTTTTAAGTGATAGTGCTTCAATAGGTGATAGCCACCAGGATGTTTTGGGTTCTAATAAATCTTTATATTTTCCTCATACTTTAAACAATGATCTTCTTATTAAATGGTTGTGGAATCCTTTATGCACTTTTGCTTTTCCATACCAGTGGTAGGCATGCCATCCAAACCTATTATCATGTCCTTCCAAGTCTGTTATTTCCTCCCTTTCTAGCTTGATCCAATCTCGGATCCAAATTAGGGATGCAGCTTCATAATACAATTTTAAGTCTGGAAGTGAGAATCCATCTTTTTCTTTCACATCTGTTAAAATTTTATTTTTTTATCGTTGGCTTTTTCGCATTCCAGACAAATCTTGATGTTTCTCTATGCCATTCTTTGAAGCACACATCCCCTGTTATTACTGGAACAGTTTGGAAGAGAAATAACATCCTTGGGAAGAGTTAAAAGTTTAAAAGTTTGAGAGAAAGAGAAACAGGGCTGAAACGTCGCAGGGACATTTCAGGAAACCGGGACAAGTTGGTGAGGCGGAACAGAAAGAAGCCTGGGCAAAGGAGGCCCAGAAATTGAATTCAGGCCTAGACATCGAGAAAGCCTGGCTTGGTTATGGAAGCGGTCTAGTTTTTTCCAGCAGGATACAATTTTGTTTGCAGCTCTAATCTTGATAATCAAAAGCTGTTTGTTTGTTTGTTTGTTTGTTTGTTTGTTTGTTTTAAAAATCTAACAACTGTTCAGATTTGTTGATTTGGTACCCTCTGAGAAAAAGAAAAAGAAAAAGAAAACTCAGTCTCCATCACAGCCACCTTATACAGTGGTACCTCGAGTTAAGAATTTAATTCATTCTGGAGGTCCGTTCTTAACCTGAAACTGTTCTTAACCTGAAGCACCACTTTAGCTAATGGGGCCTCCTGCTGCTGCCGTGCCGCCGGAGCAAGATTTCTGTTCTCATCCTGAAGCAAAATTCGTAACCCGAGGTACTATTTCTGGGTTAGTGGAGTCTGTAACCTGAAGCGTAGGTAACCTGAAGCGTCTGTAACCTGAGGTACCACTGTAGAGACTTTCCCCTCTCTTCAAAGAAATTGAATTCAGGCCTAGACATCAAGAAAGCCTGGCTTGGTTATGGAAGCAGTCTAGTTTTTTCCAGCAGGATACAATTTTGTTTGCAGCTCTCATCTTGATAATCAAAAGCTATTTTTGTTTGTTTGTTTTTAAGTCAACAACTTTTCAGATTTGTTGGTTTGGTACCCTCGGAAAAACAGATAAAGAAAACTCAGCCTCCATCACAGCCACTTTCCCCTGCCTCGCCAAATAATTCTTCAAAAGCAAAGTCACTACCCTCAAACAAGGGCAGAGAACCTTTTAATCTCAAGAACGTATTCATTTGAGGATAACCTTTCAGGGGCCACATGCTACTGGTGGGCGGGACGAGAGCTGATGATGATGATGGTAATTTTATATCCCACTATTCCTCCCAAAGGACTCAAAACAAATGACAAAACAATAAAAAACATCTTAAAAACAATTCCGACACGGGTGAAGTTCTGATAAAAGGTGTGTCATGGGCAAGAGTCTCTCGGCAGACATAGCATTTCAAGTGCAGTGGGCAGACTCTGTTAAATGCGCAGCACAGTCAGGCTGTGGAGGGAGCCTACTGGCTAGCGCCCGTGACATCACCCAACAGAATTCCGAACTAAAAGAAGAAACCATGGAGAATGCTTAATGCTTCGAAAGCAGGTAAGTCTGCATTTCACCAACCAGAGAGAAATTTGGAAGCGCCAAACGATTGTCCAAGAAGATCTGGGTTTGGTCTTGCATACTCACTGCCCATGCTCCGTTGCCGCCTCCGCCTCCTCCTCCTCCCTTCGACGTGCTTTTCTCCAGCGTCTTCTGGGCCTGGTGGGGACAGTCTCTTGGTTTCTGCATCTGAGCAGGCGGCTTGGACTTTTTCCAGGAGAAGCTCGGGAATTGTGCCTGGACACAAGGGGAGATGGAGGGGGAAAATCAAGAGGGAATTACAATAATCAAATCCGGAAGTTACCAGAGCATGGAGTACCAGAGCATGGAGCATGTGGGCCAAGCCATCTCTATCTGTGAGATGATAATAATAATAATAATAATAATAATAATAATTTATTTATATCCCACCCTCCCCAGCCAAAGCCAGGCTCAGAGCGGCTAACAACAGTAAAATAATACAGCATTCTAAAATCAATTCATTATAAAATGAGTTCAAATCAAATTGGAACATAAGGAGTCAAATACAACATTTCCTGTTTCCCCAGAGTGAACACGCAGGGGAATGTAGGTCCAGCCAGGAGGACTTCCTGTCACACCTGGTCTGGAGCATCTTCCCCCTGCGTGTGACCAGGTAGATGGGCGTGACCCTGAAGGAACCCATAAAGCATGGGTAGGCAACCTAAGGCCTGGGGTCCAGATCTGGCCCAATCGCCTTCTAAATCCGGCCCACAGACGGTCTGAGAATCAGCATGTTTTTACATGAGTAGAATGTGTACTTCTATTTAAAATGCATCTCTGGGTTATTTGTGGGGCATAGGAATTCATTCATTTCTTCCCCCTTCAGCTGGAGTGCCAAGTCTGGCCATCGCTGTTTTAGTTAGTACACAAGCTCAGCAACACTTGTTTTTTTCAACAAGCCTGTCATTTTAGATGCCGTACACTAGGGGTCATGCAAAACATTCACTTTCAACTACACCCACACACCCACACACATTTCACTTCAGTACAATTTGGAAGGGGGTAGTCATTTTGTTGGCAATCTGAAATTGATAGTCTAGGGCTGCCAAACATCTGGGATTTCCCGGACACAGCCGGGATTCGATTGTTGGAAACAGTGTCCGGGCGGAAATTGCTTTAACGCCCAGGAAAATCTGGATGTATGGCAACCCATGTCGGAAGTGTTGATTTTTTTTGGTGAATTTCCTTTAAAACAGCTCAAAAACTTCTCTTTTTTTGAGATTTTGTAGTAAGTAAATAAATAAATAAATCTCAAGAACTTTGCCAAAAAAAGCTTTGTGTCCGGATTTTCAGTTTTTGAAATATGGCAACCCTAGGATTCACACTTTGGCTTCCGAAGGTCCCAGGTTCAATCTCTGGCATTTAGGGAAGTTTTTAATGTTTGGTTGTGTTTTTAATATTCTGTTGGGAACCACCCAGAGTGGCTGGGTATAAATAATAAATTATTATTACAGTGGAACCTGGGGTTACGGCAGGGATGCATTCCGGAGGCCCCGCAGCAACCCGAAAACGACACAACCCAAAGCATCTCGTCTGCGCACACGCGCATGATTTAGCGCTTCTGTGCATGCGCAAATGGCACAAACCCGGAAGTAACCCGTTCCAGTACTTCCGGGTTTGCGCCAGTCTCAAGCCGAGGGTGACGTAAGCTGGAGGCAATGTAACCCAAGACTCCACTGTATATTAGTATAGTAGTAGTAGTAGTAGTAATAATAATAATAATAATAATTTATTATTTATACCCCGCCCATCTTTCTGGGTTTCCCCAGCCACTCTGGGCGGCTTCCAACAGAATATTAAAATACAATAGCCATTAAAAGCTTCCCTAAACAGGGCTGTTTACAGATGTCTCCTAAAAGTCTGGTATTTGTTTTTCTCTTTGACATTTGGTATAGTATAGTATAGTATAGTATAGTATAGTATAGTATAGTATAGTATAGTATAGTATAAGACTGATGCCAGTCAGTGTAGACCAGGGGTAGGCAACCAAAGGCCTGGGGGCCAGATCCGGCCCAATCGCCTTCTCAATCCAGCCCAAAGACTATCTGGGAATCAGCATGTTTTTACATGAGTAGAATGTGTCTTTTTATTTAAAATGCATCTCTGGGTTATTGTGGGGCACAGGAATTCGTTCATTTCCCCCCCTTCAAAATATAGTCTGGCCCCCCACAAGGTCTGAGGGACGGTGGACTGGCCCCCTGCTTTAAAAGGTTACCGACCCCTGGTATAGACAATACTAGGGATGGGGAGAAAATTGGTTTGATTCCCATGAGTGTCTCCTCTCCCAGAAGTCAAAAAGAGCATTAAGGATAGGGTTAGTTTAATGCTCCATTTAGAGGAAAGTGATGGGGGAGGCAAGGGGGGCTCATACACCAGAGAAGGTAGCCCATCTAGGAGGAGAAAATCTCTGACCCCAAACCTCTGCTGCCTTGTGGGGGATCTTCAGGGAGGTAAAGGCTTAGGAGTAAAAGGTAAAGGGACCCCTGACCATTAGGTCCAGTCGTGACCGACTCTGGGGTTGCGGCGCTCATCTCTCTTTACTGGCTGAGGGAGCCGGCGTACAGCGTCTGGGTCATGTGGCCAGCATGACTAAGCTGCTTCTGGCGAACCACAGCAGCACACGGAAACGCCGTTTGCCTTCCTGCCGGAACGGTACCTATTTATCTACTTGCACTTTGACGTGCTTTCGAACTGCTAGGTTGGCAGGAGCAGGGACCGAGCAACAGAAGCTCACCCAGTCGTGGGGATTCGAACCACCGATGATCTGATCGGCAAGTCCTAGGCTCTGTGGTTTAACCCAGAGCGCCACCCACGTCCCTAAGGCTCAGGAGTAAACCCTACACAAATCTGGAGTGGAATCCCTAAGGTGGTTGGGTGGCGCCTTGTACACCTCTTTCTGGCAACTTTTGCAGCCCAGCTGGTGCCAAACACCTTTTCTCTGCCTTCCTTTGGACCACAAGATGACAACCATATCTTTTCCAGATGACTCCGCGCCCCTGGATTTACCACCACTTTCGCTTTGCATCCCTGAGAATCAGGGCTGGTCTGCACTTCCTCCCAGGTAAACCCACCCAGAAGGAAGAGGAAGCTACACCTAAAAATGGACAACAGGAAAAAGGAGGTGAGGCAAGGAAGGTGAAGGATGGGGAGAGAGACATGGGCAGCAGCACAGACGAGGAGTTAAGAGACAAGAGAAAATGGAATAGCCCATAAACTGTCATACGGCAGACGGTGTGTCACACGGCTCAGTATTTAGAAAACCTTTTTACGTTACTAGCAGTTAAGCCGGTTTTTAGCATCGCATCGACTGACCTATTGCACCATCAGTAGAAACTGTTAGGAGCTCAGCCTACACTCGAGTAGGACCCTGGCAGAGACACATGCCTGACTGGTTGATCATTCGGGAGCTTCAAAAGCTTTCTTCAGCCCGAACATCACAGCAACCAACACCGACACCTTAGGGATCCGCAGAGTTTGCGCATCATGCGGAACAGACCTCAGCAACTCAGCATTTTGGCTAATCTACTTTATTTACATATAAAAACACACAGAGCACTGCAACATGGCTCCCTCTCTCTCTAGCATCAGACAGCAAAGAGAAAAAGAACAAAGGACAATAGTCCCACCTCACGGAACACAGTAACACAAACATCCTGTCTCCGTCACTTCCCACTCTGTGGGGTCAAAATATACACCGTCGTGAAAGACAACAATCCCATGACTGCAATCATGGAGCAGGAATTCTAACAGAAACATCATGCAGTTCCTTTAAAAACGGGGGGGGGGGAGCAAATTTTGAGACTGTGCAGATGAGCCCATCGGACTTACCAATCTCTGCCGCGTGGCTGATCAAAGTGTGGACCACGGCTGCCTGCCTCTGCAGCTGCTCCTCAGCTCTGCTGTCCAGCTGGCTGCAAACCTCGTTGGGGAAGAGGGTGGGGGCGAAGATGACCGCTAGGTTGGCCAAGTCCATTTTGTTCTGGGCGCACCTGGGATTGCAAGGGAGGAGACAAGAGATTGGCAAGGGAGAAAGGGAGTCTCCTCAACCAGGAATTTGGGGGTGGTACCTCTGTCCTGTACCTACTAGCCTTGAGGTCTAGTAACTTGTGCTAAAGCTGGGATTCTCCATGCCGGGTTATATTTTGATCTTTCATTAGCATGTGTGTGGGTGTTACACGTAGCCTTGCTGGTATGTGGACAGAGGTAAAGGTAAAGGGACCCCTGATCATTAGGTCCAGTCGTGGCCGACTCTGGGGTTGCGGCGCTCATCTTGCTTTACTGGCCGAGGGAGCCAGCGTACAGCTTCCGGATCATGTGGCCAGCATGACTAAGCTGCTTCTGGTGAACCAGAGCAGTGCACGGAAGCACCGTTTACCATCCCGCTGGAGTGGTACCTATTTATCTACTTGCACTTTGACATGCTTTCGAACTACTAGGTTGGCAGGAGCTGGGACCGAACAACGGGAGCTCACCCCATCGCGGGGATTCAAACCGCCGACCTTCTGATCGGCAAGTCCTAGGCTCTGTGGTTTAACCCACAGCGCCACCCGCGTCCCAAGGTATAGTATGAGACTGATATTTTCTAATTTTTATGGTTTACCACACATTGTAATTGGAGTGCTATTTTGTGTCATGCAGCTGTTCGGACTGATGAAGCGTGTAGCGAAACCTGTAATATATCCGGAGAACTGTTCTCCTTTTGCCCACTTGCGTTATTCTCATCAGGGTCGTGGCTTTGATTTGCCTTCCCGTGACTCATCTATGCACACGGCTTTGTGTTTCCAGCTCAAGACCCATTGAAGAATATCTCATCCAGTCCAATCTTTGAAAAACAGCTTTGAAAAACTTTTTCATATTCTCCAGTGCGCTACCCTTGCTGCTGTGGCGGCACGGGGTTGCCGTTCTGTGATTGGACTTACACTGCTTGTTGAACGGTTCATTTATCCAGTCTGTATAACGTTTACTGCACATGTAACTTCTTAAGATATAGTTGTACATTTATCCATGTTTACAGTATCTCCAGGCTTTGTCTCGCACATGGCACCTTAGTATGTTTGTTATTTGAATGGTTATAAGTCTATCTCTATTCTAGCTATTATTCTAGTAAATTTGGTTTTATACTTATAAGCCAGTTTGTGGTGGTGTTGTTTTGTTGCAAACATAGCTGTCAACTTACAGATTTGAAAATAAGGGACCAGCAGCCTCAAAAATAAGGGATCAGCAGCCAAAATAAGGGATTTTCAGAGCACAGGTATGTTCAACTTCTGAGCCCCTCCGAGCCAAAGGCAGAAAGCCCAGCCAGCAGCCAAACGAAGCCTCAAGCCTCAAGGAAAACCACCGTCACCTCTCCGCTGGGAAGCGCTGAGCAAAGGCGAGTCCCCAGGCAACGCAGCCGATTTGATCAGCACAAGGCATGCAAGCTCCACCCCCCAGTCATTCTTAGACTTCTTATTGGGTGAGCAACGCAGAAAAGCAACACAGTTGGAGCCTCCCTCCTCCCGGATCGGCAGGGAGGGAGGGAGAGGAGCTGCTTCCTTTGAAACCCGGGAAATTTAAGGGACATCATCAATAAGGGACAGCAGCGGGACATGGCGCTGGGATAAGGGACTGTCCCGCCAAATAAGGGACGCTTGACAGCTATGGTTGCAAAAGGTATGCATCAAAGTGCGCTGAAATCTCAGGAACCAGAACAATGGGAAGCAGGATAAGGGTACAGCTTGGAGTGGCTAGGTGGTCTGGTTGTCGGCTGAGAACGAGGACAAACCCTGGGCAGGAATTAAGGGCACAAACTGGTCCTTCCCCATTGACCCACCTGGAAGCCACGTCCTGCAGGAACCTGAAGAAATAGCGGAGGAGATCGGTGCTTCTTTGGGGCAGCAGGGAGGTGAGCAGGAGAGTCAGAGGGTCGCTGTCCTCTTGCTGCTGGACCTGGCACAAAGGCCCCTGGATGCCAGCTGGGATCAGGGGCTCAGGGAGGTCCCTCAGGAACTGCTTCACCAAGGTGGCCACGTCGCACGGGAGAGCCATTGCCAAGCAGCGCTCGCCAGCCTCCAGCCGGGCCTGGAAAGGATGCAAAATGTGAAGAAGGAGAGGAGGCGAACCTTCAGGGAAGCAGCTTCCTTGGTCTACTTTCCCAGCTCTGAGTTATCAGCAAGAGGATCTGGAAGACCCAACAGTTCGTATCTGGTGGTGCAATGGTCTGGGGTCAAAAGGGGTCAAAGGCCCTGTTATGTACTGAGTTGAACAGGATCCAAAATGCAGCAGTCTGATTGGTCCTAGAACAATAGGATCCAAAATGCAGCAGTCTGATTGGTCCTAGAACAATAGGATCCAAAATGCAGCAGTCTGATTGGTCCTAGAACAATAGGATTCAGAATGCAGCAGTTTGATTGGTCCTAGAACAAAGCAGCAGTATAATTGGTCTGCAGGAGCCACCCAATCCAGCTCCAGGTGGAAGTGAATCCACAACCCGATTGGCCTACAGGAGAATCCCAGAATTAGCCAATCATGTGCAGCCCTTTGTGTAAATAATGTATATAAAGCAGACATTCTGGGGGAACTTCCATTCCTCCTCACCACTATGAGCTGAATAAAGAGCATGAAATCCACTCTTGACTCTGAGTATATTTCACTGGCGACGAAGGTGGGATCCTGCTGAACTGGTCCTATTGTTCTAGGACCAATCAGGCTGCTGCATTTTGGATCCCATTCAACTCAGTACATAACAGGCCCACAATTATTTCTGCTGCTGGGTCCCCCTCTCCAGCGTCCAACAACCACCTAGTCAGCAGGAAAGCAGAGCTTTTAGCTGCATTTAGGAACCCTGAAAATACAAAGTGCTTCAGTTTCAAGGGAACAGCATGCAAGTTCTGTTATGTATAATGTTGTGAACTGCCCTGAGATCTGCGGATGAAGGGTGGTATTCAAATTTAATAAATAACAATAGGAATAACTTCATGGAAAGCACATCTTAAGTCGCTCCCAAAGACAAGATCTGAGCACTCCAAATTATTTGCCCGTGCCAACCTCTGCTAAAAGTCCTTTTTCAAATTGTCTGTTAGTTAAGAGTTTGCATTTGTTTAGGAAATGCCTCTCCTAATCCAGCTGCCGACCAGCTTTGCCGAGCGACCCAGAGTTTTAAAAGGAGGAAAGGCAACTAAAAACGCCCTCCCTGTAGGTATTGGTGGGTTTGTGGAGAGAGTAGCAGACCTACTGCAACTAACAGACCTGGCTTACTCATGTTCCCTTGTTCCAATGGTTCTACTCTGAGCAGGACTAGCATTGCATACAACACAGTAAAAGGAAACTGTAATTTCCTTTTACTGACATTGGCCCCAAACCTATTTGACCTTCCACTCCCCACCTCACCCCAAAATGGTTTGTTTTTAAGAACCGCATAATAGATCCTATCCACTCCATCTAAGATTATTTTAAACTCTCCCCTTTTCCTCCCGCGTAGGAGAGCGAGCAAGTTCACAAGAGCAAAAAAATAAAACGAAAATGTTTTACTGGCAAGGCGATTTCTCAAGTTCCCCTCTCCTTGAGCAAATCTCTCCTGATAGGGATGTCAAAACATCTGCAGCTCACCGCCAGTGTCGTCAGGAGGAAGGAGAAGCCTGGCAAGACTGGCATTCTGGAGGTGCCAGGAGCTGGGAACATGATGAAAGGTAAATTTGGGGGGACACGCAACCTCTGGCTAAGGGATCAGCAAACTTTTTCAGCAGGGGGCTGGTCCACTGTCCCTCAGACCTTGTGGGGGGCCGGACTATATTTTGAAAGAGGGAAAAAAAGAACGAATTCCTTTGCCCCACAAATAACCCAGAGATGCATTTTAAATAAAAGCACACATTCTACTTGTGTAAAAACACCAGACAGGCCTCACAAATAACCCAGAGGTGCATGTTAAATACCGTAAAAGGACACATTCTACTCATGTAAAAACACGCCGATTCCCGGACCGTCCATGGGCCGGATTTAGAAGGCGATTGGGCCCATGCTCTAGCTCCTGCACATCTCCAGCTCTGCGTTTTACCTTCAAGGCTTTGATACGAGTCATGGATCCACATTTCCGGAAGAGCCCTTCCACATGAAGATGGGGTCGGAGCAACTCGCAGGCGTCCACAAGGAACCTTGGGTTGAAATGCAAAGAGGCCGCAATGAAGCAGCATGGAATCTATGGAGATGGGCTATTATAAGGGGGCACGACTGCTTATGGAACGAGAGGGAGTCAACAGATAAAGGCCTCCTGCACGGATCACGTTCGCAACCCAAGCGTCCACTGTACACTGGTACCTTGGTTTAAGAACAGCTTAGTTTATGAACAACTTGGATTGAGAAAGCTGCAAACCCGGAAGTAGGTGTTTTGGTTTGTGAACTTTGCCTTGGAAGCAGAACATGTTTTGCTTCCTGTTGAGTGCGTTCCATTTGTAAATTGAGTCCCCCGCTGCTATGGGAAAACACACCTTGGTTTAAGAACGGACTTCTGGAACGGATTAGAAGAAAAAGAGTTGGGATTTGATATCCCGCTTTATCACTACCCTAAGGAGTCTCAAAGCGGCTAACATTCTCCTTTCCCTTCCTCCCCCGCAACAAACACTCTGTGAGGTGAGTGGGGCTGAGAGACTTCAAAGAAGTGTGACTAGCCCAAGGTTGTTGTTTTTTTGTTTTGGGTCGATTGTCAATTCTCCATTTGTGTCTCATTCTTTTTTTAGAAAACACCATAACTTTGGATTTGCTATAGTTAACTGTTAATTGTTCAGCATTACAATAAACAGTGAGAGTTCTTAGAAGTTTTCTTAGGCTTACACAGGAGAAGGAAATTAGAACTGCGTCATCCGCATATAAAAGAACCAGGAGGGGTGTACCAGCCAATTTAGGGGGGTGGGCATTTTCTTTCTCCATGTTTCCTACTCAGGAGTTAATATAGAAGTTGAATAAGGTAGGCGCAAGGACGCAGCCTTGTTTAACACCATGGGAGGTTTGGATTTCCTTGGATAAATGGCCCTGTCAGTCACACCTAACCCGGACCCAAGTGTTTGCATATAAACTGTGGATGAGACACAGTAGACATCTGTCTATGTTTAAGGTGCTTAGTTTTTCCCAAAGCCTATCTCAAGGTCACCCAGCAGCTGCATGTGGAGGAGCGGGGAAGCGAACCCGGTTCACCAGATTACGAGTCCACCGCTCTTAACCGGTACACCACACTGGCTCCTGTGTTCGTAACACCAAGGTATTAAGTTAGTAAACCAAGGTACCACTGTATGGGAAAATTACCCAGGGTTCTCTCCTCTGACATAAGGCAGGAGTGCTGCATTTTCTCCATGGCATTGTGGGAAAAGATGGTGCGAGCTCCTCTTGGGCTAAGACTCACACGATTCAAACAAGGTTGTCACTCATTGCAACAGGGAGCTGGTGATCTGGGGTGTGCGTGTCGCACGTTACTCACTGTGGCACCCCTTCTACATGCTCCGAAAGGGGCAGCAAGTGCAACGGAACACCGAACAAACCACCGGACGGAGGAGACAGAGTGCTATTCTCCTGAAAGAAAGCAAACATGAATCAAGCTTTTTGAGGAAAGGTTTATTCATCTGAAGCATTTGAACGTCCCTCCTTCAGCCAGATAAAAGGCTCCCCAATCGGCTTACTAATACAACAGCCTTCCCGACCCTCAAGCTTCCCATCAAAAAGACGCAGCACAAAAGGAAAATGGATGTGGAGGGAGGAGGAATAAAGCAAACTCAGGCACTAGCTCTCAGTTGCACAGCTCTTAAGAAACCAGCTGAACTTGTCAAGTGTCAAATACGGATGGCGTTGAAGAAAAGCAACATTGAAATCAGTCTTCCATGCCTGTTAGCCGCTGGAGAGACACCAGAAAACTTTGGACGGATTCTGAGAAGGATGATGTGAAGCATTTTTTTAATTGGGATCTGCCATTATGGGAGAAGGACGTGTTGCAGAGAGGTGAGCTCTTAATTTGTTATTATATCTGTACTTCAAGTCGGATTTGGCAAATCTCCCCTAGAAAGACTAATGTTTGATGCAACCTGTCTGAGAAAATTAATGAGCAAACGCCCAGATTTTATTTCATTGGAACTGAGTGAAGATGGCGTCTGCCACCAGAGAAGGACTTTTGGATTGATTCGGCATAAACACCAGCGTGTGAGGAAATTCTGCAAACAACAGACTTACCAGCTGCAAAAAAAAAAAAAAAAGGAGAGTCATACAAATTTCACACAGAAGCACATTATTGTTTATTTCAACTCGCCTGTGGAAACAACTCAGAGGCCGTGAAAGAAGGAAGGATAACAACAGGAAGATTTAAAGAAGGAACTATTGGAAACTCGAGGCAGTAGAAACGTAAGATGATTGGAACCCCGCTGAACTTGAAGCATGGGAAGCCCCAACAAAAATGTATAATTTGGCAGAATATTTGGACTATATGTATTTGTATAATTTGGAATACTTAATGTGATTTGATTGGATTGTTAAAATGGAAAATTTAATAAAAATTAATAATAAAAAAAAAGAAATCAGTCTTCCATGCCAAACACATGGTGGGTGGAGGGTGGGAAACGTGCCTCTGAGCTTGTGCAGAGCATCATTTCCTCACCACTGAGTAAGTACAACTATTCCGCTACAGATCTGAAGTCATCTGGAAAGGGCTTCCCAGGTGGAGAGGGCACAGGACAGACCTTTCCATTTTATAAATACCCTGGGGATTGGCCAAAGCAGATTGGGTTCCAAATCTTCCCTCAGGAAAGCAGAGTTCCTGGGCTCTGGAAAGCCAAAAACAGCACCAGCTCTCCGAATCAAGAGCTGCTTCTGCATTCACCCACAAGGAAACTGCTTGCTAGCAAGCTGCAAAAAGTTAAGACAGGTTTTCTCTGCTGCCAGATGTATCCAAAACTGTAGGCGCTGTGTCTTCTTGGAATAACAGGCTTGGAATTGCCCAAGAAAGATGTTAAATTATTTTTGTATGCCACAACTGCTGCACGTATTTTGTTAGCTAAAAAGTAGAAAACCCAAGAATTACCAACAATAGAAGAATGGCAGATGAAGATGATGGATTTTTTGGAGCTAGACGACCTGACCAGAAGAGTCCGCGACCAGAAGGAGGAGGAGTATAAGGAAGAGTGGAATGAATTTAATGATTATTTAGTTAAATTTGTTAAGTTAAACTAACTGAAAATAGCTTGCAGATACTTAATGGGCTTAGGATTTTATTTATGTTAAGTGATGAATTAATATGTATTAATAATTAATACGCCCGCCCTGTGGAACGCCCTCCCATCAGATGTCAAAACGATAAACAACTACCTGACATTCAGAAGACATCTTAAGGCAGCCCTGTTCAGGGAAGTTTTTAATGTATGATATTTTAGTGTTTTTTGGTTTCTATGGAAGCCGCCCAGAGTGGCTGGGGAAACCCAGCCAGATGGGCGGGGTACAAATAATAAATTATTATTATTATTATTAATTCCATAAGGTGAAGATCTAAGGATGTTAATGTTTAAGTTAAATTTCATAAAAATTGGGATTTGGAAAACCGTTAAAAAGACATGAAATGAAATTCAACCAAGGGGAAGCGAGGAAGTCACTTAAAGTTAATAACTGTAATTTTCAATAAGGCTATGATTTATGTTTGTTTGTCTTGTGTGTGTGTTTGTTTGTTTATAATATTGTGAAAACTAATAAAAAAAATTGGGAGGGGGGACTGTAGGCGCTTTTTACCACATACCCTGGCAAAATGCATGCATTTACAGCACATCCCTTCCACCACAGCCCAAGATCCTGGGAACTGCAGCTTACCCCCTCACAGAACTACAGTTCCCAGCACCCTCAAACTACAACTCCCAGGATTCTTTTTTTGCAGAGGGGGGACGTGCTTTAAATGCATAGTGTGTGTAGTCAGCAGTCTCGGCTTCTGATCTGCAGTGGACGTGCTCTGAATTCCTGGAGATCGAACTGTCAGCGCACGCATCAAGGAAAAGCCGTTTGCTATTGAGCTAAGCAAAAGTCTTAGAGAGACAGCCGTTTCCTTATTTCATGTTCTATATTTAAGGGGTAGGAAATCAAGCGCGCTTCCCCCTTGGAGACAACACATAGCAGCCTGCCCGCAAAAAGGAAAACACTTCCTTCCCTTGCCCACTTCTGCCTCGCTCTCCAAGTTGGTGGTGGGTTCAAGGAGGGCAGTTCCCTGCTCCCCTGTCCAGCCACGTTTTGGGCTTTCAGTTTACTCCGAGACTCGGCCACAAAGGGTGTGTGAATTTGTAGACAAAGACACACATACACCCACCCACCCCAGGGTACAAAAAAAACTTCCTGCTTGCAACTCCCCCAAAAGGATAGCCTGGTTTTGCTCCAATAACCTGCTTGCAAAATCCATTTCGCTAGAATTTAATTTTTAAGGCCCAACCCTGCCGAAAGCAGGCATAGCCAAGTTGGCTGTGCGTTGCTTCCAGGAACAGAGCTGGCATGACTCTGTGGGCGTGTGCACTTTCCCAGAAATTCACTTCCATCTGGGTTCACACCGGGGTGTGTGTGTGTATGTGGACAGGGGGCGGGACATGTCTTTATCTGTCTCCCGGTGAGTTCAAGGTGGCATCCATGGTTTTCTTCCTGCTTCCCCTTTTATCCTCACAACGACCCTGCGAGGTAGAACAGGCTGTAAGAAATCTCTCTCTCTTGTCCAGCGGGGATTTGAACCGTGGTCTCCCAAGTTGTAGTCTGGCACTCTAACCACTATGCTGCACTGTCAGAGGTTTCCGCACACTGGCTAGAGAGGAATTGGGATCGGCTTCTGGGCTCTGACTGGCGTAAAGCTGGTTCGAGAAGCGACGCATCGAACCGCAGTATTTTCTAATAAGCTACAAGATGCAGATGCGTTTTGGGCTGTTGTCGTCGTCATCATCACCATCTAAACTTATCGATTGCTTTTTTATGGCGTGGAGACACAGATTAAAAACCCAGCAATGGAAACTTGGAGAGTGGAGAGTAACTGGCAGTGTGAATTCAACCTCAATACCAGATCCTGAGGTGCAGCAGTGAGAGAGTGCTAGATTATTTATTTATTTACTATTTATTTATTAGGAACGCGGGTGGCGCTGTGGGTTAAACCACAGAGCCTAGGACTTGCCAATCAGAAGGTCGGCGGTTCGAATCCCCCCGACGGGGTGAGCTCCCGTTGCTCGGTCCCTGCTCCTGCCAACCTAGCTGTGCTGGTCCCGGGGGGAAGGTTACCGTTGACGTAGTCAAAGTCCGGTCCTGGGTCACTGGTCCGGAAACAGTTCCCAAGGAGCGAGGCGAGGTCCGAAGCAGAAAGCCGGGCGGGGACAGGATCACTGGAAGGTCAGGTCTGGGTCCGGGCAAGAGCAGGTACTCAACAACGTTGCTCCCGCAACCTGGGACCAGGCTGACTGGCCTTTATCTTCTCTGAGGCCAGGGGCGGTCCCGGCCCCCAGGAGACCCGCCTCTCCTGGCCTTAAGGCGAGAACTCCTCCTGGGAGAAACCAGTTCCCTTCGCCTCTCTGCCCTTCGCCTCTGCAGTTCAGGAGAGGCTGAAGGGTTACTGGACCCAGGGGGAGACTCACCTGTAGGCACTGAGTCCTCAACCACCTCCGGAACCAGAGTGGATTCACCTGGTGCCTGCTCCTGAGGAACCGGCACAGGTGCAGGCGCTTCAGAATCAAGGCCCTGCCCCAGTTCAGCTGGCCCTGGAGGCGGGGACTCCTGTGCAGGCTGGGATTCCTCCGGTTCAGCCTCTGAATCGGATTCCCAGGCCATCACACTAGCAGTTCGAAAGCACGTCAAAGTGCAAGTAGATAAATAGGTACCACTCCGGCGGGAAGGTAAACGGCGTTTCCGTGCGTTGCTCTGGTTCGCCAGAAGCAGCTTAGTCATGCTGGCCATATGACCTGGAAGCTGTACGCCGGCTCTCTTGGCCAATAAAGCATTTCGCAACAACCCTGTGAGGTAGGTTAGCCTAAGAGATGGCGACTGGCTCCAAGGTCACCCAGTGAGCTTCACGCCTGAGTGGGGATTCGAACCCTGGTCTCCCAGGTCTTACTCCGACACTCTAACCATTGCACCACACTATTGCACTCATAGGCTGCTTTGGGGCTTCCCAGGGGCATATGGTTAGCTGCTCTGAGATGCTAGACTCGGTAGGCCTTTGGGCTGGACCAGCAGTGGTTCTCCTTAGATGTCAGGAAACATTCCCCACTTCCATGAGAGGATGAAGCTAGTTGCAAGAATTTATGTATGGGTTGGGGGGTTTGCCCCTCCATCAGATATCATGCACATGCAGCCCACTACCAAAACCAGCACAATCGCTTTTGTGACTTTTGTGATTTGTCCCCACAAAACACTTCATCGCAGTTTCTTCCTATCTATTCAAAGGGCCTTTGCTGCACGATACCAAATGTAAGAATTCACTGATAAATGTATCTATGTACTGGCTCACTGGGAAAACTTCAGAAATTCATATAGACCTGTGAGCTCAGCTACTCAGCAGCCCCTCTGCCTGGGTGATAATCCCTGGCATCCTGATACCTGAGTGCCAGACAGGTAGCCATTCCAGAAATAACAAACCCAGATGAAGACAAAAGAGTGTGATTAACTTGGCTGGGAAACAGGGAAATGTAAATATCATTTTTGTTACACTTGATGGGTGTTTGGTGGAGGGCAAAGAGAACCATGGGGCAGGGTCCAGGATGCTCAGATTACGGCCACCAGACCTTCCCTTTCATGATGTAACTGTGATGTATGAGTGATGTAGTTTTAGGGGGTGTAACATGGGGATTAGCAGCTAATAAAAGTTTGGGGGCTCTTTTGTTTGGGGCTTCCATCTTGTTCCACCTTGAGGCAGGTGGGAGTCCTGTCGCAACAGTCTTCAATAAAGACCAAGCCTACTGGCTGCTGTTTTGCTCTGGTATTCCTGGCTGGTGTCCTTGTTTTTTGTCCAAGGGAGCCCTCAGATTTCTCCGTTAACAAGCTACTCCTCACTCTCTACTGAAACAGAAGCTCTCTGCACATGCTCAGAGTCAGATTAGAGCGAGACCCGGAAACTAAGGCGCTCTTTCCCGCGTGGGGCCGGAGGCCACCTTTATTAGGACTTGGCAGGCACCAAGCGAGTCCCAGCAACAAAAACGAGTTGTCCTGGGGCTTCGCTTCAGCAGAAGTTAAGCCCTGCAGCTGTCTGGCATTTCTGACTCAGGCTACCAGAGAAAGCAGAGCGTCGCTCCATCATCACTGCACACAGGTGTTTGCCTAGAGCTTGTTACACCTGTTGGATTTCGGCCTGTCACGTACCGCTGTCACACAGGATCACAGGCCTGCCCGCACCAATCCATCTAGCTTGGAATAAGTTTATGCTAACCAGCAGCATTTAAAGACGCCTGCTTCTTGGGAGAAAAGCAATGACAAACCTAGACAGCATCTTAAAAAGTAGAGACATCACCTTGCCAACAAAGGTCTGTATAGTTAAAGCTATGGTTTTCCCAGTAGTGATGTATGGAAGTGAGAGCTGGACCATAAAGAAGGCTGATCGCCAAAGAATGGATGCTTTTGAATTCTGGTGCTGGAGGAGACTTTTGAGAGTCCCATGGACTGCAAGAAGATTACACCTCTCCATTCTGAAGGAAATCAGCCCTGAGTGCTCACTGGAAGGACAGATCCTGAAGCTGAGGCTCCAAGACTTTGACCACCTCATGAGAAGAGAAGACTCCCTGGAAAAGACCCTGATGTTGGGAAAGATGGAGGGCACAAGGAGAAGGGGATGACAGAGGACAAGATGGCTGGATAGTGTTCTCGAAGCTACCAGCATGAGATTGACCAAACTGCGGGAGGCAGTGGAAGACAGGAGTGCCTGGTGTGCTCTGGTCCGTGGGGTCACGAAGAGTCGGACACGACTAAACAACAACAACAAACCAGCAGCAGGTCTGTCAAATGGCGAATCTTTCCGAGCTCTGGGTTCGAGCAATTTCCCCCTTGAAAATCTGCTCTTAATTGCAGAGTTTGCTCCAATTCAACAATAAAGAGCAGGCTTACAGTTTCTTCAGTTTCGGGTTTAGAATGTGTTCTTCGTCGTAAACCGCTTTGGTCTTACACTGTTTTGTAAACATATGAAATCAGCATAAAATAAATGCACGTTATGTTCAAGATAAAGCAGCAGCTGTACTCCAACCTACAGGATTTCAATCTTCTTAGTGATTAAAACAACCACTAAAAATAATAAATATTTCACTTAAAGGAAGGGAACTGAGATAATCATCTTCCCATGTTGCCTTCTCCACAACCTTGCGAGGTAGGCCTAGTCGTTCCTCCAATCTACAGTTTACTACCCGCCATTCTGGCTGCCTGTGGGCCTTAACTCCTCCTCTTTGACAATCCCCAACCCGGCGCCCTCCAGATGGTTTGGACTACAACTCCCAATGCCCTCGATACAGCTTTGTTGCAGTGCATTGTGGGAGATCAAAACGTGTCTGGATCCCACGCTCCTCCGAGCAGCGAGCCAGGAAACTGTTTTTCAGAGGGCTCCTGGGCAAGTATTAGCAAGGGCCCTGCCATTTGCCCAGGAATGGCAGGTGTTGACGCCAGCCCTGCCCGAGGGCCAAGACGCAACACTTTCATTCCTTGTTCGGAGACAGAATTCCAAGAAAGCGTTAAAAGGTTGCTGAGAATACAGCTTCCCCTGAAAAGAATCCTGGGAACTGTAGTTTAAGGGCGCCGTGAGGGGTAAACTACAGTTCCCAAGGTTCTTTGCGGGAAGCTGTGTGCTTTAAATGTATGGATGTGGCCAAAGGAAGACTCAGTGGCCAATTCAATTTGCTTCTTGGTTCTTTCCAGAAAAGTCCCTCACACCACCAGAACCAAAAGTTTATGTATTTATATAAAAATAATAATACCTGCAGGTTTATTATACATATATTTTGCAGCTTTTTTGTGGACTTCTCTTTGTTAGCGGTGAGATTATGGTAGTTTTTGGTGTGTGCTTCTTAAAAAAACAAAACCTATTCAACCCCCCCTCCCACACACACACGCAAAGAATATACCCGCTACACAATTTAATCATGAGAATCTGTGATTTGCACTGCTGATAATGCTGGGGGGTTAATAATAATAATAGTAATAATAGTAATAATAATAATAATTTATTATTTATACCCCGCCCATCTGGCTGAGTTTTCCCAGACACTCTGGGCGGCTCCCAATCAAGTGTTAAAAACAATACAGCATTAAATATAAAAAAACTTCCCTAAACAGGGCTGCCTTCAGATGTCTTTTAAAAATAGGATAGCTGCTTATTTCCTTGACATCTGATTGGAGGGCGTTCCACTGGGCGGGCGCCACCACCGAGAAGGCCCTCTGTCTGGTTCCCTGTAACCTCACTTCTCGCAGGGAGGGAACCGCCAGAAGGCCCTCAGAGCTGGACTTTAGTGTCTGGGCTGAACGATGGGGGTGGAGACGCTCCTTCAGGGATACAGGACCAAGGCTGTTTAGGGCTTTCAAGGTCAGCACCAACACTTTGAATTGTGCTCGGAAACGTACTGGGAGCCAATGCAGATCAATCAGGACTGCTTTTGTTTGCATGTTCCTGTGTTGTGTATTTTTGTGTTTTTATTTTGTAAACCAGCCTGTGATCCTCAGATGAAGGGCGGTATATTTTAATAACAACAACATTTAAGGCGCACCATAAACTAGGACAAAAGGCAAACAGGGGTTGCACAAGACACAGAATATCTATTTTTAAATGCCCCACCCACTGTTAACACACAAGACCCTCACCCCACTCACCTGGCTAGGACTGGTCTTCCAAGGTCGGACATGAATGCTGATACTTGTGAGGTACTGAACGATGGCATGCGACGGCACACCTTTCGCCGGGCTGGGCATGGTGCGTGCACAGATCGCGAAATTTCACATGTTCAGGCCTAAAGAGTCTGGCGCAGGGAGGTTTGGGGGCAAAAGTGTGTGAGGAGAAGCAGTTTTTTGGGTAAAGGAAAAAGGTACGGAAAAACCCAACCAAATTAAGCCAGGCCAAATTTGCAAGAGCCACACCCAGCGGCCGGACTCCTAAGCAAAATGCTTCAGCACTACTAACAAATATTATTTCCTGTTATTTTCCTGGTTAACTGACCATCCAAGTTGCGTCTGGGAATCCCAACAGAGGCCAGGCTTTTGGAAAGCCAAAAATGAACGTCTTTTGCTTTCAAGTTTCCCCTCTGCATATTCTTCTGCTTGTAAATCTGTCAGCGGAGACCTCCAGATATCTAATCTTTACTCCGCAACCGTTTTAAAAGAAACCACCCCTTTTCTCTCTCCAGGCCCAGTTTAAAATCTCCATCTACGCGTTGCCTAAACTCACATCGTCGCAAGATCTGATCTACGCTGCTCTCCCAGCCACAACAAATCTCTCCATTATCAAATGGAAACTTTTACTTCTGAATAACGTTCTTTCCCCACCTCTAAGTGGGGGGGAAAACAACAACCTCTCTTTGGTGAAAGAGAAAAAGTTAAGAAGGGGCTTGGGAGCCAAATTGTCTCATTTATTAATTCGCTCTGGGAGGCCAGGCAATATTTAAAGGAACACAGACCTCTCCCAAAGACAGAGCTGTATCCTTAAGGGGAAAGATGGGTCGGCAAAAGTGAATTTCTGCAATTACGCCTCCCGACGTTGATGGACTACAACTCCCATCATCCCTGATCATTGCTCAGGTTGACCGGTGCTGATGGGAACTGGAGTTCAAGCACAACTGGAAGGACAGAGGATTTCCCCGTCCCAAATCCTGGGCAAGAGTGTTACAGTGATGGAAATGGGGTACAGGAATCAGGGGTTCAGGGGGGAAATGAATGGCGTAATGTGTGGTTTGGGGGGGCAAAGTTGTGTTGTGGTATCTTTTTAGATCAGCCCTGGGCCCTTTACTGCAAAGGTGGGTAATAAACGAAAGAAACAAGAGCAGATAATTACAGCCTGGATAGAAACCAATGTGTTTTTCATGAGGCATGAAAAACACTTCACTGCCCCCAACACTGAAATTCATATTTTAAATTCCATGGGGGCTCCAACACTACCCCATGTCCCTTTCTCAGCAGCTCAAACCAGATCGCCAGCTGAAACCTCTCCTGGCAAATTGAGGAAAACATTCTCACCTGCTCAGGGCTGCAAATCAGGCTGCTGCAGAAAGCCAGGGGCCAGCTGGAAACATGGCGATCTTTGCTGCGAAATAATTATAAGTATAATTCTTGACTGTTCTTAATAAACCGTAACGTTTCCTGGATTTGATTATGTTTTGAGTTGGAATAACCAGATATTTTGATGGAGGAACATGCTTGGATTTTCCGTTGGGTGCATAGCGTTGTATATTTTTTTTTAATGGCTGAAAAATCTAAAAAAATAAAAGGGGAAGAGGCCCTTTTGCATTTGAGTCTCTGAATGCGCTGGCGCAGTGCAAAGGGATATACCATATTTTTCGCTCTATAAGACGCACCAGACCACAAGACGCACCTAGTTTTTGGAGGAGGAAAACAAGAAAAAAAATATTCTGAATCTCAGAAGCCAGAACAGCAAGAGGGATCGCTGTGCAGTGAAAGCAGCGATCCCTCTTGCTGTTCTGGCTTCTGGGATAGCTGCGCAGCCTGCATTCACTCCATAAGATGCACACACATTTCCCCTTACTTTTTCGGAGGGAAAAAGTGAGTCTTATAGAGCACAAAATACGGTAGCTCAGTGCTTAGAGCATCTGCAGATGGTCCCAGGTTTATTCCACATCAGCATCTCCAGATAACAATAATAAAAATAAAAATAATAAAAATAAAAATAAAAAACTATTATTTGTACTCTGCCCATCTGACAAGGCTGTGGAAGACACCTGCCTGAAACCTGGACAGCTGCTGCCAGTCCGTGTTGACATTAATGCCAGTTCCACTTTCGCATGCGGCCCCTGGAAGGCTGACCACCAGCCAATGTGGCCCTCGGCCTGAAAAAGCAAGTAGCCGCCTCTGTAGCAGGTACACTTCTAGAATCATTAACCAGATCTGGAAGAAGTGTGTGTGTTTGTTTATGGATGACAGAATTCTTGGCAACTATTCCTGGGGTAATAATGGGGGACATTTTGCATTCCCCCAATCTCCCCTTCCCACCTCTGAATAGCACTGGGAGTTGCCATTCTCCCCTGCCCCCTCCCCAATTTGCTGATTTCATTTGCTGCATGGCAGGCAGAAATTCAACAGATGCAGCTTTCCTCAGCATGAAAGTGCATTCATGGGGCAACCTCTTCTTTTGCCTGCCAAACTAAGCCCCGTTGAATGCTTGCCTGCTGCGCAGCTGTCAAATGTGCTTTTTTTATTTTTAAAAAAGGAAGATTTTGAGTGGCAGCACAAACATTGACACCGTTCAGTCCTGTTTGTACTATCTGTTGCTCGCATGCATGCTCAGACAGACACACGCGCGCGCACACACAATCACATGTGCAACTCAGTTCCTTTTAACCGCACATCAGCATAAAATCAACCAGTTCTGTTTGACTCAGCTGTGCTGTGGTCTGGAAGAGACATTCTCCCGTATTGCTTGCATTTGCCCCAATTGGGGCTGAGCCCAGAAGCACCTGGCTGAGAGGTTTCAGCTAGGAAAGCAAGAAGGACCCCCTTCCCAGGCCCTCAGCCCCCCCACCCGGCCCCACAGAGAACCGAACGGGTGACTTGGTTGGAAGAAGATGATCCGACGAGAGAGCAAGAGGTAAGCTAAACTTTACTGAGCTGCCGCTCCTTCTTCATCTTACTCACTGGGATTTTCCTGTTTTGTGTCATGGTGACCTGGGGAAATTTCAGCCAGTTTGATATTTCCTGGCGGGGCGTGTTTTGTTCTAATTTTGATCGCCGCTGCTGGAAACTCCACACAAGCGCCTGGCCGTCAGGTGAAATGCTGCCGTTCCCAAGGTATTGTCAAGTTGCCAACTTTTTGTGGGGGCTGCTGCTGTGCTATGCCTGATGAACTTCTGCCTGTCTTGCAACTGATAAAGAGGCAGGAGGTGAGTCGTCCCTGTGCATGTGGCCCTGGGTTTGTGGGGACTTTTCATCCATCCCTTGATTGATTGATTGATTGATTGGCACCTGTCTGTCTCGGGAGACAACTAAAGAGTGTGCAAACTGTTGGAGAGTTACAGCGCCTGCTGTGGCCGTAAGACACCGATGCAGGAGAGACATGTTTTGTTGCAGACGGGGCAGATGAAGGCGTCCAGTTATGCTGCTGCAAATGCGCCACGGCTTTTCTTCTCTCTGCCTTCCTCCCAGCGGTCATTCCTCCTCTGGTCACTGCTGCGGATGCACACCCTGACTGTCTCTAGGCACTGTGGTCATCTGCAAGGGATTCCCATCTGGTGTGTTGACGTTGCCGGCTTTCATATCACGTTTGCAGACACCATTGTAACACGGAGTTGGTCTGCCCATGGACTTGCCCGCAGACCAAGTCCTTGGGGACCCTGTCATCTTCCATTCCGGGAAGGGGCAGTATTCCATCACACTGCAAAATAAAAAAAAATGGACGGGGACACGTGTAGCTGTCCAGTTTTAGAATCCAAAGAGGAGGATTTGCATTTATTTATTAAAGTTCTTATGTTACATCGGTAAACATTATCATATTACATCACAAGGCTCATTATACTATAATTTTCAACATGTATACAATGTCCACTGTATTTTTCGCTCTATAAGACGCACCAGACCATAAGACGCACCTAGTTTCTGGAGGAGGAAAACAAGAAAAAAAAATATTCTGAATCTCAGAAGCCAGAACAACAAGAGGGATCGCTGCACAGCGAAAGCAGCAATCCCTCTTGCTGTTCTGGCTTCTGGGATAGCTGCGCAGCCTGCATTCGCTCCATAGGACGCACACACATTTCCCCTTACTTTTTAGGAGGGAAAAAGTGAGTCTTATAGAGCAAAAAATATGGTATATACTAAAAGGAAAAAACAAGGGCAAAAAACTATTCCAAAATCATATATATACCAACATTTTGAACTTCCTGTCTATCCTGTTGTATATTCCTTTTTTACAAATGAATGTACTCTTATTATTGTATATTTCTTTACATTGTATCTAATACATTCCTATATCAATATGTACCCTTGGTCTTATTTTTCAACTCAGTCTCTCTCCAACGTCAATCGAATGCTAGCATAGATAGCGAAACTTTACTGTATTTTTGAACATACCATATATGTTATATCCCACTTTCCATAAATTTTTGTTTTGAATTGTCTCCCAGGCAACTGTGCCATTTCAGCAAATTCTTGTAGCTTGTTATGCCAATCTGTTATTGTCAGGACTTCTTCTTTCTTCCACCCCTTTGCCCCTTTGCCACCAAAGTCCGAGCTGCAGCCGTTGCATATAAAAATACCTCCCTAAAGGCATTCAGTTTCAGGTGAGATTCAGGAACGAATAACTGTGTGGAGGATGGATTGCAGGCTTCATGTGCATCTTCTTCAATAGGTACCAGATTGAGCATCCTTGTGGACAGTTAACCTGAATAATTAGGGCCTGATAGGAGACAGAGGGGACGCGGGTGGCACTGTGGGTTAAACCACAGAGCCTAGGACTTGCTGATCAAAAGGTCGGCGGTTCGAATCCCCGCGACGGGGTGAGCTTCCATTGCTCGGTCCCTGCTCCTGCCAACCTAGCAGTTCGAAAGCACATAAAAGTGCAAGTAGATAAATAGGTACCACTCCGGCGGGAAGGTAAATGGAGTTTCCGTGCGGTGCTCTGGTTCGCCAGAAGCAGCTTAATCATGCTGGCCACATGACCCGGAAGCTGTACGCCGGCTCTCTCGGCCAATAAAGAGAGATAAGCGCCGCAACCCCAGAGTCGGCCGCGACTGGACCTAATGGTCAGGGGTCCCCTTTACCTTTAGGAGACAGAGAATAGGGGTGTTACAAAGTTCTTCTTCTTCGGCGAACACTCGTAGCCGAGTAAGATTGTCTTCTATGAACATGGTCTTAACAGTGAGTCTGTAAGTGACTGGAGGCCAATTCTGGATCCACACGTCCTTCCACAGTGGGGACATAGGTGTCTGGACAGGAATTGATCACGGTGAGGGTTTGCCAAGCATGCCTTCCTCTTAGCTCGCTTCTCCCTTGCGTCCTGAGTTCGAGTGTCTTCAAAGCCCATGACACCTTTGGTAAAGGCTGTTCTCCAACTGGAGCGCTCGCAGCCATGTGTTTCCCAGTTGTCAGTGTTAGTACTACATTTTTTTAAAAGATTTGCTTTGAGAGAATCTTTAAACCTCTTTTGTTGACCACCGGCTTTACACTTTCCATTTTTAAGTTTGGAATAGAGTCCAGTGGTACCTCGGGTTACAGACACTTCAGGTTACAGATGCTTCAGGTTACAGACTCCGCTAACCCAGAAATAGTACCTCGGGTTAAGAACTTTGCTTCAGGATGAGAACAGAAATCGCACGGCGGCAGCGGGAGGCCCCATTAGCTAAAGTGGTACTTCAGGTTAAGAACAGGTTCAGGTTCAGAACGGATCTCCTGAACGAATTAAGTTCTTAACCCGAGGTACCATCGTAGCTGATTTGGAACTACAAAGGACACCAGCCCACCTGCTTGGACCCCAGTGTTTCCTGGGGTGCCAATGGCGTTGTGCACAATCTGCTATGAGCATTGCAGAAACTCTAAACAGCTGTAGAAACTGACGCTCCCTGATCCTTTGTGATCGTTTGAGGGATCCACAGCTGTGGTCCTCTGACTGTATTCAACAGCAATTTCTGTGTAAAAACCTTGCACCGCCTGCCCTGTAGTCGCTGCCATTTGACTTGTGGGGAAACCAGGACATGTATTTTAATATTTGTTTTCATCCAGCTCATATTTATTCCGCTCCTGACGTTTGAACGTCTGCCTGACTTGCAGAAGCTGCGAGGTCTTGCATAGCTCTGCAAGCTCACAGCTCAGGTTTAGCAGTGTCTCAACTTGCTACCAGCGGGTGGGGAAGCTTAGCTTTCGTAAAAGACCCGTGCTGTGTGAATCTAGCAATCCGGAAACGGGTGGGCTGCCTGGTGTCGTTTCAGTTCCATGCGCCGAGTAGGTGTGTGGGTGCTTTGATCCAGCAAGCTCAGCTGCTGGAAAAGGAGCAGCTGTGGTCACCCATGCCAGGTGAAAACAAAAGCAGAGTTTGGAAAGATTGCAAAGCAGGCGAGAGCGAGAGATCTTTCCCCACTTGAGAGATATTGCAGACAAAGTCGGAGAGGAGCTCTGAACGGTCTTGCGGGTGGGGGACTCACACGCTCTGTGCGTACAAGGAAGTTGGGCAAGAGGAGGAAGTTCCTTGGTATAGATTTGGGTTTCCAAGTACAGTCGCTGGATGGCTGGTCGGCTTTCAAATGCAAGAGACCGGGGTGGGGAAAGCATGCTCTTAGGTGGGAAATGCGGAAGTCCAAGCGTTTGCTCATTGAGGAAGTGAGGATTGCAAGAACGAGGTGGGGAGGAGGAGGATAAATTCTTAGCAAGCAGTTGATTGGACCACTGTGGCAGGAGGGCCACGCAGGAGGGGGACAGAGAGAGAGTGAAAACTTTTAAGGTTGAACCCCCGTTCCGGGAAGCAGCAATACATTCCCCCCCCCTTTGTGGACGCTCGTGATCCGTGCGGGAGGCACGTTCGCAACCCGCAGCGCTGCGCATGCGCGGGTTGCGATTTGGCGCTTCTGCGCAAAGTGCAATTTAGCACTTCTGCGCATGCGCAACCGCCGAAACCCGGAAGTAACTCATTCTGGTACTTCCGGGATTCGGCGAGTCCGTAACCTGAAAAATCGCAACCTGAAGTGTCTGCAGTCCAGTATATGACTGTACTGCATTTGTTTGAATATTGTGGCATGCACCAGCGAGAGACTGCAGGGACAGCGCTTACTTGGGCTTTGGTTTAATAGCATAAGAAGACCCGTGCTGGATCAGGCCAATGGCCCATCTAGTCCAGCATCCTGTTATCACAGTGGCCTATCAGATGCCTGTGGGAAACCAGCAAGCAGGATTCTAGCACAAGAGCAATTCTCTCCTCCTCTGGTTTCCAACAACGGGTATTCCGAAGCGTCACTGCCTCCTACTGTGGAGGCACAGCAGAGCCTATATGGCTAGAGTTAGCCATTGATAAGCTTCTCCCTTTGATCAGAAGGTCAGAGGTTCGAATCCCCGCGACGGGGTGAGCTCCCATTGCTTGGTCCCTGCTCCTGCCAACCTAGCAGTTCAAAAGCACACCACTGCAAGTAGATAAATAGGTACCACTGCAGCGGGAAGGTAAACGGCGTTTCCGCGCGCTGCTCTGATTCGCCAGAAGCGGCTTAGTCATGCTGGCCACATGACCCAGAAGCTGTCTGCGGGCAAAAACCAGCTCCCTCGGCCTATAGAGCGAGATGAGCGCCGCAACCCCAGAGTCGTCCGCGACTGGACTTAACAGTCGGGGTCCCTTTACCTTTTTAAGCTTCTCCCCAAAGAATTTGTCTAATACTCTTTTAAAGCCTTCAAGGTCAGTGGCCTTCTTTAGAAAGATACTGTGATGTCTTTAGGATGCATGGTTTTGTTTACACATATATGCAACCTGAGCTTAGGGAGGGCTCACAGCGTTAACACTCCAACAGATCTTAGCCCATGAGGTTCCCAAGGAAGCTGCAAGCTTTGGGTCCTGTACAGAACAAGACATGTACCTGTGTATCCAGCTTCCAGCATCAGCCAAACTCTCTCACGCACAGAGCGCACAACCCTGTGGCCTGTTGTTCTCCATCCTAGGATTTCATCACCTCCATCCAGGTGAGGAGGCAAAAGAACCCACCTCTTTGGACATGAAGATGGTAGTTCTTAGCTGGCCAGTTTATCTGCAGCTGTTAAAGTCAGAATAAGAGAACTTCAAACACACGTTGACAAGGACATGGCTGGCTGAGGTTACTGTTATGTACTGAAGTTCTCACCCTGGGCCAGCTGGGGGATACTGTAGATAGTTATGCAAATAAGGGATCGAAAGTGATGTTCAGTGATTGGATAGTTTTAGAAAGTTGTTACAGTAACATTGTACTGGAGCTCTATATAAGCAGGCTGACTGAACCCTTCAGTTCAGTTCTGTCCTGGCCTGTGAATAAACAAGAGCTGTTTGAAGAATCGCTGTGTCACCTGATATGTTCACCCACAACTTAACAGTTACCCACGCCGCAATGTTTTGTGGTAGGAACCCGCTTTCTTTAGAATTCAAAAGCAATTGTCAAATGTTGATTTTGAGACGAGCTGATTTTGAGACAAGCAAAGCCAGACCCCTAAAAAAAAAGGTATACAGATCACTTACTTTGGTGTGCCTCTGGCGAACCAAGTTTGTTGCCTTTTACCCAATGCAACACAAGCCTTTGCTGGTAGAACAACAACACACACAGATTTCTGCTGTAGACCGCCCCTTCTGTGATGAATGTATGATGTATTGGGGGTGGTTTTGAGCTACAGGGGAGGCAATTTCAAATGTCTATACAGTGGTACCTCGGGTTACAGACGCTTCAGGTTACAGACTCGACTCTGCTAACCCAGAAATAGTATCTCGGGTTAAGAACTTTGTTTCAGCATGAGAACAGAAATCGTGCAGTGGTGGTGCGGCGGCAGCAGGAGGCCCCATTAGCTAAAGTGGTGCTTCAGGTTAAGAACAGTTTCAGGTTAAGAACGGACCTCCGGAACGAATTAAGTTCTTAACCCAAGGTACCGCTGTATAAGAGTTTGCACACCAATGTTCTGGGTCTCCTCGTCCCTCCTGCATGTGGTGAGTGAGGACCCTGTTGCAACAGCTTTAATAAAGATCAGGCTTACTAGCTGCTTTGCTTCTCAATATTCTCTGGTTGGCCTCGGTTATTTTCTCCTACTGATAGAGAACCTACATAAGGACTCTGTACAGGCTCTTTGGTAACCCATAAGGAAAAAGGATAAGTTTTTTCTGATAACAATACTAACCTTTTCCCAGCAAGAGTTCTTCTGTCTGCCAATTTTGCAGGCAGATGCTGCCACACCTGGGGAATGGTTCCCCGCCCCGGCCAATTTTAAAACCGGTCTAACTAGGTTTTGACACCCTGCAAAGGTTTGGTGGTGGTGTTGTTTTCAAAGTTCACACAGCGCAAAGCCATGGGCCCTTCACATATGCATCTCCACCCCACATTTCCTTGCAAAAGCGACCACACGGCAGCTTGCAAAATGCAGGCCCAGAACAGGGACTCATGTAGAGGCCTAGGACCCTCGTACCTACGGGACCGCCTCTCCTGTTATGTCCCACAGAGGAACTTACGGTCTTCAAATAAAAACATCTTGAAGGTCCCAGGCCACAGGGAGGTTAGGCTGGCCTCGACCAGAGTCAGGGCTTTTTCGGTCGTGGCCCCGATCTGGTGGAACGCTCTGTCACAAGAGACCAGGGCCCTGCGGGACTTGACATCTTTCCGCAGGGCCTGCAAGACGGAGCTGTTCCACTAGGCCTTTGGTCGGGGTTCAGTCTGACTCCCTCTCCCCTTTCATAAGAACTTGCATGAAAGTGGCCTCCCAATTTTTCTCACAGGCCCATATAAGTTCAGCACAAACCGTTGGACCGGGTGAGCATTGAAGGTCCCCAACCCTAATCTGCGGGTTGCCATCTGATTGGATTTTATTCTGATCCTGATCTGATTTGAGGATGTATTTTAATTGATTGTCTGATTTTATGTTAATGTATTATACATTTGATGTTAGCCGCTCTGAGCCCGGCTTTGGCTGGGGAGGGCGGGATATAAATAAAAATTATTATTATTATTATTATTATTTATTATTATTATTACAGAGAGGCTCCTCTGAGAGTGGGGTAGTAGGAATTGGACAGCTTGTCCATTTTACCAGCTGCGGTGGACTTCGGATGTGTGTGTCCTCTTACACCTCAAAGCACCTGCTGTTGTCTCTCTTGGAGGCGAAAAACAACCGCCGTTGACGTCCCCGAAGCTCGCGCCTTTGGTCAATTTGGGAATTGTATTTGTTATGTACTGAAGTTCTCACCCTGGGCCAGCAGGGGGATACTGTAGATAGTTTTCACTCAGGTCCACATATGCAAATAAGGGATCGAAAGTGATGTTCAGTGATTGGATGGTTACAGAAAATGGTTACTGTTGCGTTGTAGTGGAGCTCTATATAAGCAGGCTGGCTGAACCCTTCAGTTCAGTTCTGTTCTGGGCCTGTGAATAAACAAGAGCTGTTTGAAGAATCGCTGTGTCGTCTGATATGTTCACCCACAACTTAACAGTATTCTTTTGCAGGAGATCCCGAGCCGAAGCTCCCAGCATCACAGAAGGCGGCAGCCTCCCAGGTGCCGGCAGGATTTCCCGACGGAAGAGTCGGCGGCGGATGACCTGTCCGAACCCTCGGGAGATCAACCAGGCCTTGGCCTCCATCACCTTGGGAGATCTGAACCGATCCTGCACCCTGGATGAGCTGATCGAAAAATGCCTTCGCTCCTTTGGTAAACCAGAGAGAGGCAAAGGCAGGGGCGGTTGAGGGATTGGGGCCTTTCCCCTGGACCAGGCATTTGGTGGGGCTGCTGTGACTTTTTCTGCAGTCCCCTCATGCAAAGGAACCTGGCAGTGTTCCAGCAACCAAGAGGGAAAAGGCTTTGGGCTTAATTCCCAGTCTGACCACCAAAAGAATATCTGGGCAACCTCTCTTGTTCCCCCGTCTCTAAGCCAGTTTCCTTGGTTCCTTCAACCAGAATATTCCCTCTGTCAGAGTCGAGTAAATTTCAAAAATGTTGCTGTTAAGCAAGCAAACAAACAAGAGGGTACTTTAATGTTGTTTAATTGACCGTATTGCACAACCTAATGCACAACACATTTGTGATAATTTTGCACGCACCCCAACAGCCAAAGACTCCAGGGGTGCCAGTGTTTACCCAGGGCTTGGTTTCCTTGCAAATATACTGTGATATTTGTAGGATGTTGTTGTTGTTTAGTAATTTAGTCGTGTCCGACTCTTCGTGACCCCATGGACCAGAGCACTCCTGTCTTCCACTGCCTCCCGCAGTTTGGTCAAACTCATGTTTGTAGCTTCAAGAACACTGTCCCACCAGCTCATCCTCTGTTGTCCCCTTCTCCTTGTGCCCTCCATCTTTCCCAACATCAGGGTCTTTTCCAGGGAGTCTTCTCTTCTCATGAGGTGGCCAAAGTACTGGAGCCTCAGCTTCAGGATCTGTCCTTCCAGTGAGCACTCAGGGCTGATTCCTTCAGAATGGAGAGGTTTGATCTTCTTGCAGTCCATGGGACTCTCAAGAGTCTCCTCCAGCACCAGAATTCAAAAGCATCCATTCCTCGGCGATCAGCTTTCTTTATGGTCCAGCTCTCACTTCCATACATCACTACTGGGGAACCATAGCTTTAACTATACGGACCTTTGTTAGCAAGGTGATGTCTCTGCTTTTTAAGATGCTGTCTAGGTTTGTCATTTTAGGTTTTATTTACACACACACACACACACACACACACATATATATATATATATACAACCTGATCATAGGATGGAAGGGCTCACAGCATTAACACTCCAACAGGTCTTGCCTCCCCGTCAAAAGTTTTGGGTCAAGACATGTTTCCGTTTCTCCAGCACCAGCAAAAACTCACTCTCACACAGCTCCACCCCCCTCCCCAGCCTGTTTGGTCTCCCTCTAGAGTCTAGGATGGTGTGGCATCTAGCCAGGTGAGGTGGGGAAAGTCCTACTCATCTGTCTCTATGGCAACAGGCCAACCACTTTGGACATGTAAATGGCAGTACTTAGCTGGCCAGCAACGGCCATTATCTTGCAAAGGAACTAATAGGACTGGTTCAATGGGTTTCCTGTTATAGATGCTAGCCTTGTAGTCACAGGCTCACAGGTTTGGAGAATACCCACAGGTGAATGAATGAATTTTATTATTACGGTCACAGACCAGTTCCGTCTCACTTACGATATCAGGAAAACCATAAAACACAACAGGAATACATAGAATTGCAATTGGCTATGACAGAGACAATTCAAATATAGCAGCAGTTGAAAATATATATTAGAATCATAGAATCATAGAGTTGGAAGAGACCACAAGGGCCATCGAGTCCAACCCCCTACCAAGCAGGAAACACCATCAGAACACTCCTGACATATGGTTGTCAAGCCTCTGCTTAAAGACCTCCAAAGAAGGAGACTCCACCACACTCCTTGGCAGCAAATTCCACTGTCGAACAGCTCTTACTGTCAGGAAGTTCTTCCTAATGTTTAGGTGGAATCTTCTTTCTTGTAGTTTCCAAGAAAGAAGTCTTGATCACTAAAATGATCACTAAAATCTTGATCTTGATCTTGATCACTAAAATATAACCCAAAATTGTCATTTAAAACCTTAATCATTTTGTTCCCTAAGTTTTATGGCAGACGCACAGAATTTGGCCGCCCTTAGCGTGATCTCTAGATCCTTGTCCTCTTCCCGGAGTTTTAGACATTGAAGTTTGGACCCGTTTGGAGATTTTTGTATAACAGGAGTATTATCCAGGCAGACCATCCAGTGGGGTGAGGTTACTGTATCTTGGGGTGATATCAACCATCCTTCAGATTGATAAAGCAGATTGACAAACCCCCTTCAATTCCAGTCCTGTTCTTCTCCCCTCCTGCCCTCAATTGTGTCATCCTCACCCTTTCTTCTCCCCCTCTAGATTTGGATGGAAACCTCTGCACCAGCGACTTCATGGTGAACATGACACTGACGGCTCACAGCTGGGTGGTATCGTCTGCAGAGTTGGCCCGCCTCCTCCTCACTTCATATCCTTTCGGAGGTAGCCCTGAGCTGCTTCGGCCGCAACACGGAAAACGTCTCCTGGTCGTGCTTCCAGGCCTTCCTCATACTCAAAGGAAAGGGAGCATCTCTTGCAATGAGGGAGAAGGTTTCAGGAGTGGGGCACTCTAGACTGTTCTCCTTGTCCCCCTGCGTTGTAAATAAAAATATGCCCTTTCACCCTATGGGGTATCCAAGAGCCCATATAGAGTCCTTACATAGGTTCCCTATTGGTAGGAGAGAATAACAGAGGCCAAGCAGAGAGCTAGTAAGCCTGATCTTTATTGATCAGTTGCAACAGGGTGCTCCTCTCACTCGCAGGAAAGGAGGAGGACCCACAAAAATGCTGTGCAAGGGCTTATAAAGACTTTTGAAATTCCCATCCTGTAGATCAAGACCACACCCAGAAACATCATACATACATCACAGAAGGGGTGTAACTTAAGACCACCCCTCAGATACATCACAGGAAAGGTGGTCTTAAAACAGAAATTTCAATATTGTTTTTCTCTTATCCTTGTTTATTTCCTGTCTGGCAGGTTACTTGATTGGATTGCCTGGGGAGGGGAGCCTGGCCAGTCTTTTGTAGCGATAAATAGTTCCTGGGCCAGGTCACAGTCTCACACCCTTATTCAAACACAGACATACCCTTAAGACAGGATTTGTGCAGGAAAAGACAATGGGGAGGCTTTTCCATTTTGACCTTGCAGAGAAAACATTTGCTCAGTTTAGGAATCAAATTGGTTCCAGGTTGGCCTTCCTCTGCTGATCTATGTAAGTGCTTGGTTGGTACACTTATGAACATTACCATATATCTAAGACCATAAAATTCCTATCACACCTGCTAGCCTCTGCCAGAGTTGACAACCTCTGGCAAGGTCAAAGGCAGTGCATTTACTTCTTAACCCATGAGAGTTCCCTACAAAACCCTCTGATTTACATTGAAGAGATAGCAAATAATTAATAATAATAATAATAATAATAATAATAATAATAATAATTTATTTATACCCCGTCCATCTAGCTGGGTTTCCCCAGCCACTCTGGGCGGCTCCCAACAAAATATTAATATTACTGCTACTACTACTACTACTACTACTGTGGGTTAAACCACAGAGCCTAGGGCTTGCTGATCGGAAGGTCGGCGGTTTGAATCCCCGTGACAGGGTAAGCTCCCGTTGCTCTGTCCCAGCTCCTGCCAACCTAGCAGTTCGAAAGCACGCAGTGCAGGTAGATAAATAGGTACCGCTCCGGCGGGAAGGTAAACGGCGTTTCCGTGCGCTGCTCTGGTTCGCCAGAAGCGACTTAGTCATGCTGGCCACATGACCCAGAAGCTGTACGCCGGCTCCCTCGGCCAGTAAAGCGAGATGAGCACCACAACCCCAGAGTCATCACGACTGGACCTAACGGTCAGGGGTCCCTTTACCTTTACCTTTTACTACTATTACTACTACTACTACTACTACTAATAATAATAATAATAAAGGGCTGCCTTCAGATGTCTTAGAAGAGTTGTTTATTTCTTTGACATCTGACGGGAGGGCGTTCAACAGGACGGGCGCCACCACCGAGAAGGCCCTCTGCCTGGTTCCCTGTAATCTCACTTCTCGCAATGAGGGAACTGCCAGAAGGCCCTCGGTGGTGGACCTCAGTGTCCGGGCAGAACAATGGGGATGAAGACTCTCCTTCAGGTTTACAGGACCGAGGCCGTTTAGGGCTTTAAAGGTCAACACCAACACTTTGAATTGTGCTCGGAAACACCCGGCGCCATTGCCCACCAATCTGAGAGGGGTGAAACCTTAACTCAGTTTGCCACCTACCAAGAAGCATCTCAGAAGAAACAGCCAGAGCGCCAGTTGAGGATCTGCCACTTCATCCGGTATAAATTCCCACCCCCTTTCCTCCCCTTTGCCCCCAGATCTTGCCTGGGTACCCGTCTCCCTGAGTTTCTTGTAGATCCAGACTGACCCTCTCCCCTCTGGCTTCAGTTACTGGCTCCTCAACTACCCAGAGGCCTTTCACCTGGACCCACACCTGGAGGAGGCTATTGCAGAGATCTTGGAGGTGGTGAGGAAAGAGGGCCAAGGGGAACACAGTCACCTGCTGAACACCTCTGGCACGTGAGTTCGAGAGATTCTCAAAGCCATGAAAGTGCCTCTCCCTATATTCCCCTATGCATTCCAATTCTGTATAGAATTTTTGATTAGAGCAGCCCTGGATTGATGCAGGAATACATGAAGAAATATGGTGTTGAAGCAGTTAACAATTGTTAAGTGTGTAAGGACAAAAGAAGTCATTATAATTTAACAGTTTTCATGTTATTTCATTTTGTTAAAGCAACTGGAAAAAATATTATGATGGGAAGATCTCACACAGGTGAAGGGAAGCAGTGGGGAGGAGGGGAGGGTTAGGTTGAATCTGGGAAATAAAATAATATATGGCACAGCAAAGGATATAATAATAATAATAATAATAATAATAATAATAATAATAATATATTTATAATAATATAATATAATAATATAATATAATATAATATAATATAATATAATATAATATAATATAATAGGTTCTTATAGAATAGTAATATATTGTAACCAGAACAGAAGTTCAAAAGGGGAAGTAAATGTATTTTTAGTATTTTCATTATTGTAATAGTTATTATTATTTCTTATCGGTAGAAGGCAGTTAATTTAGGCTTCTTCGTTTTGCTGTCTGTATAATTTTCTTAAGTCAATAATAAAAAAAAGAAAGTGCATCTCCCATCCCGCCCCCCCCCATTTAAAATTTTTTTTTTAAAGACCCTCCTTCCATCCCAGAACAGCAAATGGACCCCAGGAGTCCATTTTCCCAGTCTCCCGCTCCTTCCTGTCTTCCACATCTCCACTGTGAGTAATTTACCACGCTCCTCAGACCAAATTGCGTTTCCAGTCAAGGGTTTCACTAAGCATGGAAGCGGGTGGCGCTGTGGTCCAAAGCACCGAGCCTCTTGGGCTTGCTAGTCACAAGGCTGGCGGTTTGAATCCATGCAACAGGGTGAGCTCCCATTGCTCGGTCCCAGCTCCTGCCAACCTGGCAGTTTGAAAGCATGCCAGTGCAAGTAGATAAATAGGTACCACTGCAGCGGGAAGGTAAACGGCGTTTCCATGCGCTCTGATTTCCGTCGCAGTGTTCCGTTGTGCCAGAAACGGTTTAGTCATTACCCGGAAATCTACCTGTGGACAAACGCCAGCTCCTTCGGCCTGAAAGTGGAGATGAGTTCTGCACCCCATAATCAAATTCTACTAGATTTAACTGTCCAGGGGTCCTTTACCTTTACCTTTACTACCTCTAAGCAAGCAGAGTATTCAGCATCTAACTTGGTGTTCTGGCCTCGCTTCCTTCCCCAGGATGACCCGGACGTGGACCCGATCCCTTAGCTGCCAAAGCAGCCCCGGCTCTGGCAAGAAGAGGAAAGTGTCCCTGCTTTTTGATCACCTTGACGCAGGAGAGTTGGCCAACCACCTCAGTTACCTGGAGTTCAAGGCATTCTGCCGTCTCTCGGTAGGGATCAGCCGACACAAAAGAAAGTATACTGGATTAATAGGGATGCGGATGGCGCTGTGGGTTAAACCACAGAGCCTAAGACTAGCTGATCAGAAGGTCAGCAGTTCAAATCCCGCGACAGGGTGAGCTCCCGTTGCTCAGTCCCTGCTCCTGCCAACCTAGCAGTTCGAAAGCACGTCAAAGTGCAAGTAGATAAATAGGTACCACTCTGGCGGGAAGGTAAACGGCGTTTCCGTGCGCTGCTCTGGTTCGCCAGAAGTGGCTTAGTCATGCTGGCCACATGACCTGGAAGCTGTACGCCGGCTCCCTCGGCCAATAAAGCAAGATTAGCACCACAACCCCAGAGTCGGTCACGACTGGACCTAATTGTCAGGGGTCCCTTTACCTTTACCTCATACTGGATTAATACAAAAAACTTAAAACATTTATATTATCAAGACATTACCTACTCTAAACAGAGCTATAAAAGTACCTTAATATACAAGTTAGGACATTAAACAATAAAATTTACAAGCTAAAATTATCACATGGCCACTGATAAATTAAAAAATGTTAATTAATACAATGTGCAATTATATTCAGAGTTTGATGATAAAGATAGAATATAGCTTGATGTAGATAGGGTCAAATAAATTCATCTCCTTCACAGTTGGTGGCTACCTTGGCTATATAATTTGCTCTAATGTTCCTAGCGGCAGTTGCAAAGAGTGCTACACACCAGGTCACATACTTATCTGTGTCTGCGAGGAAATATAAAATCATGTCAGAGGGGTTCTGGCCAGAGGACCTTGTCATTATAGGTGCTAAAAATCTGGTTTAGAGTTCAACAGATGGACAACACTAGGCTAGCAAAAAAATGCCTGATTGAGCTCTCTGATGGATTACCCCTTAAAAACTGGGTACATCACGCTGCCCAACTGATGGGCAAATATGACCTCTCAGTGACCAGGATCAAAGAACTTCCCTTATATTCCCAGATTAGAAATGGTTGCAGAGATGGGTCATGTCAGGGGCTGGACTGAGGAGGAATGGTGCCCTCCCCCCTTCCCCTGAACCTTCCTGAGAACAGAAGGGACAGTATAGACTTAGAACAGCGGTTTGCAGAAGGTCATAGTTCAGAGGCTGCAGAGGGGAGAAGCTGGGAATTATTGGGAGAGGAAGAAGAAGAAACCCCAGGGGAGAGACAGCTGACAGATTCAGTGTCTTTGGAAAGCATTCCTGACCCCCCCCCTCCCAGGACCAGGTGGGCATTGAGAGTAGGAGAACAGAAGGCTCAGAGGCAGAAAGCTGAGATCAGCCGGTGCAAGGGTGACGTACAATAGGCCACCAGATGTCAAAGAGAAAAATAACTACCAAACTTTTAGAAGACATCTGAAGGCAGCCCTGTTTAGGGAAACTTTTAATGTTTAATAGGTTATTGTATTTTAATGTTCTGTTGGAAGCTGCCCAGAGCGACTGGGGAAACCCAGCCAGATGGGCGGGGTATAAATAATAAATTATTATTATTATTATTATTACAATGATCAGTGCAGATCACCATGTGTTAAGTGCCCTTAGGAAACTACAGTTCCCAGAATCCTTTGGCAGCAGCCACCACTCTTTAAAGTGGTATCACAGTGCTTTAAATGCAACGTGTGAATGTGGCTGTACGGCTGTCTTTATACAGTCACACCTCGGGTTACAGATGCTTCAGGTTGCGTTTTTTTGGGTTGCAGACCGCCGAAACCCGGAAGTACCGGAACGGGTTAGTTCTGGGTTTCGGTGGTCGCACATGTGCAGAAGCACTGAATTGCAACCTGTGCATGCGCAGACATGGGTTGCGAATGTCGCAACCTGAAAGAAGAGGACTACCAAGAAGACTGGAAGAAATTCAAAGACTATTTGAACAAATATTCTAATATTAAAGATATGTAACCACTTGAAAGAACCAATCAGGCCTAGGATTAAATTAGACTTAAATATATAAATAAGTAAATGTACTATGAGAAAGGTAAAGAAATTGGAATACGACTGTAATATTGTTTTACGAAATAATGATATTGGAAACTGCTACATTCAAATTAAGAGGAAATTCAGATGGAGGAGATTAGAGGAAGTCAAGCAAAATGTTTGTGAAAATGGATTTTAATTAATTAACTGAGTTTCTTTTTTCCTGTTTATGTATTTTAAGTTATTCTTTCCCCCCCTTCTTTTTCACCTTTCTATTGTGTTGTCGTATTTTTTTTCTTTTCTTTTGTTATGTCTATTGATGAAAATTAATAAATATTATTGGCAAAAAAAAAGACATGGGTTGCGAATGTGCATTCTGCACGGATCACGTTCGCAACCCGAGTGTCCACTGTATTGGCAACTGCAGGCAGCCAGGGCTGTTAAAATAGAAATTAAGATGCTACAGTGGATGTTTCAGTGAAGTTCCCTTCCTCCACCCACCCCTGTCCATCCTTGCTTGGTCACCTTTCTGTTAGTGGCCTTTTTGGGTTTCTGCAGCAGAGATCCCACCCCAAATTACACATCTCCGATTGCAGCGAAGTCAAACCTCGTGAAATTGCCGTCCCTGTCACTCCCCTCTGTCCCAGGCTTGTCTGCAAAGGCATTGAACTCCTGATGGGCTGTGCTTTGCTCACATGCAGACAGACATGTAGAGATCTCCAGCAAGAGATTGTGCGAGATCAGATCAGAAGCTGGGGCTTGCCTTACTCTAATCTTTCTACCTCATTGGGTGTTGGGGGTTGAATTCCGCCACTGGTCTAGGGGAAGATAAAATAATGACATATTTCTTTGTTCCGTTTCTGCCCCCATCCCTCCTCCCAAATGGAACCCAGGGTGGCAGACGTATCCCTAGCATGAAAAAAAACACCCACATTTTAAAAAGCATTCTAAAACATTTTCCTAAACAGTTATTTTAAGGTTGCATTTGCAGAACCAGGTGGTCTCCTGGTGCATTTAGAATTTCAGTCCTACCCTTCAAAGGAGGCAGGTACTTCTTCCATGCCACCAGGTGACTTTCCTTGACGGCTATGGTCAACCTCAACTGTTAAGGCAGCAGGTGCTGCTTGTGTAAAAGATCTACACTGGCTTCCAGCATGCTTCCGAGCACAATTTTAAAGTGTTGGTGTTGACCTTTAAAGCCCTAAGCGGACTCGGCCCTGTATACCTGAAGGAGCATCTCCACCCCAATTGTTCAGCCCCGACACTGAGGTCCAGCTCCGAGGGCCTTCTGGTGGTTCCCTCCCTAAGAGAAGTGAGGTTACAGGGAACCAGGCAGAGGGCCTTCTCGGTGGTGGCGCCCACCCTGTGGAACGCTCTCCCGTCAGATGTCAAGGAAATAAACAACTACAGTGGTACCTCGGGTTACAGACGCTTCAGGTTACAGACTCCGCTAACCCAGAAATAGTACCTCAGGTTAAGAACTTTGCTTCAGGATGAGAACAGAAATTGCGCAGTGGCAGGCCCCATTAGCTAAAGTGGTACCTCAGGTTAAGAACAGTTTCAGGTTAAGAACGGATCTCTGGAACGAATTAAGTTCTTAACCCGAGGTACCACTGTATCTGACTTTTAGAAGGCATAAGAAGGCAGGGAGGTTTTCAATATTTGATGTTTTACTGTGGTTTTATAATTTGTTGGAAGCTGCCCAGAGTGGCTGGGGGAATCCAGTCAGATGGGCAGCATAATAAATAAATAATAATAATACCACAAATATAATTTCCCCAGATGATCTCATTGATCTCGCATATCTCTAAGGAGGGAATTGTGGTCTGTAGATCTAATCCGTTCCCAGAAGTGGGATTTGAGGGCGCTGCTCTCAGGTCCCTGCAGTTAGGAAAGCTGTCTGGTCGAGGGTCTCGTACAGAGAGGCCACCAAACCAGGTGCGCTAGGAAGAGAAGCTGCAGGAGCTAGTAAGCTCCCCTTGAAACCCCTGAGAGGGTCTGCCCTGTGGCAGATCGCTAACAACGTGCTTCTCAGAAGACATCTCTTTCCCCCACTTGATTTCGCTTACCGGGGAAAACCAAAGGAAGTACATCATGTATCATTAGCTAAGAGAATTCGCTACCCACAAGATGTAGCGATGGCTTATTAGACAAATTCGCAGAAGCCTCTGAGACGGTCTATCTCATTGGGTGGTGTGGCCATCCGCTTTGCACCCCTTTTTGCCTAATTCCCCGATGGGCCACTGATGAAAAGGGATCTCTGCATTTAGACGAGAGATGGGGAGAATTTGCCAGAGTTCTCATTCAAAGGCAAACCAAACATAGGAAGAAATTTCTGGCAGTAAGAGCAGTCCGAAAGTGGACCCGATTCCCTCGGGAGGTGGTGGGCTCTCCTTCCTTGGGCGCTGGATGGCTACCTGCCATGGATGCTTTGGGGGAGATTCCTGCATTGCAAGAGGTTAGACTAGATGACCCTTGAGAGTCCCTGCCTTTTGCAATTTGCGCTTCTCTGAATTTTGCAGTGCAGTTCTGCAGTCAAGTAACGCGTACAACAAGGCATAGACTGCATTTAGGGTTAAGCATCCCTAAAAATGCTCTGAAATAATGAATTATTTTAGGAAAATCACATTGGGAAAATGCACACTTTTTTTAGGCGCTATTGCATGCAAACATTTGCACATTAGATCTTCACGCTAAAATGCCGGTGAGTTTTCGGCATTTAAAAAAGAAATGTCAAACTGGTGTGAAAATGCAGATAACTGAAGACTGGAAAATCGGGGCACAGAACAGATTTGGCCATTCCTAATTTAGAGAGACAATTTTTCTTCTAGTAAGATTTTATTTATTATTATTTTTTAAAAAATCTTTCTCCCTGTTATGTGTTGGGCAGTACTTGGATTTCCAGAATTACGTGCTGCGGGGGTCAGTGCGGGGCAGTCCAGCCCTGGAGCGGGCCATCGCCTTGTGCAACAGCATCTCCCAGTGGGTGCAGGTCATGGTCCTCAACCGACCCACGCCCCAGCAGAGGGCGGAAGTATTCACCAAATTCATCCGTGTGACTCTGGTAAGCAAGTTCGCCGCCTGCTTTGCTGGAAGAAGGGGGTGACAGCAGAAAGGGGGGCTGAAGGGGTGCAAAACCCTGTGCAGAGCTCACGTTCCTTATGCTGTGCATCGGAGGAGACCATCTCTACCCATATACTTGCTGGCTAGAGGAGAGAGTTCCTCTGAGCATGTTCAGAGCACAGCCTCCCTCTGCGATCATCGCAGCGAGTGATCCAACGTGGCTTAGTTTTAAAGGTAAAGTGACCCCTGACCATTAGGTCCAGTCGCGGACGACTCTGGGGTTGCGGCACTCATCTCACTTTACTGGCCGAGGGAGCCGGCGTACAGCTTCCGGGTCATGGGGCCAGCATGACTAAGCCGCTTCTGGCGAACCAGAGCAGCGCACGGAAACGCCGTTTACCTTCCCACCGGAGCGGTACCTATTTATATACTTGCACTTTGACGTGCTTTCAAACTGCTAGGTTGGCAGGAGCAGGGACCGAGCAACGGGAGTTCACCCCGTCACAGGGATTTGAACCACTGACCTTCTGATCGGCCAGTCCTGGCCTCTGTGGTTTAACCCACAGCGCCACCCGTGTCCCTGGGAGAGTTTTAAATCCTGACAAATGAAGGTTGGGGGACGAGGAGATATGCGTTTGTATTTTTAAAAGATGGCTCCCATGAAATGCTGGTGATTCTTCCTGCCCCTCCTCTCACCCCTCTGTGTTTTCCTCCGCTACTTGCAGAAGTTAAGACAACTGCAGAACTTCAGCACCCTCATGGCCATTGTGGGGGGGCTTTGCCACAGCGCCATTGCCCGCCTCAAAGACACCCACGCGCTTCTGCCTTCTGAGATCACTAAGGTAGGAACTTTGTTGTGGGGGGAGGAAAGAGGGAAAAGTTTATAATAATAATTTATTATTTATACCCCGCCCATCTGGCTGGGCTTCCCCAGCCACTCGGTGCAGCTTTCAACAAAATATTAAAATACTGTAATACATCAAACATTAAAAGCTTCCCTAAACGGGGCTGCCTTCAGATGTCTTCTAAAAGTTTGGTACTGTATTTTTTGCTCTATAAGACTCACTTTTTCCCTCCTAAAAAGTAAGGGGAAATGTGTGTGCGTCTTATGGAGCGAATGCAGGGTGCGCAGCTATCCCAGAAGCCAGAACAGCAAGAGGAATTGCTGCTTTCACTGCGCAGCGATCCCTCTTGCTGTTCTGGCTTCTGAGATTCAGAATATTTTTTTTCTTGTTTTCCTCCTCCAAAAACTAGGTGCGTCTTGTGGTCTGGTGCGTCTTATAGAGCGAAAAATACGGTGGTTGTTGTTCTCTTTGACATCTGGGGAGGTATGCTAGAGAGGGAGTCAGGTGCTGTTTCCTTCCAAGTGTGGAAGCCCTCGGGTTCGGCAGCCAAAATAGCACTTTCAAAATCTACCAGAAGAGGCAGGAGGAAATGGGAGCAGTTCTCTCAGCAAGGGCCGGCTCTACCATTAGGCAGAGCAAAGTGTCCACCTCTGGCAGCACAAGGGAAGAAGAGTGCAGCACTGGCCCAAGGTGTTTTGCTGCCCAAGGCGAAGCAGCGAATAGTGTGTTATCCGCCCCCACAGCCCAGTTATTTTGTCACACGCAGCAGGAAATTCCGAAAACACCTCTTCCCTTCTCTGACACTGAAATAAAATAATTGCAAACTAAACGTCCACTAGATAATTGAAAAATGTTCACACCAAACGTTTTAAGCACCCTGAAACCACTTTTAACAGACATGGCTTCTCCACAAAGAGTCCTGGGAACTATAGTTTGTTTAGGGTGCTGAGAGTTGTTGAGTGTTCCCAGGACTCTTTTGGGTGAAGCCATGACAGGTAAAGTGGTATCAAAGCTCTTTAAAGGTATGGCGTGGTTGTGGCCTATTTGCTTTCCTTTCGTGTTACCCGAAATCTTCTGCCTGGCATGGCTGCCTGTGCTGGCCCGGGGGGGGGGGTTTACTGTGAGGCGTGGTCGGAGTCCGGTCCTGGGTCGAGGGTCTGGAGTCTGTCCACCAAGAGTGAAGCGGGGTCCAAAGCAAGAAGCAGGGCATGGTCGGGAACTCCGGAAGAACAGGTCTGGGTTCTGGCAGAAACAGGTTTCCAACGACGTTGCTCCCGCAACCTGGGACCGGGCTGACTGACCTTTATCTTCTCTGAGGCCAGGGGCGGCACCGGCCCACAGGTGACCCGCCTCTCCTGGCCTTAAGGCTAGCACTCCTCCTGAGAGAACCCAGTTCCCTCCGCCTCTCTGCCCTGAGCCTCTGCAGCTCAGGAGAGGCTGGAGGGTTACTGGACCCAGGGGCAGCTTCACCTTCCCCTGACAGGGCTGGGAGAGGCGCACATGCAGGCAATGGGTCCTCAACCACCTCTGGAGCCCGAGTGGATACATCTGGTGTCTGCTCCTGAGGATCCGGCACAGGTGCAGACCCTGCCCCGGCTCAACCGGCCCTGGAGGCGGGGACTCCTGTGCAGGCTGGGACTCCTCAGGTTCAGCTTCTGAATCAGATTCCCAGGCCATCACACTGCCCAGTGGTAGGGCTGGCCCCGAGAGAGCAGACAGAGGTGTGTGCCATGAGATCTGCACCTACTAGGATAGCTGGTTGACCTCAGGCGTGGTGGCAGGCACATCGCCAGTGCTGAAGTAAGATTCACCTGCCGGTCTGGTTCATTTTTGTACACCGAATGGCGAAGGCACCATTTTGCCATCCGTCTCAGGTGGAAAACCCTTTTGGGCTGACTCTGCCCTTACCCTCTGACCACAACATCCTCTTCAACATTGCTTCCTTTTTGCCCCCAGACGCTGTCCGAGATGACGGTGTTGCTCTCCTCGTGTGGCAACTACAGAACGTACCGACGGGTTTATGCCGATTGCGATGGCTTCAAGATTCCCATCGTCGGCGTCCACCTCAAGGACCTGGTGACTTTGCACGAGGCCATGCCCGACCACGTGGATGGCGGGCGGCTCAACTTAAGCAAGCTGCAGAGTTTGTACGAGCCGGCGAGGGAACTCCGGGTTCTGCAACAAGCCAGCCCTCCGTTCAAAGCCAACAAAGATCTGGTGCACCTACTCACGGTAAGAAACGGATAACCTAAGTCGTGAGGAGGAGGAAATAGAAACTGTGGGTTTGGGCACATATGTACGTGTGTGCCAGACGTCCAGGGATGCTCGTGCAGCCCCCGCTAGGATGGGACAAAATGCCCCCGCCGTAGCTAATGCAGCCACCGACTTGAATGGATCGGGTTGCATCCATCCTATGCATTTAAAACACTCTTGTGCCTCTTTAACAGTCGTGGCTTCCCCCAGAGAATCCTGGGAGCTGTAGTTTAAGGGTGCTGAGAGTTGCTAGGAGACGCTGCTAATTCCCCCCACCCTGAGCTATAATTCCCAAAGCGGTTCCACAATCAATCCCTATTTCCTTTTTTTATATATAATATTTTTATTAGGTTTTTTAACATATCATTTCCAACATTCATATAGCATAATTTATTACCTTATACAATGTTTTTGACTTCCATCAGCTCCTCTGGTGATTTCCCGTTTTTATCACTTATTCCGCATTTCCTAATTTTCCTATTCCTCTTATTTATCATTAACAAATATTTCTCTTCCTAGTCTTTTTTTGCAATATTTCAAATAATCCTCCTTACAAAACTTCTTGCAATCCTACTAGCGCCATCTGTTCATTACAATTACTTTCCAAATAGTTCGTATATTTACTCCAGTCTTCTGAGAATCTCTGGTCCTGCAGGTTTCGAATCCTTCCTGTTGGTTTATCTAGCCCTGCATAGTCCATCAGTTTCATCCTCCATTCTTCTTTCGTCGGTAGTTCTTTTTGTTTCCATTTTTCCAATCAATCCCTATTTCGAGGGAACTCCGTGAGGCAGGATAGATAGCTCGGCACCCTTAAACTACGTCTCCCAATATTCTTTTTTTGGGGGGGGGGTTCCATTAGCTCAATTGGTTAGAGCGTCATTCTGATAATGCCAAGGTTGTGAGTTTGATCCCATTGTGGTAGAATGGGCCACCATGTTGCATCAGTTAGGACAAGAAGGCAGAATGCCATGACGGCAACCGTCGCCTAGCAACCGCAGCCGGAGGCAGGAAGTGTTGCGGTTGCCTAGCGGCCTGGCTGCCACTGGTGCCGTGCGTGGCCCTCGGAGTACGTTCACGTGTGACTCAGTAACCACAACCTCTGGGTTGCCTAGCAGCCATGACTGTGGGGAAATTGAGCCACGCCGGTTGAAGCTGTGGGGCCTAGCAGCAGGCCTCTTTGCGGCCTAGTAAACAAGCTGCCCTCACGTAGCCTCCTCTGGCTCCTCATGCAATGCGTCGCCTAGCAACCGCCGACTTCTGTGCTGCTTAGCAACCGGACCAGGGAGCAGGGCGGGGGGGGATTAGTGTCAGTGTTTGTTAAAAAAAGGGGGGGTTCTGACCTCCCTTTGTTGCCTCAGCCTGGTCCTCGGACCCTTGTCGGCATAAAAGAGTCCACGAGAAAAGTATCCTTGCAGAGTATTTTCTGCTTTTATTCTTAAAAGTCTTTCTGCAAAGGCGACTGACCAACTGTACACACATCAATACTACCAGCTTTCACTAACCAACCAACCAACACAACTAACATTTCTCACTCTATATATACAACCCGGTGCAGGCCGCTGACTCATGCTGACCCAGCTTTTTTAAGCATTAAAGAAACAGCGGCCATTTTAGCCGTGACAATTAGCACCTTAAATTGTTTAAATTTTATATCCTGCCCTTCCTTCCCAGGGAGAGCCGGCCAGCAAGCGGTGGATCAGTGAAAGCATCCAAAATGTGGATGCAGACCAGGAAAGATACCTATTTTAAAAGACTTGTTGGAAGGGGGAGGGCTTCAGTATTACTAATTGTTACTGTTATTGTTATTTTTTATTGTTGTTGTTGTTATACCGCCCTTCACTCATAGATCTCAAGGCAGGTCACAGCCTAAAATTACAATCTACAAAATTACATTTCAATCGGCGCTAGAAAGACAACAGGGATGAACTAGCCAGTTGCCTGGGCCCAGATGGGATAATAGTTTATTCGGGAACTGCCTTACAAGGAGCAGCTGTAGGGCTGCCATACGTCTGGGATTTCCCAGGCATAGCTGAGATCCATCTGTCAAAAATGGCATCCGGGCAGATTTTTCGCTTTATCGGAAGTCTTGTTTCGCTTGCGAATTTCCTTAAAGAAGCTCAGCAACTCAGTCAAAGAAAAAGCTCGACAACTTTTGTGCCCGGATTTTCACTTTTTGAAACATGGCAACCCTAAGCAGTTGTGCGTGGGGACGTAATGGGGAGTTGTGTCAGAACGGTGGTGCGGCGATTCTTCTGAGAACCTCGTACAGACACCAGAGAATGAGTCGAGGGTACAGGAAGCTGTCTATCCACAAGAAACAGCGAGGATAATAATAATAATAATAATAATAATAATAATTTTTTATTTATACCCCGCCCTTCCCGGTTCAGAAAACCGGGCTCAGGGCGGCTAACAACAAATTTAAAACACTTAATTGATGCAACAAAAAACAGCATAAAATACAGTATAAAACATGAATAACAATAAATTCAGAATTCAAAGATCAATTTAGGGGGGAAATCCATCCAATAAACATTAGATGATCACCAGGGCTAGCTGGCTAAGTCAGTCCTACAGATGAGCCATATAGATTGAATGTGCTTCCCATTCAACACTTGACTTGGGACTCTTGATTGCAGCCGATTCTGGAGGGCAGCCCTTCGCTGCCACTAAGGGTGTGACTTAATGGGACCATTCCCTTGTATAACTTTCCTTTCCTCTCCCAGCTCTCCCTAGACCTCTACTACACAGATGAGGAGATCTACTCCCTCTCGTACGCCCGTGAGCCAAGAGGTTCCAAATCACTGGTAAGAGGGCAGAGAAGGACCAGGGAGCCAAGGAGTTTTTGGGGAGCCTTGGCTCAATCCCATCTATCTATCTATCTATCTATCTATCTATCTATCTTTCTTTACCATATTTTTTGCTTATAAGACTCACTATTTCCCTCCTAAAAAGTAAGGGGAAATGTGTGTGCTTCTTATGAAGCGAATGCAGGCTGCGCAGCTATCCCAGAAGCCAGAACAGCAAGAGGGATTGCTGCTTTCACTTCACAGCGATCTCTCTTGCTGTTCTGGCTTCTGGGACTCAGAATATTTTTTTGTTTGTTTTCCTCCTCCAAAAACTAAGTGCGTCTTGTGGTCTGGTGCGTCTTATAGAGCAAAAAATACGGTGTGTGTGTGTGTGTGTGTGGTTTTTATCATTTTCAACAATTATTAAACATACTTTTATACCTTATACATTTTTTTTTACTTCCACCAATCACATCTGAAAATTTCCCAACCTTTTCACTTAATTTACATTTCTTACGTTCGCTATTACATTTAAATGTCATAACTAATGTCTCTCTTCTTTCTCTTTGTTGCAATATTTCATATATTTCTCCTTACAAAACTTATTGCGTAATTTGGTGATTACAGTGGCTCTTCAAATAGTTCGTATATTTCTTCCAATCTTCTGTAAATCTCTGGTCCCGCAGGTTTCGAATCCTTCCTGCCATTTTATCCAATTCTGCGTAGTCCATTAATTTTGTCTGCTGTTCTTCTTTCGTCGGTATGGCTCAGTCCCATCTCTCACACTTTGTTTGCCCCCCCCCCCTTCACAGCCTCCTACACAGTTCAAGCCCCCTATGGTTGTGGAATGGGCACCGGGGGTCACTCCCAAGCCTGACCGGATCACCGTCAAGAGGCACGTGCAGCAAATGATTGAGGTAAAAACAAGCCAATGGCAGGGCCAAACAGGCAGCTGGCTACTGGTGTGGTACCCGTTTCTGCTTTTGGCTTTAAATGGCAGTAAAACTGCGGAAACTGCTTCTTTTTCCAATGCTCCCACCAAAAAAGATTGGAAATATGAGTTAACGGACTATGCCGAAATGATCAATTGGAAACCTTAGAAATTAAGATAACGAGTTTAGGGTTATAAAGACCAGGACTAGCCGCCTGAGAAACAGTTTCTACGCAAATGCAATTCTGGTTCTAAACGAGCATAAGGAGTCTCTATAGTATATTGTATTTTAAAATGGGATTTCAGAGTTTTTAGGGGTTTCTAAATGTTTTATATAGATTTCCAATTTCATTGTTCTGTATGGGACAATGACGATAAAGATATTGTATAAAAAGAAATTAGGAGTGTTTACTGCATATTTATAAAAGCAATGTACATACATTGGCAGGATTTCAGGGAGCACTTGTAATTTTATGAAGAAAGTATAAAATGGGAAGTTAAGAGAGTTAAGAAGTAATATGGACATACATAAAATAAAATATTGTAAAGGAACCAGGGGCAGGAGTAGAGAGAAGGAGCTAAGCAATCCCATTTTTTGGAATTTTTGGTGATCCAGTATATAGATTTAATAAAAAAATTTTGTTAAAAGACTGATTTTTCTCTGTGAAAACTAATAAAAATATTGAGGGGGAGTGCAAATGGCAGTAAAACTCATGAAGCCAAATGGACCTGAACGCTTTCCTTTCAGCCAGTGTCCTTTCTAAGGACAGCTCTGCACCATGAATTTTAAAAAGCACATCCAATTCATATTTAAAACAAATGATTCCCCTGCCTCAAAGAATCCTGGGAACTGTAGTTCCCCCCTCACAGAGCTATAGTTCCTATAACCCAGGCATAGGCAAACTCTGCCCTCCAGGTGTTTTGGGACTACAATTCCCATCATCCCTGACAACTGGTCCTGTTAGCTAGGGATCATGGGAGTTGTAGTCCCAAAACATCTGGAGGGCTGAGGTTGCCTATGCCTGCTATAACCTGTAACAAACTACAGTTCCCAGAATTCTTTGGAGAAAGCCATGTGCTGTCAATGTGCCTCAGAGGTGCTTTAAATGTACGATGTGGATGCGGCCACAGACTCAACCCTTTCTGCCCATAAGCATGGATCAAAAAGTTGCATAGAAGGATGTCGACTGGCCATAAATAGCAAATCGAAATTGCAAATAAGGCAGATGGTGTGTGCTTTTTAAAGGGGCATGTTGCATATTGCAGGTTGTGTTGTGTTCTGAGGCGTTGCAGTTTGAACTGCACATTATATTTCCACGGGAGTTCCAGGCTGGGTGTGAGTGTGCATGTGTGCGTCACCGCCACAGCTCTCCGCTGTAGCTCTGTAGCACTGGGTAAAGTTTGTTGACTTCTTGGGTTGCTTAGCTTGATTACGGCAGGAACATTTTGCATGACCTAATTGGAGAGAGAGAGGGTATTGCACAGTTATCTACGTGCATTTCATGGGTGCATTTGTCACCGAACAATTCCGAGATTGCATTGCATGCGTTTGTGCCGAACACTGACATTCTCGACATTTGCGGTCCCTGCACCACAATCGTCTATTTCTTTTGCGCCGTGTTGTCGGCCAGTGTTCGGTTGAAATTAAGCCGCCTGCCAGCCTGCCTACCACCACCTCTGTCTGTTCTGTCCTTTGTGGCACATTGGGCGGGTGCTGTTGTGATCTGGAGTCGTGTTTTGTGGCTCTGTAACCCCGGTGGGTGCCGGAGGGCCCCGTCAGAGGTGCCTGTTCCCGCTTTACTCCACCCCCTTCCACGCAGAGTAAAGGAAGAGGCCACTCCAACCACTTCCTTTTCTGCAAATTAAAGTTTGCTGCTGAAACAGGCCTTGGTGGGGGGAGGAGGGGTAAGAGATACCCTCCTCTCCCCCATTTGACAGATGAAAGCGTCAAGAGGCTGATAATGTCTAAGATTTCTGTCTAAAGCCCCTAACTGTGGACTGCTCAACACTGCCCTGTGCCAGGCAGTGGGGAGGTTGGTTCATAGGTTGCCCCATCAACCTCATTCTGCTTCCATAGCCAGCTCTGCTACCCTCTCACCACCCCCCTGGCACACCCGACTTCTTCCTTACAACCAGTTCGAGTTGCAAAGCCTCCCAGCTTCCTTAAGTCTCAGCGCTGCCCTTGCAGAACTCAGAAGGAAGAAGATAAGATGAAAAATTAGAATGCGGGCGACGTTCACATTAGCAAAGTGTAGTTTGGTGCAGGAAACAGGACATGCACGACTCCTGCGTTGTGACCCTCCACTACTAATAATGTGACCCTACTACTAATAATCCTGCCAACCTAGCAGTTTGAGAGCAGGTCAAAGTGCAAGTAGATAAATAGGTACCACTCCAGCAGGAAGGTAAACGGCGTTTCCGTGCGCTGCTCTGGTTCGCCAGAAGTGGCTTAGTCATGCTGGCCACATGACCCGGAAGCTGTACGCCGGTTCCCTCGGCCAATAAAGCGAGATGAGCGCCGCAACCCCAGAGTCGTTCGCAACTGGACCTAATGGTCAGGGGTCCCTTTACCTTTTTACTACTACTAATAAATTTTATTTATACCCCGCCAAGACCGGGCTCAGGGCGGCTAACACCAAATATAAAAACAATTGATTGAAATACAGCTTAAAAAACAAGATTAAAATACAACAGTAAAACATAAAAATGCAGCCTCATTTCAGCGGAAACTCAATCAAAAACTTTTTTGGGGATAAAAACGCCAAGTCTTCACCAAGAGTAACTATCCAGAATGGTCCTACATGGGCCAGAAAAAAGCCAGGGAAGTCCCCAAAAAGGAGTTCCAACACAGAAGGGGAAAGGAAAAAAGAAAGAGGTACTACTACTACAACAAAGTTGGCCGCCATGACTGTAACAACTACCGTGCCCGGAGACAGACAGGTTGTGCATCCGTAGTGGTGACCAGAGGAGGAAGGACCGCTGGGAGGAGTGCAGAGAGAATAAACACCATGGTACATCTGCAACGTGGGACGTGGGTGGCGCTGTGGGTTAAACCACAGGGCCTAGGACTTGCCGATTAGAAGTCAGCGGTTCGAATCCCCGCGACGGGGTGAGCTCCCGTTGCTCGGTCCCTGCTCCTGCCAACCTAGCAGTTCGAAAGCACGTCAAAGTGCCAGTAGATAAATAGGTACCACTCTGGTGGGAAGGTAAACGGCGTTTCCGTGCGCTGCTCTGGTTCGCCAGAAGCGGCTTAGTCATGCTGGCCACATGACCCGGAAGCTGTACACCGGCTCCCTCGGCCAGTAAAGCGAGATGAGCGCCGCAACCCCAGAGTCGGTCACGACTGGACCTAATGGTCAGGGGTCCCTTTACCTTTACTGATAGCTCTCAACAGCCTGAACTATAGTTCCCAGAATCCTCTGGAGGACGCCATGACTATTTAAAGTGGTATGATAGTGCTATGAATGCTTAGTGCAGCTGGGAGCGAAGTATGTTCAACTTTTACAGTGGTACCTCGGGTTACAGACGCTTCAGGTTACAGACTGTACTAACCCAGAAATAGTACCTGGGGTTAAGAACTTTGCTTCAGGATGAGAACAGAAATCGAGCAGTGGCGGCAGCGGGAGGCCCCATTAGCTAAAATGGTACCTCAGGTTGAGAAAAAGTTTCAGGTTAAGAACGGACCTCTGGAACGAATTAAGTTCTTAACCTGAGGTACCACTGTATAATCACTCGTTCTTCTTGCTTATCCCAGCCTCCTCCTCCTCCTTCCCCCCTCCACTTGCTGCCTTGTCTCGGTATCTGGATTTCAACCCCCTCGGGGCAGGGACCTGCCATCTCATCCTTTGGGAAGAGGTGTTAAATATACAGCAGGTGTATGTTTAGAGGGCAATGCCCACGTTCTCTGCCTTCTCATCTTCCAATGGGTTCTGACAAGACTCCTTTCCCCAACAGACGGTGTTCAAGAATTACGATCCTGAGCAGCGGGGTTACATCTCGGAGGAGGATTTCGAGATCATCTCCACGAGTTTCCCCTTCTCCTTCTATGGGCTGGAAAGAGAGCGGTGAGTGAACAGGATTTCAGGAGAAGACTCTTCATGGATGTGACAACAGCTGCCCGAATGCTGTTAGCCCAGAGATGGAAAGTCCCTACCTGAGAGGAATGGCAAGCTAAATTGATGGACCATGCCAGGGGTCAGCAAACGTTTTCAGCAGGGGGCCGGTCCACTGTCCCTCAGACCTTGTGGGGGGCCGGACTATATATATATATTTTTTTGGGGGGGTGGTAAATGAACGAATTCCTATGCCCCACAAATAACCCAGAGATGCATTTTAAATAAAAGCACACATTCTACTCATGTAAAAACATGCTGATTCCTGGACCGTCCGCAGGCCGGATTTAGAAGGGGATTGGGCCAGATCCGGGCCCCGGGCCTTAGTTTGCTTACCCATGGACTATGCTGACTGGAAATCTCAGAAACCAAGAAGACAAAAGCTTTATTCATTTTTTTGAAATCGTTTATTTGATTTTACCAATATAAAGTTATAAAAAAGCCCAAATGTATATCCATATACAGAGATTTCTCCGAATCTCAGGACTTCCCCCCACTCCCTCCATGGAGTCCCATTTTAAACATTTAAAACTTTAAACAGTAATGGGGGGGAATTATAATTTATTTAAGAGACCACCGCAAGTAGATGAAAACATTAGCAGGATTCTAATTTCACTTGTAAAGTAACAAAGACTATGGGAAATATGGATGGATATAAAATATAGATTATGGAATAATATGCTGTTGTAAATGTTCACAACAGGATGGAGGAGAAAGTCTTGAGAACCGTATTTTTCGCTCTATAGGACGCACCCGACCATAGGACGCACCTTGTTCTAGAGGGGGAGAACAAGAAAGAAAATTCTCCCCCTCTCTGCGCAGCGCCCCTTCAGCAAGGCGGCAGGAGAAACGGAGCCCCTTCAATTTCTCCTCCCGCTTGGCTGAAGGGGCGCTGCGCAGCTCTCCCTCTCTGCTGAAGCCAGGAAAGTCTGTTATCGCTTCACGTTGTTATCGCTGAAGCCAAGGAGCCTGCATTCGTTCCATAGGATGCACACACATTTCCCCTTAATTTTTGGAGGGGGAAAGTGCGTCCTATAGAGCGAAAAATACAGTAATCTCTATATATGGATATATATTTGGATTGTTATAAATTTTTACTTGTAAAGCCAAATAAAAAACATTTGTAAACCACGCGCTCATAGAAAATATCACAAGGTGGTTGGCAACTTGGAAACGCAACACTGTAATAGAAGCAGTAGGAATGCCAGGCCCATCCTCTCTGGTTGACAGAGAAACTCGGGTCCGAAAGGCCTGGTCTGAACAACAGAATTTCCAGGAGGCATCTGAAAGTGAGCAAGGGTGACCTCAATTGGCAAGGAGCATCTCCACCCCCATCGTTCTGCCCAGACACTGAGGTCCATCTCCGAGGGCCTTCTGGCGGTTCCCTCACTGTGAGAAGCCAAGTTACAGGGAACCAGGCAGAGGGCCTTCTCGGTGGTGGCACCCGCCCTGTGGAACGCCCTCCCACCAGATGTCAAAGAGATAAAACAACTACCAGACTTTTAGATGACATCTGAAGGCAGCCCTGTTTAGGGAAGCTTTTAATGTTTAATAGATTATTGTATTTTAATATTCTGTTGGAAGCCGCCCAGAGTGGCTGGGGAAACCCAGCCAGATGGGCGGGGTATAAATAATAAATTATTGTTATTGTTGTTATTATTATTATTAGGAGTTCCACAGGGCAAGGGCTGCCGCAATGAAGTCTCAGTCCCTGGTAAAGGGCAGCTGAGGCTCAGGGGTGTGTGAACTGACCAAAAGTGCCCCATCAGAATACATACCCCCAACTTAAGGTTTATTTAAGTGTCAGGTGGGGCAGGAATTCACTAGGTGCCGATGACCCAAGCGAGGAGGGCCGAAGCCTCACACTCTGTGATTGTTTTTCTCTTCTTCTCCTCAACTGCAGGGAAGGCGCTTGGAGCCGGGAAGAGCTGTCCGAGTATTTAATGCGAGCCTGCGCCATTTTCTCCAAACTGGGCCTTGGGTTCCTGCACAACTTCCAAGAGGCTACCTTTAAGAAGCCCTCCTTTTGTGACAGCTGCAATGGCTTTGTGAGCTTAATTTATTTAAAATGGATTTATACCCCACCCTTCCTTCCCCACGTAGCCCAGGGCAGCAGACATGCTAAAAGCAAAAAATCCCAAAAACCTTCGAGCAAAGTATTCTAAAGCCAATTGCAATTAATAACATCTAACAGTAGCTGCCACCGAAAACACCCTAAAAGCAGTCAACAGCTGAGAACATTCCTCCATCCAAAGTTCTCAGGGTTGTCAGTATCCTTCGGCCAACAAATGCCATGTAATCAAATTTCTCCTGCAGATTAATAACGGTGGAAGCAGGCATAACTCACTAGGGAAGGCGTTCCGCAACTGGGGGGACCTATGTGACGTTAACATGAGGGAGTGCTGGAGGTGAAATAGTTAAACAGGTTACCCAATCAGAACCCAGGGAGTGGAGTCAGAGGAAGTATAAAACCAGCTCTGGGAGGGGCGAGAGGGGAGTTGGTTGGGAGTTGGTTGGAGTGGGAGTGAATTGGGATAGAGTCTGTGGGTAGGTTGAGTTAGTAAAGGTAAAGGGACCCCTGACCATTAGGTCCAGTCGTGGCCGACTCTGGGGTTGCGGCGCTCATCTCGCTTTATTGGCCGAGGGAGCCGGCGTACAGCTTCCGGGTCATGTGGCCAGCATGACTAAGCCGCTTCTGGCAAAACGGAACACCAAAACCAAAACAGCGCATGGAAACGCCGTTTACCTTCCCGCTGGAGCGGTACCTATTTATCTACTTGCACTTTGACGTGCTTTCGAACTGCTAGGTTGGCAGGAGCAGGGACTGAGCAACGGGAGCTCACCCGTCATGGGGATTCAAACCGCCGACCTTCTGATTGGCAAGTCCTAGGCTCTGTGATTTAACCCACAGCGCCACCCATGTCCCAGGTTGAGTTAGTGTAGCGATACAACCTGAGTCAGGAACAGTTAGGGGCTAGGAAGATAAGTAAATATCTGAGAGGTGGTTTAGTGAGTGAGAGCAGGTAGCAGAAGTTATAGGTCTGGATAGGCACCCCATGATTGTAATTAACCGATACTGTTTATGAAACCACACACTTGTTAAACTGCAATGAAGTTTATGTTCCAATTTAACCCTGACTGGACTCAGCATTGTACCAGGTAGGGCCTGGGTGGTGGCAGCGAGAAATAAAGTGGTGGTACAGGGATCAATAGACGGTGAAACGTCTGGGGACCCTGTGGGATCGCCACAGCCACCACCGAAAAGGCCCTGTGACAGGTCTGCACCACTTGGCCAGCCCCTGGTGGTGGCAACACCAATATGCGTCACTCATCCCCACCCCCTCAAAAAAAGAAAACCCGCCAGCCACCCAAAAAGTCGCTATTACTGGCAGAAACAGTAGCTGCTGAGCTGAGCTGCCAAACTGGAGAATCTGCTTTTCTTTTATAGTTAGCAGTAGTGCAAACGATGGGCTGGCATGCATAGTGGTGGCAGTAATCAGCAACAGGTGGGATGGAGGATGAAAGGGCTAGAGAAGTAGGAGAGATTGTACAGTGGTGCCTCCCAAGACGAAATTAATCCATTCCGCGAGTCTCTTCGTCTTGCGGTTTTTTCGTCTTGCGAAGCACGGCTATTAGCGGCTATTAGCGGCTATTAACGGCTTAGCAGCTTTAAGAAAAAGGAAACAAACTCGCAAGAACTTGCAAGACGTTTCGTCTTGCGAAGCAAGCCCATAGGGAAATTCGTCTTGCGGAACAACTCAAAAAACGGAAAACTCTTTCGTCTTGCGCGTTTTTCGTCTTGCGCGTTTTTCGTCTTGCGAGGCATTCGTCTTGCGAGGCACCACTGTAGATAAGCTCCCTTCAGAACAGCCTTCCAGATATTTTGGACTATTTTTATTTATCTCACCTTTTTCTCCAAGGAGCTCAAAGTGCCATGCATGGTTCTCTCCCTCCTCCTCATTTAATCCCCACAACAACCCAGTGACTGGCCTCCAAGGTCACTCAGGGAGCTTCAGGGCCAAGTGTGGATTTGAACCCCAGGCTCAGTCTAAGCACTACCCAACACTGGCTCTTGACTATGCCAAGTTGGAGAAGGCTGCTGCAGACGAACCAGCTTGTTTTGCAGCCTCTCTCCTGCAGCCATGAGGTCTAGAAGCTTGCTAAGTTTCAAAACCCAAAAATTGAAATTCCCAGAACTCTGCCGCCACTTTTGAAGCGGGCAATAAAGCTTCGGTCCCTGGAACAGGTTAGAGCAAGTCCCCCACCTCTCATCCACCTATGCTATGTTGCCTTCGCAAAGAAGTGGTGTCTAGTTCAACTTAACACGTCTCTTCTTGTTTTGTTCTTCTCCTGTTCTAGCTCTGGGGAGTCTCGAAGCAAGGATACAGATGTCGGGGTAAGCACGCCCCCTAGTGGGCACTAAAGGAGAGGGGATCCTATTAACCAGGGTCAGCAAACTTTTTCAGCAGGGGGCTGGTCCAGTGTCCCTCAGACCTTGTGGGGGGCCGGACTATATTTGGGGGGGGGGGAATGAACGAATTCCTATGCCCCGCAAATAACCCAGAGATGCATTTTCAATAAAAGGACACATTCTACTCATGTAAAAATACGCTAATTCCTGGACCGTCCGCAGGCCAGATTGGGAAGGTGATTGGGCTGGATCTGACCCCCGGGCCTTAGGTTGCCTACCCATGCTATTCACATTCCCATCGCTGATGATTATCTGTCTTCCCCTGCAGACTGTGGGATGATCTGTCACAAGCAGTGCAAGGACCAAGTGGAGGTGGAGTGCCAGCGGCGCTTCCATTCCTGCAGCTCCGAAAGCACGCTGTCTCGGACTGCCACACCGGCTGCCACCTATCACCCTAGCTCGGGTAAGGGACCAGCTCCAGCGATGCACAGTGGCAAGGAGGCTATTCGCTTCCCAGCCTTGCGATCCGTGGTACGGCTTCTATAGAAGAGTAGGAACACAGAGCAAATTCCACTTGACACCATAAACTGTGGTTTGAAGCACCAGTTCAAAACCAGCACGAGAAAGTACAGGTTTTGCTCACAAAGGTCATCCTGTGCATTTCATGGCTGCGTGGGGATTTGAACCCAGGTCTCCTTGGTCCTAGCTCAGCACTGTAGAACTACTGCACCACACCGCTTGCAGGAACAAATCTCCAGATACGATGGCCACGTTTCTAACCACACTTCCCTTATTCCACACGGCAGGCTCGGAGGAAGAAGCTTTCCTCTTCCCGCCGAGACGAGAGCACAGCAAAAGCCCCAACCTGGTGCAGTTGAGCCCAGCAGGCAGGCGGAGAATGAAACACGCCAGCACCCAGACAGACGCAGACAGTCCACAGGAGCCACGGGGACACAGCAAGAGTCTAAAGCAGCTTCTGGAAGAGCTGAAGGAGGTGGAAAAGGTGAGGATACTTGGGAGGGTGGGATTCCACATCTGGGGCTTCTGTGGAACAATAATGCGAAGCTACTTATGACACGGGTGGCGCTGTGGGTTAAACCACAGAGCCTAGGACTTGCCGATCAGAAGGTCGGCGGTTCGAATCCCCGCAATGGGGTGAGCTCCCGTTGCTTGGTCCCTGCTCCTGCCAACCTAGCAGTTCAAAAGCACATCAAACTGCAAGTAGATAAATAGGTACCACTCCGGCGGGAGGGTAAACGGTGTTTCCGTGCGCTGCTCTGGTTTGCCAAAAGCGGCTTAGGCATGCTGGCCACATGACCCGGAAGCTGCACGCCGGCTCCCTCGGCCAATAAAGTGAGATGAGCGTCGCAACCCCAGAGTCGTCCACGACTGGACCTAACGGTCAGGGGTCCCTTTACCTTTACTTTGGTCTAGACAGGCCCAAAGTTGCTGGGGGAACAGGCAACCTCCACTTTAAGCTGGAACCATCTCGCTCTCCTTTGCAGGAACGGGACAGGCTGTTGCTGGTCAACCAGAGCCTTCAGAGCTGCAACTCGCAGCTGGAGGCTGAGAACAGCTGGCTGCTGAAGGCAGATTCATCGAGCCTGCCCCCCTTCTCCTGCTGGAAGGCCTTGGCTGCCTACAACTCGCACCTGCCTCCCAAGCCCAACTGAGCCAAGGGCACAGGAACGGTGAGCTACAGGCAGGGAAGCGGAACATCTCAAGGAAGCGAACAGAGAGAAGGGAGGACACGGCGCTCAACGGTAGAGAATATGACTGGAAATGGATGCTGCTGCCCTGAAACCACTGCCATTCCTTGCCAATAATAGGGAGCTGGGTGGACAAGCAGTCGGACTCAAGCTAAGGGGCTTCCTTTGTTCCTAATAAAAGGACTGATTTTTGAACGGAGGCCCTACCAGTTAGCTTACTTCTTTTTTGGGTGCTGCTGCTGCAGATGCACGTTTTGGGTTCTGCACCACCACAATGGCCCTGTACCACCTCCGCTGTCAGAGGTGCTGGAGGAAGAGGGCCACTGGACTGCTTCAGCCGAGCTCTTCTTAGCTGAACAGTCCCGGGTGGCTCAAGAACCTAAGCAGCTCCTTGGCTTGTGTGCATGTGGTGGCTTGCCAAGAGCTCTCTGCAGCAAGCTATATTTAACCAATGAGCGAGTGCGTAAACAGAGACCCTGCCTTGCTAGCTGGGGCGAAGCGGGTGACCTTCTGGTTGGGGTTCCCATGTCAAGATTGGGAGAAAGGAATCCTCAGAAGGTGGAACCTGGGGACTGGCGGCAGGTAAAGGGGGACGAGGGTGGCGCTGTGGGTAAAAGCCTCAGCGCCTCGGACTTGCCGATCGAAAGGTCGGCGGTTCGAATCCCCGCGGCGGGGTGCGCTCCTGTTGCTCGGTCCCAGCGCCTGCCAACCTAGCAGTTCGAAAGCACCCCCGGGTGCAAGTAGATAAATAGGGACCGCTTACTAGTGGGAAGGTAAACGGTGTTTCCGTGTGCTGCGCTGGCTCGCCAGATGCAGCTTGTCACGCTGGCCACGTGACCCGGAAGTGTCTCCGGACAGCGCTGGCCCCCGGCCTCTTGAGTGAGATGGGAGCACAACCCTAGAGTCTGTCAAGACTGGCCCGTACGGGCAGGGGTACCTTTACCTTTACTTTAAAGGGGGACGAGAGGCAAGGCAGAAGCGCCTACTGACTGCGACCTCTTCCACTGACCCCCTTCGGCCTTGCTTTCAACCCCCCCCCCGCATCTTTTATTCACTTCCCTAACCCTCTGTTCAAGGGACGCGGGTGGTGCTGTGGGTTAAACCACAGAGCCTAGGACTTGCTGATCAGAAGGTTGGTGGTTCGAATCCCCTTGATGGGGTGAGCTCCTGTTGCTCGGTCCCTGCTCCTGCCAACCTAGCAGTTCGAAAGCACGTCAAAGTGCAAGTAGATCAATAGATACCACTCCGGTGGGAAGGTAAACGGCGTTTCCGTGCGCTGCTCTGGTTCGCCAGAAGTGGCTTAGTCATGCTGGCCACATGACCCAGAAGCTGTACGCCGGCTCCTTCGGCCAGTAAAGCGAGATGAGCGCCGCAACCCTAGAGTCGATCACGACTGGACCTAATGGTCAGGGGTCCCTTTACCTTTAACCCTCTGTTCATTTGGGGAATGTGGGGTGGAATACATTCACTGCTGGAAATAGATGCAATGTGTTATACTGAATACAGGAATTATATTGTTTAAATCTAACTCTCTCCCCATATAGATCACATTCAGCTATACCCCCCACAAACTGTGTAACCGCTCCCCCTTTTTGGGCAGGGGTAAGGAATGTGATTTCCCCTTAAAAGAAAAAGATAAAAAAATGTCCTTCAAATGGCAAACTGTCCCTGACTTTTAAAGTATTCTGCTCTCTTAACTAACTCTCCTGGCACAATAATAAAAGAAAGAGAGGTAGAAGGCGACGACTAGAGTTTTTAAAACACACACATACTCCCTTGCACAATGAGTTTGAATGACAAGGAAAATGTTTAATCTCTTAGTGTTACACTGAACCCACCCTGGCCATTTTCAATCCTGTCCCTTCAGAACAAGGACAAAAATTAACTTGCACCATTCAAACAAAACCCCATACTCATTGGCTGCTGCAATTGAGCCGCCCTGTAGATCAGCCTTTCTCAACCTGTGGGTCTCCAGATGTCACTGGACTACAACTCCCATCATCCCTAGCTAGCAAGGCCAGAGCTCAGGGATGATGGGAGTTGTAGTCCAACAACATCTGGGGACCCACAGGTTGAGAACCGCTGCATAATCCAGAGGAGGAAAAGGTACAAAGAAGTTTGGGTTTGTGCTTAAAAATCCCAAATTAATATATTCCCTCTTCCTACATTCTCCGGTTAAATCTAATGGGACATTTCTAAAGCTGGGTTTCTCATAAATGCTGCCCACCCAGCCCAAAAAGGAAGGTTGCTTCCTACCCACATTCGGCATCTAAAGCCCAAAAAGAAACCTTGAGAAATCCAGACGTTTGCCAGCACCTCTTGTTCCTTCATCCTTGCAAGTTGGGTATTAACTAGAGCAGGGATGGGGAACATTGGCCCCCAACTCCCTTCACACCTGATCACTGGCCCCACTAACTGGGGATTGCTGGGAGATGAAGTCTAATGACATCTGAAGGAACCACAGACTCCCCATCTCTGCTCAAAAGGCGCAATTCATCCGGCACCAAGCTATAACGCGGACAACACAAACGTCTGTGTCCAACAACTTTAAAGCAAGTGAAAGGGGGTTGGGGAAGGGGGGGAGAGATGTCTGATGTTAGCGCATATGCCCCTGCCCACTGTCTCAAGTTCAACGTAATGGGCACCTTTCTTGTAAACTGCATTTCCTCACATCCTGGGGGAAAGCAACACTGAAACCACCTTTGGCGAAGGCTGGGCTCCACCGCTCATCCTTGCTGCGGTTATCTTCCTGAAGCCTCTTCCCTGCCCTAAACTTAAGGGTGGTTTTGACCATACCCCACGCCGGAGGAGGTCAGGATCCAGCCCCTTGCTATTTTTTCTTCTTCTTGCTCCGCTTGCCCCATCGCTGGTGGCCGCCTCCTCCTCCTTCTCGCCTCTTCTCCCACGTGGGCATAGGGGGTTCGATCTCATTCGGACGCCCACCGCGATCCGGGACGTCACCAACCATCAGCACCTGAGAGGAAGGGAGGAAGAAACGGACGCGAGAGTGAACAGGAAGTGCTGTTACTAATGATCGCCACCATCCATTTATTCATTGCCTTCTAAACTACCAGCGCAAGGCGATTTATGCATAAGATAAACAGAGGCTAGAGGTACATTCTAAACAAGGGGGGGGGGGAGAATAAGAAGCTAATGCTTCTAAACGCTAAGGGATATCACATAGTTAAAGATATGTATAGAGGAGAGTCCTTAAAGTCATTGCAGAAAGTAACAGAGAACATAGGTAACCAATACTGGATAAAAATTGGAGGACTATACAACAAAATCTCTAAAGTCCAAGAGATAGGAAACATGAGTTTAGAAGAGCCAATAGAGAAACTATACAAACAAATGGAAAAAAGAAACAAGGAATGATAGGTAAAATCTGTAAGAGAATAAGAAACAGACAACCCAACTTATTCAAAAGATGTGAAGAACAAGTTAGCGAATCAATGGCTGAAAGGATAATGAAAGGAATAGATGAGATTAAAGTAAGCAAATTTAGAGAGCTGGAATTAAAATTCTTTCTAAAATGGTACAGAACTCCGGCCTAGCTAGCTAATATGGTAGCAGGATTGAATTCTAACTGTTGGCACTGTAAACAAGCCAAGGGATGGTTTCCTCATATTCCTCTGGAAATGCCCAGAGGTAAAGGAATTCTGGAATAAAATCCTAAAGGTTCTTAATGAAATTTTTAAAGTGAAGCTTTCGATAGACTTTGATTTCATGACAATGGGTTTACTTGGGAACACGGCTATAGAGAAAGGTGACCAGTTTACCTTCAAAGCTATGATATTAGCGGGAAAGGCAACGATAGCTTTAGGTTGGGAAGACAGAGAAAAATGGACAGTAGAGGCACGGAATAGTTATTTGTTTGAACTTATTCAGTCGGACATTGTCACAGGAAACAACGTGGAAGGTAAAGTCCACCACGATAAGGAACAGATGGAACCCCTATCTTCAATGCATAAAAACTACTGGAACAAAAGACGTTCGGTGGAAACTAAAGAGGCTATGCCCGCGGCTGAGGATAATAAGTTTGAACCCTTCCAATGGATATGGGGGCGGGGGGAGGGAGGGAAAGGAAAAAATTGTACGGGAAATTTAAAATTGGAAGGAGAAACTATAAAGTATGTAAAAATCCTGAACTTGAATAAAACTTCAAAAAGAAGCAGCAGCAGCAGCTGATGCTTGTGCTAAAGACCCATTTCTTAAAAAGCTGTTGGAACAAAAATGCCTTCAATTGTTTCCAGCAAGTGAGGAGGGTGGGCCCCGTGTCCAGGGCAGCTGTTTAACAGCTCCATCTGGTACGCAGGCTGAGACCCTATCTGCCCGCGGACTGTCTCATCAGAGAGGTGCAAGCACTGGTTATCTCCCGCTTGGACTACTGCAATGCGCTCTACGTGGGGCCACCTTTGAAGGTGACCCGGAAACTACAACTAATCCAGAATGCAGCAGCCAGACTGGTGACTGGGAGTGGCCGCCAAGACCATACAACACCGGTCTTGAAAGACCTACATTGGCTCCCAGTACGTTTCCGAGCACAATTCAAAGTGTTGGTGCTGACCTTTAAAGCCCTAAACGGCCTCGGTCCGGTATATCTGAAGGAGCGTCTCCACCCCCATCGTTCACTGAGGTCCAGCTCCGAGGGCCTTCTGGCGGTTCCCTCCCTGCGAGAAGTGAGGTTACAAGGAACCAGGCAGAGGGCCTTCTCGGTAGTGGTGCCCTCCCTGTGGAATGCCCTCCCACCAGATGTCAAAGAGAACAACAACTACCAGACTTTTAGAAGACATCTGAAGGCAGCCCTGTTTAGTGAAGCTTTTAATGTTTGATGTATCACAGTATTTTAATATTCTTTTGGAAGCTGCCCAGAGTGGCTGGGGAAGCCCAGCCAGATGGGCGGGGTATAAATAATAAATTATTATTATTATTATTATTATTATTATTGCTGTTGTATCTCGACAGGAAGTGACATAGAACTTCCTGTTCACTCCCTCCCTCTATCAATGACTGGTGCTCAGGCATTTTATTTCTGGGGTGTAACCAGCACACTTAAGGGATAAAAAACGGGGAAGCAGCTCAGGTACAGCTCAGGTACCATTGCCCAGAGCCCCTGGATGGGAGAAATGGGTAGTTTGGTTCATTTATTCATCTGGAATCAGCCTTGCTGAGCACCCGTGCACAACTGCGCAGGCCTGCTATAGGGCTTTCCTGTACCCCCAAACCCAACATCTGGGGGAACTGCACCCCTCTCCAGCCCTGTACCTTGTTGACGGCACAGCTGGTCTTGTTCCGCGAAGCTCCGCTGCTGGTCTTCACGATGCGGGAGAAGTCCTCCCGCGCTGCCAGGAGGTGGGGAAGGGTGACGTGAGACTCCTCCAGCAAAGATTGCCGCAAGGGTTTGAAGGCCTCCGACATAGCTTCGCTGCGGTCCTACGTTGCGGGGGGCAAAATTTGAGGGAAGAAGTCCATTTTTCATTCAAACCCCCCCCCCAGTCTATTCAGGGCAGGTCAATGCTGCTGAACTGTTACTAAAACTATTATTTATATGTTATTTCTTTTATTTATATCCTGCCTTTCCCCACCATGCAGGACCCAGGTTGGCCCACAGCATAAATTAAAACAAATACGACTAAAAAAGCACAAAATAGAATTATTATTTTTAAAAAAATTTTTTAGCACTTATTAAAATTTACACACTGCTTGGTTGTAAAGAAACAACCAGCTCAAAGCGGTCGACGAAAAGATAAAACTGTAGAATTGTCAATAGGAAACATCAGCATCATTTAAGGCTTTCAAGAAGTTGAAATAACCACAGACACTAAACACAGATTAAAACTCGCATCAGCTTTCTAAATGTCTGGGTAGGCTCATCCCAACAAAAAGGTTGTTAGCAGGGGCCGGGAAAAAGAGAGTACAGTGAAAGCGCCTGCCTGGTTATCAATTGGCAGAGAGTTCCAAAGGGCACATGCTGCCACGCTAAAACATCAAGGGGGGTTATGTGGCTCCTGTATCAGGGCCAGTTCCGTCAGTTGAAGCCGTCAAGTGGGCGTAAATGGAGTAAGGAAGTCTCAAAAGATAAACTGGTCCCAAGTTGTTAGGTTGGAAGATGGAGCAAGCTCCCCCCGCCCCCCCAGCTCTCGAACCAACGGCTTGCAAGTAACAAGAAAGAAGATTCCAAACTAAACATCGGGAAGGACTTTCTGGCGGCGAAAGCTGTCTGGCAGCGGAACGGACTCCCTCGGGATTGGACGGCCATATATCACGGATGTCTGAGATTCCTGCAGGGGGTTAGACTAGAAGACCCTTGGTTGTCTCTCTGAACCCTACGATTCTAGGAATCACTTTCACCCAGTGCTATACCAGCTGCACTGGCTCCCAGCGGAGTACAGGATCAGGTTTTGCTGGTTTTAACCTTCAAAGCCCTATACAGCCTAGGACCCTCGTACCTACAGGACCGCCTCTCCTGGTATGTCCCACGGAGGACCTTACGGTCTTCAAACAAAAACATCTTGGAGGTCCCGGGTTACAGGGAGGTTAGGCTGGCCTAAACCAGAGCCAGGGCTTTTTCGGCCATGACCCCGATCTGGTGGAACGCTCTGTAACAAGAGACTAGGGCCCTGCGGGACTTGACATCTTTCCGCAGGGCCTGCAAGACAGAGCTGTTCCACCAGACCTTTGGCCAAGGCACAGTCTGACCCCCTCTCTCCTTCTGTAATCTTCAGAGAAATCTAGCCCAATGGTTGCCATGACTTAAATTAATTTGATTCGGAACTGATTTTAGAATGTATTTCAATTAATTGTCTATGATTTTATGTAAACTCTGCTATTTTTACTGTTAGCCACTCTGAGCCCAGCTTTGGCTGGGGAGGGCAGGATATAAATAAAATATTACTATTATTATGACTATTATGTACTAATTGTAACACCGGGGACGCGGATGGCGCTGTGGGTTAAACCACAGAGCCTAGGACTTGCTGACCAGAAGGTCGGCAGTTCGAAACCCGCGACTGGGTTAGCTCCCATTGCTCGGTCCCTGCTCCTGCCAACCTAGCAGTTCGAAAGCACGTTAAAGTGCAAGTAGATAAATAGGTACCGCTCCGGCGGGAAGGTAAACGGCATTTCCGTGTGCTGCTCTGGTTCGCCAGAAGCGGCTTAGTCATGCTGGCCACATGACCCGGAAGCTGTACACATGGCTCCCTCAGCCAATAAAGCAAGATGAGCGCCGCAACTCCAGAGTCGGCCACAAGTGGACCTAATGGTCAGCGGTCCCTTTAGCTATTATTATGTACTAAACATAACACCAGTAAGTCTACCCTATTCTTAAAAACAACCACACACCAACACATTCAACCCTTTAAAAGCACATGCCCCCCTCTTGTCCAGCTCACTCACCTTTGCCCTCTCGGACCAATGGAAGGACTCGACGGTGACGTCAAGACGAGTTGCCATCATGCGTCGGCGGCACTGATATTCCGTGCACAGCAAGTCCCGTATGCCCTCCAGCGCCCCCTAGTGTTTTCATTTGGGAGAGGGACAAGAGAAAGCAGGAGACATAAGCTGCTTGCTGTCTTTCCACCCACCCTGGAACCACCCTCAACAACCCTGCGTTGTCCGTCTCGACCGAAGGGGCAAGCATCCACGCGGTGGAGAGTTAGGTGCCAATGCCACTGGCCTGTCCCTACCCATTCCTCAGAGGTCAGCGTGGCCTTTAGGAGCGGCGCCATCTGCTGGTGCTCAGGGGGTAGTGAAGAAAGCACCTCCGAAATCTAAGGATGAGATCACAAGTTTAGCTGTTTGGGGGGGAAAGAAAGAAACGGACAATTTGCATACTGGGGTGCAGCCAAAGCAGTGGTGGGGGGGGGAGTTTCTATTCCTTTAACTGCCCTGAACAGCCCCCCGCCCCGCTTTCAACATTCAGCAAGACAGCTAGAATTAAGCTGCAGGGAGCATTAGAGACCAGGAGCTTTAGCACCTCCCATATCTTTGCCGCATGCACAAGTCAAACAGCCGCCCCGTCCTGCCCCAAATGCGTCCCCACCTTGGCTTCTATGTCAGCCATGGCTTGATGGACCGGGCAGCCTGGATCGAGGTCCGACATTCCCAGGGCTTGGCAGATGAGTTGGAGCTCGTTCACTGCTTCGCCAGATCGGTCTTCTTTTTCTGGCGGCGAACGGGGCATCTTCCGAGCCAGCAGCCGGGCGGCCAGGAGCTCTGAGCTCAAAAAATCTTGCCAGGGAAGGAGAAAGAGCTTGATTCAGTTCCCGTCCTAAATTTATATCCCATAAACCTTGGGGACCTAAGCGCTTCTAGGGTGATTTTAAAAAAGAGGGGGTGTTGGGAATTAATTAAGTAAAATACATATTTTTTATTTTTTTAATGAATTTGCATTTTATTTATTTGTTAAGATTTTTATATTGCATCGGTAAACGTTGTCATATTACATTACAGGACTTACTATAATATAATTAATTAAGTGAAATATTATTGTTATTTATTAAATTTATTGGTCCCTTTTTTGCCATGGCAACTCAAAAGCAACTTACAGAAAAAACCCCACACATAAAAACCCCCACATGGAAACATCCCACCCACTCTAAAATGCCATTGTTAAAAGCCAAAGCCTTGTTTAAAAATGAATGTTTTCCGACGCCTGAAGATGTGCAACAACGGTGCCAGAAGCGCCTCGGAAGCCACCACTGAAAAGGCTCATTCTTGTGTTCCCGCCCTTTGGACCTCCCATTGATTTTTTTAAAAAAAATAAAAATGAGCTAATACACACCCGCGCGACTCACTGATCCCCAGACCCTTTCTAGGTTTGGGAGCAGAAGTTCTTAGCCACGTCTTTTCTGAGCCCACCTGCACAGAATGAGCCGGGGAATAAGCCCCTTCCTGCCTGGACTTACACAGGAGCTGGAGGCACCTGTCCGGGGTGCTAAGCCTGGCTGTTACGTCCCCGTAGTCAGTGAGGAGTAGGGACAATGAAGCTCCCCAAGGAGGCCGCTCACTTCGATCTGGAAGGTCTCGGCATCCTCAGGACCTGAAAGGACACAATGCCACTTGGGGATAGAAATCTAAAACATCAATGGAGTTGGCGGAAATGACTGGCAGAATCCGAGACCAGGGAGAAGAGTCAGTGGAAGAAGATTGGAAAAAATTTAAAGTTTATTTACAGAAATATTGTAAAATTAATGAATGTTAGAAGGATGCTGGAATGAAGTTATATGGCTTTAGCAGAAATGTTATAAAGAATTAAGTAAAGATAGATTGTTAATGGGTCAAAGTGGAAATTTAAGGTTAGATTGTCTTAAGATAAATTATAGAACAAAAATTAAGAAAGATGGAAAGGATTTGCTGAAATAGCTAATTGAACAAGAATACAAAAAAGGGAGGTGTGAGGAGGTCGATGATACAAGTAAATGAAAGGTAGAGATATAGAGATATTGGATGTGTTTAAATGTTTTTGCTTTTCTTGTTGTTTTGCTGCATTGTGTTTTTTTGTTTTTTCTTTTTATTTTTGATGTATTGTGAACTTTTTATTGTTTCTTTTTTCTTTTTTCTGTAACTATTAAACTTTTAATAAATATCTTTTTTTAAAAAAAAATAGAAATCTAAAACATCAGCTCAGTGAGGAGTGGATAATAATAATAATAAATTTTATTTATACCCTGCCCTCCCCAGCCAAGACCGGGCTCAGGGCAGCTAACAACCAATAATAAAAACAAGTTGATTAAAATACAACTTAAAAAACAAGATTAAAATGCAACATTAAAACATTAAGATGCAGCCTCTTCACAGGAGGAAAAGGAAAGAGGGAGAGGGAATCAAATTGATTCTAAGCCAAAGGCCAGGTGGAACAACTCTGTCTTACAGGCCCTGTGGAAAGAAATCAGATCCTGCAGGGCCCTGGTCTCATGAGGCAGAGCGTTCCACCAGGCCGGAGCCATCACTGAAAGGGCCCTGGCTCTGGTTGAGGCTAACCTAACTTCCTTAGGGCCTGGGACCTCTAGGGTGTTGCTATTTATGGACCTTGAGGTCCTCCGTGGGGCATACCGGGAGAGGCGGTCCTGTAGGTACTGTTGATTTAAAGCAGAGTCTGTCGTGCCCAGCGGAAGGATGAGTAATACGTGCTACATACTCTATATTGCTTTATTTACAGTTCAAAGCTGGTATATTACAGAAAGACATCTTGCCTCTGCCGAAGCAGAAAAATGCATCCTCTCTCCTCGAGAGCTTGGAGAGAATCACACAGTGAAAAAAACAGGAAACCAGTGTACGTCACATCCAGTCTCCCTTTCCCGTGAGAAACTCCAACAGTACAGACTGTGGAATGTAAACACCTGTCTCGTGACAAGTAGAGCTGCACAGTGAAGGAAAGCAGAAACCAACATCCTCCCCCTTTCTGTGAACATCACTGGGCAGCATGTTTGCACAATATCAGTACAAACCCAACTTCTGCACATAGGTACAGTGTTGATCCCTTGATACAATCTTGGACAATACATCAGCAGGAATTTCATTACCTGGCATATAGGACACCGTTACGAGTCCCTTCTGAATACATTCCCTAGCATGCTGCAACTTTAATTGTAAGTGCTTTGTGCTTTGCTTACAACCTTCAGACTTCAGCAAAGCCAAACATGCTTTGTTGTCCTGGTAAACCTGGATTGGACATTTGACAGGAATTTTCATATCTTTGCACAATTGTACTAACCATTCACAATCCTTAAGTGAATAAGACAGTGCATTCAGTTCGGCTTCACAAGTACTTAAGCTAACTGTTGTTTGCTTCTTGCATGACCAATCAAACAGACTCTGATTGTACATGTAGCAAACTCCAGACGTACTTTTCCTGTCTGTAGTGTCACTTCCAAAACTTGCATCTGCAAATATCTCAAGACCACCAGACTTCTGATTGTTAAATCTCAGTCTGTAATGCATAGTGCCTTTCAAATACCGCGCTATGCGTTTCAGAGCTTTCAATCCTTGACACTAGGATTGTTGACTTGTCTGCTTAGCAAATTACAGCTAACAGCAATGTCTGGTCTTGAACATCTGGCAATGAAGTTTAGCTTGCCTAGCACACTCCTGTACAGTGTAGTGTCAGAAAAGGCTTCTTCAGTGTCATCTACCTGATAACCTGTTGTCATCGGTGTGTCTACAGGGTTAGCATCCATCAGATTTAGTTTGCTTAACACATCAGCAATTTTCCGTGACTGGTGTACTAGAATGTTACCATCTTGATCTCTCTCTATTTCCAGAGATAGGTAGTTGTTTACCTCACCAAGATCTTTCATGTCAAAGTGCTCTTTCAGTTGAGCTAGGGCGCTATTGTACATTGCGACATCTTTCCAAAAGAATAATAAATCATCAACATAAAACAAACAGTACAGTTTCTTTTGCCCCTCCTCTTTGACAAATACACATGGATCAGCTTTCCCTTGCTGAAAACCTAGAGAAAACAATACTTCAGTGAGTTTTGTGTGCCAACACCGTGCACTTTGTTTGAGACCATAAAGGGATTTCTTCAGAGCACAAACAAATCCCTGTTTTACCTGTACGCCATCAGGTGGAAGCATATAAAGTGATTCATCTAGAGATCCGTACAGAAAAGCTGTATTAATATCATGGTGACTAATGTGTAGATTTTCCTCTGCAGCTAGCTTAAGCATAAGCCTAATGCTTTCATATCTCACTGTGGGTGAATAGGTCTCGTGATAGTCTTGACCTGGTACCTGTGCAAAACCTCTGGCTACCAATCTGGCTTTGTGTCTGACTATCTTGCCATTTTGATCTGTCTTCGCTTTGAAGACCCATTTGCTCCAAGCAGTGTCATTCCTGGAACTACTGGAACTAGCTCCCATGTTTTGTTCCTTTCTAAGGAATCAAGCTCAGCCTTCATGGCATTTAACCATGGCTCAGCTTCCTTTGAATCCAAACCCTGGATTTCTTGGAAACTTGAAGGTTCAAATACCTTCTTGGAGCTTTTAACAGCTGTTACTGCTATCTTAGCAAACTCATCAGCAAATCTCTTTGGAGGTTTGCCTTTTGTGGCTCTCTGTGACCTACGAATTAGCCTTAAGTCTTCAACACTCTCCTCTTCCTTCTTAGGAGAAAAACGACCTATTGTGAACAATGGTTCCTCCAATTCTTGATCAGAGCTTTCAGAGGGTCGCATAGAGGCTTTCGCACTCTCGAAATCCTCTGAATCACCCGATTCAGTTTCAGATTCAGACTCAGAACCTTCATCAGTGGGTGTGGGCTGTTGTGGTTGCTTTTGACTATCCTCAGTCTCATCACCGTCATCAGGATAACATTGGAAAATTCCCACATTCTCCCCCCACTTTGCATTGTACTCAACACTTCTCGTGAGCTTAATTGTCTTAGAGTCAGTCATCATTATTCTGTAAGATCCTTTCTGATAACCTAGAAAGATACCATGCAATCCACGCTTGTCTAACTTGGAGGTTTGTGGTGAGCGAACCCACATGTCAGAACCAAAAATCTTCATGTGTTTGATGTATGGCTTCTTGCCAAACATCTTCTCATAGGGGGTTCAACCAATCGCTGAAGATAACCTGCGATTGTAACTGTAAACAAAACACGAGAGAGATTCGGCCCAATAACTCTCTGGAAGATTGGCATCATGCAGCAAGGTTTTTAAGCCTTGAAGCAACGTCTGATTTGCCCGTTCCGCAAGTCCATTCTGCCATGGCGAGCGAGGACTAGACAAATCGTGTTGAATTCCTTTCTCAGTCAGAAAAGCTTCAAACTGCTGAGAAGTGAATTCCCCCCCGCGATCACTGAAAAGAGTCTTTATCTTCTTACCATGCACATTTTCCAACCAAGCACAGAATTCCTTGAACCTAGGAAAAGCCTCCGATTTCTGCTTGAGATTGTACACAAAAATATATCTAGAAAATGCATCAATGAGAACCATGAAGTATCTATTTCCACCCAAAGAGGGCGCTAGTGGTCCAACCAAATCAGCATGAACAACCTGGTATGGTTCTGTAGCTTTCCTACTAGACACCTTACCTTTCGCAGCCATTTTCACCTTGTTTGCTGCGCATGCTTTGCACTTCATGTGGTACCTGCAGGGTTTAATAGTCATACCTTCAACCAAGGCAGGCATTTTAGATACTGCCTCAAAATGCAAATGACCAAATTTTCGATGAAAATCGTGAATACATTCTGCATGCAAACTTTTGTTAGAACCTGCAATGCAACAAGTGTCATCCTGCACCACATCATCATAATACAAAACAAACAAATGATCAACATATTCTGCATGCAATACATAATCATTTTTCTTTGTGATGATGCACTTCTTGTTCTTGAAGGAAACGTCAATGTTCCGCTCATTCAGCTGTCCAACGCTGAGCAGATTATGTTTGGCGTCTGGCACGTAAAGCACATTCTGTATCGATAAGTCCAAACTGTGAAGAACAACAGTTCCGTAGCCTTTACTGGGAATAGTGTGGTCATCCGCCTGGTGAATCGCACCTTCCTGCGGTGTAAAAGACACAAACAGTCTCTTATCGTTGCACATGTGGTGGGTGGCCGCTGAATCAACAACGAAGAAAGATCTAGACGTCTTCTGGACCTCTGCAACCTTTGGAGTGAAGCGTGAAACCATAGCCTTGTGCTGCGTTGTCCTAGACACCGGACCTTTGCCTTTGCCTCGGCCTTTTCCGCGCGATGAGCTTTCACTGCGCTGCTCTGTCTTGGCCCTGGGATGTCTGCATTCCCTCTTCATATGGCCTAGACGTCCACACGAGTAGCATTTCACTGCCTTCAAAGCTTTGGCGCCATCTGGTGGTTCCACTGCACTATGGGATGACGTCTGTGAAGACTCCCCTTGCCCATGCAGCTAGCACCCGGCGATCTGCTTCATTTAAAATCACGGCAGTAACAAAGTCCACTGTCAGCTGAGCAGTTGGTTGCACAGCAATCTGGGTTGCAACAGACTCCCAACCTGAACCTAAAGATTGTAGTATCATGAAAGAATACACAGCCTCTGGAAAGTTGAGTCCTCTCTGTTGCAGCTCATGTCTCAGATTTTGCATCTCCATCAAATGTAAACGCACATCTCCACCTTCAGCAAGAGCCATATTGTGCAGCTTGTTAAAGTAAAACATAGTGGATCCAGCTTCTGTCCTTAAGTGAGCCTCTCTCAAAGCGTCCCAAATTTCTCTGGCTGAGGTCTTATCACGCAATAGACAGAGCTCTTCTGGGGATACTATCAATGTAAGAGTTCCCCTTGCTTTGGAATCCTTAGCTTCCCATGCATCTGTAACTGGAACTGGGGGGGTTCCTGTAATCACCTCAAACAAACCCTCTTTCCGCAGAATTGCCTCTGCATACTGAACCCAGTCGCTGTAATTTTTCTTGTTGAGCTTAGGAATCCCACAAGCATCCTGAAGGGCCATCATGACTCTGGCATTAGCCTTCAGCGTCATATCTATGCTGCTTTAAATCTTGCTGCGTCACTGCTGCAGCTGCCTTATTACAAAGGCACACTTAAAAGTTACTTTCGATTTCCCCAGCATAGTGACTTGTGCCTGGGAGCCTTTGCCTATTCCCGGCAAAACCGGCTTTAAAAGTTCAAAGTCCAGCCATAAAGCCATTAACTTGAAGCTGGCAGGCTGCCCGGAGCAGTAGCACATACCTCATCAATCACTTCTACGCGCAGAGCAGATTCCGTTCCGATCTGTCCCTCTGCATTCCGATCCTTTGCCGGCACTCCGATTCGACCTCTGGAGCCCATAACCACGTGTTGATTTAAAGCAGAGTCTGTCGTGCCCAGCGGAAGGATGAGTAATACGTGCTACATACTCTATATTGCTTTATTTACAGTTCAAAGCTGGTATATTACAGAAAGACATCTTGCCTCTGCCGAAGCAGAAAAATGCATCCTCTCTCCTCGAGAGCTTGGAGAGAATCACACAGTGAAAAACAGGAAACCAGTGTACGTCACATCCAGTCTCCCTTTCCCGTGAGAAACTCCAACAGTACAGACTGTGGAATGTAAACACCTGTCTCGTGACAAGTAGAGCTGCACAGTGAAGGAAAGCAGAAACCAACAGGTACGAGGGTCCTAGGCCGTGAAGGGCTTTAAAGGTCAAAACCAGCACCTTGAACCTGACCTTGTACTCCACCAGGAGCCAGTGCAGCTGGAAAAGCACTGGGTGAATATGCTCCCATGGCAGAGACCCCGTGAGGAGCCTCGCTGCAGCATTCTGTACCCGCTGGAGTTTCTGGGACAGCTTCAAGGGCAGCCCCGCGTTGAGTGAATTACAGTAGTCAAGCCTGGAGGTGACCGTCGCATGGATCACTGTGGCCAGGTCGGGGCGGGAAAGGTAAGGGACCAACTGCTTGATGCGGCGAAGGTGGAAAAATGCCTTGGCTGTTGCTGTAACCTGCGCCTCCATGGAAATGGAGGAGTCAAGGATTACACCCAAACTCTTAATGGAAGGCAATGGCACTAATTGGGCCCCCGCAAGAGAAGGGAGTTGGCCCCTCATCCCCATACCATCCTGACCCAGCCAGATGAAAGGGTTGTCCTTGGTACTAGCCAATACGACCATCCCTCCAGGCATTCTCTGCCCCCCCAACCTCCCTCTCCAGTTCCAGTATGCTAGAAGCTCCCTTGATGACCTTGGCGCTTTTCATCCAAGTGATGGGCTGGAGCAACAAGACCTTGCAGCAAGCAGTTCCATGGGTTAACCACCCAGAAGCCAGCTAGTGAAACCCCGCAGACGCCAGGCTACATTACATTTGCTTCTCAGATGTCATCAGCCCAGTGGGGTGGGGGATTCCTCACACACCCCTCCCCCCTTGCTTCCTTTAGGTCTTGTGCCAGAAAAAGTTTGCTGCATTCATCTCTCCCCACAAAGCCAGGTTACTTACCACGAGTGGGATTCACGTCCTCTTCGAGCGGGCAAAGGCTGCGGAGCTCGGAAACCAGCCAAGAGCAAAGAGCTGTGAACTCGGGGCTGGAGACGCCGGCTTCAGCTACCTGAGCAAAGCCATCCATCGACAGGCACCTGGGTGCAAGAGAGAAATCAATAATAATAATAATAATAATAATAAATATAATAATAAATTTTATTTATACCCCACCCTCCCCAGCCAAGACCGGGCTCAGGGTGGCTAACTCCAGGTATAAAAACAATTGATTGAAATGCAACTTAAAAACAATATTAAAATGCAGCCTCATTTCAGTAGGAACTCAAATCAAAAACTTTTTTGGGGACGAAAACATCAAGTCTTCACCAAGGCCAACTATCCAGACTGGTCCTACGTGGGCCAGAAAAAAAGCCAGGGAAGTCCTCATATAGGAGTTCCATCACAGAAGGAGAAAGGACAAAGGAAAGAGGGGGAGGAAAGAAAGGAGATTTTGACTTCCGGGTTGGCGCCTCCAGGCAATGGCGGAGTTCCTCCGATCGGGAGGAATTTGCTCCGCGGAAATTAGGGTCTGACCGCTACGGCGAAGGCGGAGACCCATTGAAATCACAGGCGGGAGAAGCCTGTGAACTTGGGATTCGGCTGGCACTCTTTGCGCCTCCTCTACTCGCGGGGAAACCCTGATTTGGGGATCCGGAGCGAAGTGGGGTGAGTGGCGCGGTGCTTCGAATTGACTGCTTCTTTCACGGAGTGAAGCCGCATCGCTGTTGCCGGAGAGCGCTGACTTTTTCCTGTGGACAATTGGTTTTTAAACAACTACCCGTGAGTAGAACGGAAAATTAGATCCTTAAATTCATTAATTTGGCATTGAAATGGGAAGGTTCTAAACAGGAAGTCCGCCTTCCTTTTTTGTAAATAGATTGAAGCAAAGAAGTTGCAAGTTAAAGCCTTGGAAAGTTTATTTTTCTAAAGGATTAAATCTCCATCGGTTAAAACTATTAAACCCCCCTTGGAAGCAGGAGAAGAGGGGGGAAATTTTGGACCTAGTGAGCCTGCAGGAGAGAGTGAAAACCAAATTACCACTGCTCCGAACCTGGAAACGGGCTGCCAGAAAGAGTGACGTTTTTTGACAGCTAGCTAAATAAGAGAAATATATTGTTTTCATTGTCCTCATCTGCGTTTAAAAAGCAGGAAAAGTAACTGAAAACTGAAACTAACTTTATAGTTTAAATTGTGTTTGAAAGGATTGATACAAGTGGAGACTGTTTCCCTCTAGAGGGAGCTTTTGAAACTGTTACAAGAGTGGAGCTGGGGTTTTTCCAGCTGCAAGATAAGAACTGTGTGAATCAGAGATCGACCTTGGATTTTAAGAATGTTGACAGAAGGAACCTTCTGTCAACATTCTTCTGCATTATGTAAGGTAAGCTATTCGTTGGAACAGCTCCACAAGAAGACGGATGCTATGAATACCAAACTTGAGAACTTGGGACAAAAAGTGATTAATTTGGGACAAAAAGTGATCATTAATACAGAAATTGTTCAGGATTTGACAGAGGAACCTACTTTGACAGGACAAACTGGGGAGAAGACGAAGGAGAATGTTGGTGTTGTTGAACCTAAAATAATACAAGTGGAAGCCCCAGTCTTACAGAGGCAAATTGAGGACTATAAGTGGAAGCCTTTTATGAATGAATATAGAAAAAGTCAGAATTTGAAGATTGGAGCCTTGCTTGGATTGGAGAAGGAAGGTTGGATAGACTCTTTCATGCAGAGATTTACTGACCTTTGGGTCCTGAATCTGGGTCAGGAGGTGATTGGAGTTGTGGGGGCCTTTGGATCTGGAGGAGCCTTGAAACATGATTTGAGATATTGTATGGACATTGGTTTTAGCTGTGGAGAGTTGGTTGGCCTGTCGAGAGGGAATGGGGGCATGGTTGGGTCAGGGCCCCCCCAAGACCTGCGCTTCAGCATCTTCAGCATCAAAGAATATGAAGAAAAACTGCAGAAGGGACTTGGAAAAGATTTAAGAGCCTTGGACAGAAGATCTCCAGGTTGATGAACTATATGGAATGGATGGAAATGACTGGCAGAATCAGAGACCAGGGAGAAGAGATGGTGGTTGAAGATTGGGAAAGTTTAAAGTTTATATATAGAAATATTGTAAATTTAATGAGTGTTAGAAAATTGTTGGAATGAAACTTTATGGCTTTAGCAGAAATGTTATAAGGAGTTAAGTATAAATAAGTATTTTAGTATTAATGGAAAATAAGGTAAAAAATATGTTAAGATATTCATAATGACAAAAATTGAGAAAGATGGAAAGGAATTGCTGAAACAAGTAATAGAAGTGGAATACAAAAAGGGAGGTGAGAGGAGGTCGATGAAATAAGGGAATGAAAGACAGAGTAATGAAATGGTATGGTATATGTTTTTAAATTGTTGTTTTGCTTTGTTTAAATTGTTGTTGTTTTGCTTTTAGTTTAGTGTGTTAAGGTTGTGCTTTGTATTGTTTATTGTATTGTTTTTTCTTTTCTCTCTTTTTTTCCCTTCTCTGCTCTATTTTGTCTTTCTCTCTCGCCTTTTTTCTTCTTTTTTCTTTTCTTGTAAGTTTTAAAAGCAATAAAGATTATTTACAAAAAAAAGGAGATTTTATTTACACGATTGGTTCCCCCCCCCTTCTTCCTATGCCGTATACATAAAATGTAAGGCTGTCATCACACAGCTCCCATTGGTGAATAGGTATTGCCACATCATAACCCTGGATTTGCATGAAGCCATGGGAGGGGACAGGGAAAAGAGAGAAGGCGGGTTGTAAAAGGGTGGTTTTAAACAACAGCATAGAGTTGAAGAAAGCAGGGATGGAAGGACACAGAGGAGCTGTGAGGCTATGGGGGCGGGGCTTGAGGGTGCTCAGGGGGCGGGGCTTGGCAGGATTGGCAAGCAATGTGCACAGGGGCAGCAGCCCCTGGTACTGAACCCACCCTTCCTCTAAACCAGGCTTCACCAACCCGGTGTGCCCTCCAAGTATTTTGCACGACAAATGGCACCAGGTCAGGGAAGGTTGCTGCAAGTTGCTACGTCAAACTGCAATTTCTGCATTGGCAGAATGGCTGTATACAAGTGACCCAAATCTGTATATGTTCCTAAAAGGCCTCTTAATTCTAAGAGACCCAACAACCAGCACCACCACGATCCTCTCCCTTATCCTCTCACAGCTGCACCCGAGTAATACACCGTTTCCGCACATCAGAAGGGGTCAAACACAGGTTTTCCGGAACGGAGAATGCAAATCCCAGCAGGGCTGAGCCCCCAAAACTTCCCACTTTGGAAATTAAACAATGGACACATTACGTGGGGGGACGATTGTGTTGGAGGAAACATCAGTGTGTCTGGCTGCTAATCATCTACTGCCAATTTGAGCAGTATGTGAACATGGCAATATTCTAATGTTGCAACTCCTTGGTGCTGGGATAGGGACCCAGTGGCTTGCAGGTGCAATGTGGCCCTCCAGGGCTCTCTAACCGGCCCTCAGGCTGCCCCCCCTCACAAGACCTGCTCCATATCCTCCTTGACTGTTTTCCTCTGGTTGGAACGGGTCTCTGAATTACGGTAACTTGGCTGGATAGCAAACAGACAGGTATGTTTGGGTGTGTCTGGAATGTAGCCACCTGGGTAAAGGTGAGAGCCGCACCCATCCACCTGCACAGCTTTTGCCTCCAGCCCTGCCCAAGACTGGCACACAGTCCGTGGAAGGCTGCCCGTCAAAGAAGGCAGCCCTCAGGTCAACACACCCTTAACACAACTACTGTCCTTAACCGGTAACAGAAATAGGTAGGGAGCAGGGGAGAGAGATGGAGAAAAGGAAGGAAGGAAGATGACACTGTTTTGGCTTCTTACATTTGGTGCCTAGACACTAAAACCAGCTTCAGGTTCCGGAAAACAGGCTCACAGGGAGCTTTGCTCCTTGTATTCCTGAATGGCTTCAGCAGCTGACCACACAGAAAACAGGCTCCCAAACATGCTGCCTTCTTCCTCTTCAAACCCAATTTTGACATCCGCTTGCAGACCGGGCTCACCAACTATACAAAGCTTCACTGGCTGACACACAGAAAGCATTAACTTTTCCCTCTCTCTGCTCTCTCCCAGTGCCAAATTCTGGCTGCAAGCTCCTTGTGGCAGGGACCTTTTGCTGTAAAGCAGTCACTGTTCACCCCTCCCTCGCCCCCTCCCCTCAGCTGCCACCCCAAGCCTGGCCAACGATTGGTGGGTCTGGAGGCAAAAAGTTGGGACACTTTCCTCCATTCCAGCCATGCAAATATCAGAGGCGGGAAGTGGGGCAAAGCTGGTGAGGGGTGTGGCTGAGGAGGGGAGAGCCCCAGGACCTCTCTCTCTAGGTGTGCCCTCAAAACTAGAAGCACAGAATTGTAGGGTTGAGATAGGGACCCCAGGGTCATCTAGTCCAACCCCCTGCAATGCAAAATATAAGAATAAAAAAATAAGTTGTCCAGTAGCACCTTAGAGACCAGCTAAGTTTGTTCTTGGTACAGTGGTACCTCAGGTTACAGGCGCTTCAGGTTACAGACTCCGCTAACCCAGAAATAGTACCTCAGGTACTTTGCTTCAGGATGAGAACAGGAAGAACGGCGGCGGCGGGAGGACCCATTAGCTAAAGTGGTGCTTCAGGTTAAGAATGGAACGAATCCGGAACGAATTAAGTTCTAACAGGTGCAGCAGGATAGACTCCGACCAGGACTAGTACCTCAGGTGCTTGCTTCAGGTTACAGAACAGAGAATCCGGAACTAGGTCAGATACCTACCAGTAGTACCTCAGGTACTGTGCTTCAGGATGAGAACAGGAACGAACTGCGGCGGGAGGACCCATTAGCTAAAGTGGTGCTTCAGGTTAAGAATGGACGATCGGCATTAAGTTCTAACCCAGGTACCACTGTATAAGCCATGTGCTACTTTAACCCAGGGTACCACTGTATAAGCTTTCATGTGCATTCACACTTCTTCAGATATACCAAGAACAAACATAGTTGGTGTCTAAGGTGCTACTGGACAATTTATTTTATTTTATTTAATATATTTATATTTATATATATATGGTCTGCGTCAGATCAACAGAGCTACTTACCTGATTCTAGAACCCTGCAATGCAAGATTCTTTTGCCCAACTTGGGACTCGAACCCATGACCCTGAAAATTAAGAAACTCCTGCTCTCTCAACTTTTTCCCCTTCCCCAAACCCTTTCCTACCTCAGCCGCCTCTGGGGTTGCCCCCATTCCTCTGTCCCCCCGAACCTGTTTTCCCCTTCCCCACCCCGAAGCCCTGTCCCTTCTCCCTCACGTCTGCCCCACAAACCCCTGAGCTTCTTTCCTTCCCCAACTGCCTCCTCATGTGCCCCCTTCCTCTTCCCCCTCCCCCTCGCCTGGGCCCCCCAACCTCTTACCCTCGGGCCGCGTCTCCCTCCATGCCTCCGCTGGAACCAACCTGTCACCTCGCGCACGCGCAGATCCGAAGCCCGGCGACCTGTTCCTCTTCGCGCCGGTTGGCCGGGTCCAGAACCAGAGGCGGCGCTTTTCATTGGCTGAGCCGCCCAGCCGGTGTGCTCCGCCATTGGAGCAGGAGACTTTTATCGCCGCCCCCCCCACCGTTGTGACTCGATATGTCCCCGCCCATCACGTCGAAGGCTCGCCTCACTACATTGGCTGACGGCTCTCATAGCAACCGAGCGCCCGCCCATTCCCTTTCCTCCTCCTCCTCCTCCTCCTCTCCCTCCTCCCCCGCACGGCCCAGTCCTCGGCCAATCAGGAGGCCGCCTCTGCATCCAGCCTGTTAAAGCGCCTCTTGACGTTCCGTCTCTATGGCAACTCGCCAGACGCACGTGGAGATCAAAGTCCAACTCGCCGACCAATCAGAGCCTGGCGCATCGCCGCCGCCCGATCTTATTTGCCTTCGAAGGAGCAGGGGGCGTGGCCTGCGGAGGGAATTCCCTCCCGCCGCCACCTGTCTTCGGAAGGTGCGCTTTGCAGGGTTGCGGACGCGGGAGCCGCTGAGATTTGCATCCGAGGCTGCCCACCTTGCTCTCTCTGTGCGGCTTCTTTTTAAATGCAAGCCAACCAGCAGCCCTGCGCTGGTTGCCTCTGAGCACGTGCAGAGATCTCGCACCCAAACTCCAAGGTCAAAATGCCCGTGAGCATGTGCAGATGGATTTGCCTCGGTTATAAGGGCTTGCTGCTGAATTCCATAGGATTTAATAAATAATAATAATAATAATAATAATAATAATAATATAATTTATTATTTATACCCCGCCCATCTGGCTGACTTTCCCCAGCCACTCTGGGCGGCTTCCAATCAAGTGTTAAAAACAATACAGCATTAAATATTAAAAACTTCCCTAAACAGGGCAGCCTTCAGATGTCTTTTAAAAATAAGATAGCTGCTAATTTATTTATTATTAAATAATTTATTTATATCCCGCCCATCTGGCTGGCCTTCCCCAGCCACTCTGGGCGGCTTCCAACAAATATTAAAATACTGTAATGCATCAAACATTAAAAGCTTCACTAAACAGGGCTGCCTTAAAATGTCTTCTGAATGTCAGGTAGTTGTTGTTCTCTTTGACATCTGGTGGGAGGGCGTTCCACAGGGCAGGTGCCACCACCGAGAAGGCCCTCTGTCTGGTTCCCTGTAACTTGGCTTCTCGCAGTGAGGGAACTGCCAGAAGGCCCTCAGCACTGGACCTCAGTGTCTGGGCAGAACGATGGGGGTGGAGATGCTCCTTCAGATATACTGGACCGAGGCCGTTTAGGGCTTTAAAGGTCAGCACCAACACTTTGAATTGTGCTCAGAAACGTACTGGGAGCCAATGTAGGTCTTTCAAGACCGGTGTTATGTGGTCTCGGCGGCCGCTCCCAGTCACCAGTCTAGCTGCCGCATTCTGGATTAGTTGTAGTTTCTGGGTCACCTTCAAAGGTAGCCCCACAGAGAGCGCATTGCAGTAGTCCAAGCACGGAGGGGGGGGTCTGTATCACTGGCTAGTTTTGCTTTTGCTTTATGATGTATTTTGTGCTTCCATTTTGTATTTTTATGAAGTGAACCGCCCTGCGATCTTCGGTTGAAGGGCGGTAAACAAATTCAATACATAAAAAGTAATATGTACTCCTCAACTGTAAATGTGCTTTGGTTGGATTCGGTGTGCTAGTGGCAAAATCCTGTTGTGTCCCCTGTTTTGTACCAGAATGCTCCTCTCCTCATCTGAAGGTGCAGACCCTACAAGTGTCCCTATTTTCCAGGGACGTCCCTGATTTAGAGAAGCCGTCCCGGTTTCTGATTTGATCCCAGAATATCCTGCTTTTCCTTAGGACGTCCCTATTTTCATTGGAGAAACGTTGGGAGGGTATGGAGGTATCCAACCCCCGAACTGTCTGAAGGCAATCCTGTATGGGGAAGGTTTTTTAATGTTCCATGTTTTATTATGTTTTTATATATGTTGGAAGCTGCCCAGAGTAGCTGAGGCAACCAAATGAGATGCGTGGGGTATAAATAGTAAAATTATCCTAATGGAATGGGACGTCCCTGTTTCCGTCAGAGAAATGTTGGAGGGTATGAAGGTGGTTACACATGAGGAAAGGGAAGATTTCTAGGCAATGGCCTTTCTTCCCAAGCGGAAACTGCTGGATGATGCATTGAGAAGTTCTATTCATCTGGGTCTGCATGGAGACAATGGGCTGTACCTAACTAGGTAACTACTCACGAGTAGATCCACTGAAATTCATGAGCCTCAGTCAGTGGTTCTCAGAGGGTGTGGTAGGAAGATCCAAAGACAATCAAGGTTACATTTAAACATTTCAGTGTTTTACCTTTACCTAGTATAGCAGAGTATCAAAATAATTTTTATTTTTATTTTTGGATATACAACCAGAAACAGTATCCATGCTTCTCTTCAAGATCATTGGCTATTCTTCCACAGTTCTCCACGGCATACTTTTGCGAACAGGGCTTTTCAACTCGACAAATATGAAAGATCAGAAAAGAGAAAGGCTTATTTGTGTTGATGAGATGAGAGTATCTCAAATTAGACCTAATATAAATTAGGTTACCTGGCAAAAACTAGCTCGCACCTCTCACTGAGTTACTTAAAAGGCTTGTTTATATATTTTGGGAATGCTTCCTGTTCTTACGTAGCTGCAATGTTTTATGGTTTCTGCGTATCCCATGATCATATTATAAAGTAGTTGTGTTTGATGGTATTAAAAAATCAGTGTGGCAAATCGGTGCAAGCAAATTTTGATTCTGAATGTGTAGCCCAGAGAAAAACGTTTGAGAACCACTGCCCTAAGTTAATAATGTCCATTCAGTGGGTCTGCTCAGGGAAGGACCAGCAAATGTTCCTTGACCCACTATGGAGGTTAATTAGCTAAGAATTACCAAATCACCTGTTGTTGCTGCATTTGTTCTTGCTATTTGGATGAAGGGCAGTATACAGATTTAATAACAAACAATTCAGCCTTGACCAACATGGTGCTCTCCAGCTTTTGTATGGGACTACAGATCCCATGCTACCTGGGGCTGATGGGAGTTGTAGTACCCCCCCCCAAAAAAAAACAACTGACAGAAGGCTGCTGTAATTGAGTGGTCAGTTGTTGTACCTTTGCATTTCTGATGGCACTGCTTACAATCCCCCACTATTTTGCATGCCATTCATCCAATAAAGGGGAAGCTTATGCCACAGTAAACTTTGTTAGTCTTCTAAGTGCTGTAAATACCATTCTCTTGTGGACTAGTAACATGTACGGATTTGTTTGCAAGGCTGCTGATGACACTAAACAGTCTTTTGTGGCACTATACTGCTCTGCTCCAAGGGAATGTCAGCTGCACTCCCTCTGCCCAGGTTTTGGGGGTGGTGAAGGAGGAAGGTTTAAGAGTTTTAAATATTACAAGATAAAGAAAAGATAAGCGAGTCTTTGCCTTCTTTTTGAGGCAAAGACTTAGCGGATTCCATAGGTCTGAATTCCAGGTGAGTGGAGTTCGGACTGCAGCCATAGTCTGTGCACGTTCCATATTTTTAAAGCACATTGCTCCACCCCCAACAGAAATTTGGGAACTAGAGTTTGTTACGGGTGCTGGGAATTGTAGCCATGTGAGGGGTCAAGTACAGTTTCCAGGGTTAAATGTCTGGATGTAGCCTCACTCTCTAAAAGTGCCAAATACAGTGGTACGTCGGGTTACAGATGCTTCAGGTTACATACGCTTCAGGTTACAGACTCTGCTAACCCAGAAATAGTACCTCGGGTTAAGAACTTTGCTTCAGGATGAGAACAGAAATCATGCTCCGGCGGCGCGGTGGCAGCAGGAGGCCCCATTAGCTAAAGTGGTGCTTCAGGTTAAGAACAGTTTCAGGTTAAGTACAGACCTCCGGAACGAATTAAGTACTTAACCCGAGGTACCACTGTATGTGAAACTGGGTTGTATCCAACATTAATCACAGAGTACAGTGGTACCTTGGTACTCGAAAGGCTTGTCTCCTGAACAAATCAGCTCCCAAACACTGCAAACCCGGAAGTGTTCCGGTTTGCGAAAGTTTTTTGGAAGCTGAACGTCCGACGCGGCTTCCGATTGAGTGCAGGAAGCTCCTGCAGCCAATCGGAAGCCGCAACTAGGTTTTCTAACTGTTTTGTGAGTCAAACGGACTCCCGGAACGGATTAAGTTCAAGAACCAAGGTACTACTGTATAAAAGGTAAAGGGACCCCTGGCCATTAGGTCCAATCATGGCCGACTCTGGTGTTGCGGTACTCATCTCGCTTTATTGGCCGAGGGAGCCGGCGTACAGCTTCTGGGTCATGTGGCCAGCATGACTAAGCCGCTTCTGGCGAACCAGAGCAGCGCATGGAAATGCCGTTTACCTTCCTGCCGGAGCGGTACCTATTTATCTACTTGCACTTTGACGTGCTTTCGAACTGCTAGGTGGGCAGGAGCAGGGACCGAGCAACGGGAGCTCACCCTGTCGCGGGGATTCGAACCGCCGACCTTCCGATTGGCAAGTCCTAGGCTCTGTGGTTTAACCCACAGCGCCACCCGCGTCCCTTTTATATACTCATTGATATTAATGAACATGACTTAGGGCTATTAATTCCAGTGGGTCTACTCTTGACGGATAGGAACCTTCAACCCAATACATATGACACAGTGCATGAGATTACATTTCATCTTCCTTGTGCACTCAATTATAGGGATGTGTATAGATGCTATGAGATGATATATTTGTTAGATATACACAGTGGGAGTCTATCTCAGTATTCTCTCTAGCAAACTTACAGGAAAACTCTGAGCTTCAGCTCCGATCATGTGTCTATCTAGCAAACACATTGTTGGTGTGACTGCATTGTAAATACCCCACAATGACCACCAAATTATTAATTTTTTAAAAGAAATTAGAAAAACCAGCCACACCCTCCTTACCCTATTGAGAACAAGAAAAGAACTGAAACCAGGCTGTTTTCTGTCTCTGTTTCTCTCTGTCTCTCTGTGTGTGTTTTTTTTTAATTTACAACGTACATATTTTTAATAATAGAGCATTCTCTTCCAGTGTCCTCAGTACCGCTCTTTTTTAAAATCTTTTTTTTTTAAATACACAGAAATTACAATATTGAATATACAA